CACTGTGGGGTGGGCGGGTGAGAGAGTGAGTACATTGTACATGGCCCGGTACGACCTCAATTGTCAGATAGAATCGGTGGCTTTGACATGTGAGGCAGACGCAAGGCTCGAGATCTCATGCTGGAGGGCCCTCTCATGATATCGGCACGCTTCTGCCATGCAAGATTGGCCTTCCGTGTGAGCCACTCACGGGTATCTTCTCGGCGTGCCATCGTGCCTTGTCGTCCGTTCGGACTGCATCCAACCGTCTCTGCGATGGCTGCTGCACGGTAGCCTCTGTGCAGAGGCAGTTCGTGATGCAAGGAGAGATCCGAAGCTTCTTTTACATGAGACGGTTAGTCTGAGTAGCTGCAGAAGGTTGGCAAACCCGAAAGACTAAATGCCTTGTATATCGCGGCAAATGCAAATCGGCCGGGAGTTTTGACTCTCGTCTCCAGAGGGTGTTGAACGGCGATCCGCCGTCAAGTCCCCCGCCAAGCCATCACAGTCATCAGCATGTCGTGCTCTCCCGCGAATCTCAAGTCCTCGACGGCCTGGAGTCTTGATCACGTCACCGCCTCGAAGACAGAAAGAGAAGGTGCACTGTGAGAGCTAGGACCGAAGCCACATTTCTCTAGCTTCAGAGTGCCACCCTCCAGCCCACCGGCAGGTAGAAGAGACAGCAGCGTCTGATACCATGTAAAAGCGGAAGGCGGACCGTCTTGCAGCCTTCTCTGTAGCAAATTGGGCATTGTCCACTGTCTCTCCAACCATATGTTTTGCATGGGATGGTCTGACTCTCCAGCCGTGGCACATACTCGGGCCCGAGTGACACGCATTGACAGTCTTGCTGACATGGGAAAAAGTAAAGATAGAAGCGACCAGGTCGGCTCGACGCAAATTGTCGTTTGATGCAGCCGTTGCCGTCATCTTCCTGTTACCCGCTTTGGGACGACGTATCCATAGGTACTCCGTACTTCCCAACCTCTTGGATTCCCCTCATCGATACTTCCCCAACTTGAGGCCGTACGGGAGGCGCCAACGAACCAATGTGGAAAAACTTATGGTGTGGGCTTGAAGACGTGGTTCTCGTTGATTGGATTACTCCTGGCCGTTACTCGTGACCGCAATCAACGACATCAGGAGGCTGGCGCGAGCTCAGAGGCCCCCAATGAATCCAGACCCAACCGAGCTTCCTGAGATGGAGTGTCTTTGATGTCAGCCTGTCAACCTGTCAATACCAAGTCTCTGAGTTGCCAGACACAACGACCGACTACCGCGAGGTCAGTTGTAGGGCATCATCTCATGTCTTTGCGATGCCACCCGTGTGGTCTGGACGATTGGCACCGTGCCTGGGCATCGATGCCCGCAGATTGTCCGGCGATTTCCAGAGCTCGTATCTCGGGCTCAGGAGCATGCCTTGCAGACAGAGCTGATATCTCAGGTGAAGGACGTGCCGCGGGATCGACATAACCGCCTTTGAGAGGGCATCCGCCTGACCTGTCGTCGACAACTGCCCTCAATCCTTCAAGACACGGCAAGTAGATGGCCGCAGCCATCTTCACAGCTTCCAGGGTCTGGAAAGGTCAGCTTTGATCCACACGTCATGTCGTAAGTGCTTGTGCAATACGGAGTTCAACCGCCATATAGCACTCATCTTGCTGATAAGATAAGTCTTGCAGCCTTGGTGCTCCCGCCGCAGGCGACCCGAATGTGCATGACAGAGTGTGCCGTAGCGATTGTGATATTAATTGCGAGAGAGTGCCTGTCCTGGCTGGCCACCGATGATCCGAGGAAGCCTGCCCAGAGCGGTGGGATGTCCAGAATGCGAGGAGGGTAAAGGAAGGATCCAGTGAGACCCATGCCGTGGATGTAACCGCTACAAAGACGGCTCGACCTAACTCGAAAAGGCTAATAGAGATAGCCATGAGGGGGAGCAGCTGAAACGTCCCAGCTTGGCACCGTGGAGCTCGCGCCCCATCAGGGGCTATTGATTGGACAAGTTCTAGACGTACATAGCCGCCGTGCATTTGCATGCAAGTGTTGAAGACCACCCACCTTCTACCCCTGCCCATTGCATCTCACGATGAGAACTCAGAGGGCTGCAGGGTTCAGTGAACGTCCGTCGGGATGGGCCAGTCAAGGAAAGGTGCAGTCGCATCCCGTACCTGCGCAGGCCCGCAACTGGACGCAGGCACAAGCAGCAACAGATGCACCTCGTCCAAAATCATCGTCGTCTTCAGATTCCAAAGGCATTCGGAGGGAACCAGATCGCACGCAGAGGTGGCTGTGATCTTTCAAGCCGCCCAAATAGGAGGAAGGGGGACCATGCTCCGGTTACGGGATGACAGATCTTCTGCTCGCTCCTCTCTGGATCCGAGGTACCCTGCTCCCTGTGAGGGCGGATGGCCTGCTGCACCACAGCAGGGTCCTGGACAGGAGGATCGCACCGACGCCTGGGGCTCGGTGTGGCAATGTGATGAGATCGCTGAAGCCAGATTTGGACATTTCAACGACAACATTCTGCGAAGGTGGCAGGTAGTGATCCTAGAGATGTCCCCGTTGCTGTCGAGGTTATCGATACTGAAGTTTCGGATCAGCCTCCTGACGACTTGAGTCCCCTATATCTGGACTCCGTGGAGGTTGTCTCGTATCGTCCGTCGTGCCTATGCTGATGAAACCATTGCGAAAGGCCAGGTCGGCATTGGCCATGCGTGCAATAATTCACCCATCTCGGCTACGAATGACAGCCGGCCAAAGCCTTCGCGAGTCATTTCCATTTCCATCGCAGGCTTCAACCCTACGGCATCTCTCGCACCCATCCGTGTGAGCCACCTGTGACCCCCCCATCATCTGATGATGGCTTCCGAACAAAGCTTACCGCAACCTTGTCTGACGGCAACCAGCGGCAGATCTGCCGAAGTTCTGCGAGTAAAACGACGGCCTCGACACGGACATGACTCTCACAACCCCTCAAACCCGAATGATCGAATCGCTTTGGCACTGCATATGGTTTGGATCGAATCGTTGAAATAAGGTAGATCAAGTGTCGTAAAACAGAGTCTGGACCTTTTCGTGTGGACGATCTTCGGTGTCATGCTTGATGTAGTTGCCCGGATGTCATGCATGTGAGGCGTGAGGCTCAAAGTCCACGGCTTGCTGTAAGCACATGACGAGCAAGCTCACGCGCAGGTGTTGCGGGGTCGCGCTCCCTCTTGTTGCAGGCACGCCAACAACCATTATGGTGCAAAACTGAGCGACTGATTGTGCGGGATATATACTGGTAGTTAGACACCCTGGCTCGCCACTTAATACCCCCATGGACAGTGCAATACTGTTCAGACCCAGGGGGGGGGGTCCGGCCAACGCTGCACTTCACGAAGGGTCGGCAGCTTGTTCTGGGTTGACGCTCATCTGGCTGACGCCTCCACAGCCACCTACCTCAGTGAGAAGGACTTAGTTTCATAAAATTTGCGAGCTTGAGGTTTCCCCATCCAATTGGCTCTTTTCATACGGCTGGCATGGATAATCAAGTCAGAATTGATTACCAGAGTGATCTCAGTCGAGCTGCTGTACCAATGGTAGCATCCATCCATGAAATGGTGTGGAGTGAAACATTCTACTTGTCGTGAGGTTGACCACAACAACATTGCCTGTCTGACGTCGTTGGCCAATTGTGTTTGAGCAAAGTGTGCGATGTCAGTGTCCCGCTAATGTACTGCGGGAAGAGTACAGATCCGTCCCCACTTGATGATCGAGCCAGTCGCCGGTACCAAGTCACGAAAGTAACCCGTACTGGGCTGGGGAGGGGTGTCGAGAAGAGCGAAAAAAAGGACGCACAAGCCCTCGAGCCCACCGGCCCACCCACCCATCGGCCCACTCAACCTCAGCGGACCTTGTCATGGGGGCTCGGGCCACTCTGCGTCGCGGCTGAAGATACGTTCGAAAGAGGGTCAAGGGCAGCCTGAGAAGGTAGCAGTGCGACCGAACAATAATTAAATCGACACCGGTACTACAAGATCCGAGCTGCATTCGAGAGAGGGCTGGATGGGTTGGTGCTAAGTTGACCCTACTCGGCTGTCGCAGGAGATTCTCGTAGCGTGATTGCGGCAGAGCACACGTCCAACAAGTGACAAATTGCTTGTCGAGCCAACCCACCAGTCTGCGCCGGCCAGGACCCCGACCAGACCGTGGCGAAGGAGCACGCTGTCCGGCTATTATGGTTCCCCTATTTTCTTGTCTTTTCCCTTCCGCGACAAGGGCTTGCCGTTGAATACGCTGTTTTCGACATGTTACTTTGCGGTGTACGATAAATGCGCGATGACCAAAGCGCTGCCCACGGATCAAAACATCGGATTTACCGTGGGACGTTGTGAAAGTCTCGCAGAAGGGGAGTTTGTCCCTGTCAACTGCTGCACAGTTGCTCCTCGCAAATCCTTGGCAGTCCTCTGGGAGCCACTCCAAACGGGACGCGGGATCGACCAAGTGCAAATTCTTGGTCGACTCCTTGAGGTGTCACAGTCAACCCGCTGCTGAGCTTGTACCGATCTTGGCTCGCGGGAGAACAATGCCTGGATGCAGGGAGGAGCCCTCCACCGGCGAATGCTGCGGGAAACGACACGAAGAGCTGACCTTGATGAATATGCCGCGTGCGGTGTTTACTCGACGACTTTGGCAAAAAGGCTTCTTCTCGATGAGCTGGAGGGCATTTCAATCAGCTTCATCTGTGCGGTCGTACCGATAGTGATCAACTCTGCAATTCATGCATGGACTCGTTCCCGACTGCAAAAATTGCTTGTCTGGCTGGGTGAGGTGCCTCCGCACCTGGCACCTGCACTGCACCTGCAGCTGCGCCCTACGCCACAGATGGAGAGGATGCACACATTAGTAGTGCCGGCTTGCATCGTGGAAATCGATTGTGGGCGCAAGCGCCCGGAATCTTGCATGGAAGCCCACAAGTGCAGCTCCACGACCAGCCCGGGGCCCCCACACAAGCTTGATGCTGAATAGTAAAGGAAGAGATGGCCACGGCTTTCTCTGCAGCCAAAAGGCAGCTACCCATGGCAAAAGGCGTAAATAGAACCGGCGGTTTTCTTTTCCCTAGCCCGTTGTCCCTGACACGAGCGCGGCCACAGCGTCTGACCCGTTGTAACAATGCCATTGGCAGCTGGTGAGAGCGTTGAATCGCGCCGTCCTCAAGGGGGCGAGAACCCAAATGCCCCGCTAACTTGGCGCTGCGGCAGCCGTAAGCGCGATGATCTACAAGTACTGGTGCGTAAGACGATCAGGATTGCCCCGGACGGGAGGGGCGGTAAGACGGTCACGGTGAATAAGCACCGGGATGAAGCATGCCACGGATCTGCCCTTGTGGCCGACCGATTCGACCGAGATTTTGGCTCCAAGCTAAAGCATGTTGACCTGACTCTGGATGAGGGCAACGGACGATGAACTATTGTTTAAGCTTCGCATGGCTAGGTTTGTTGACATAGGCGGGATCACGCACAAGGGCCGACGCGAGAAAAATCCCCGAAGCGCAAAGCCTGAATAGAAATCGTGTACGAGGCAAGCTCTTGCATGATGTCGTTCGTCCCGGGGGCTCTTGTTGCAACTGAGCAGACGTGATACAGTGATGTACTCGGACATGGCGGTGGACGGTGGTGCCGTGATCCCCAGGCAGGCGACTTCAGCAGAGCCCGAGGGGCAAACCAGCGCGATGGGATAAACTCTGATTTGTTGCGTTGCAGCGTGCCGAAAGGAGGGCGGTTCTGCGAAGGACTCGGTTGTTCGGATCATCGCCCTGCTAAGCGAAAGGCAAACTCGCAACCACCGCAGTTGGAATTCGGGGCCTCCTTGTGCGTAGTGTAGATGAAAAGACCAAGGTCACGGAGCGAGATGTTGGCTCGGGTCGGAGAATTCTTGACTAGACCATGTAGTCCAAGTCCAAGGTCCCAAGCCCAAGCCTGTTGCACGCACAGACAATGCAATCGGCGACAGCGAGTGGGTTCCCAGCCAGGCCGAAGGTGGCATACGAGTACAGTACTACGTAGCTACCCAGGAACGAAGAAGAAGCGTTCACATGACATGCGTGTCTTGCGTCGCGCATCTGCACCAACTGTGCATTGCATCAGATAGGGTTGGCAGAAAAAGTGCGACAGCAGACGGCGAAAGGCGACGCCGAAGACGAAGCAGGGAAGACAAGTCCGGCGTTGGTGGCAGCAACAGGGAAGAAAGAAAGAAAAAGTCTACAGTGCCTCTGAGAGCCTAGAAGCTGACAATATTCAGCAGAGTTTTGATGGCGTCTTGGGCTGTGGGAGGAGAGTGGGATCTTGAAAACTCATCGTGAAGCTTCGAGGTTTGGGATGTGCTGGTTGCCGGTTGCTGTTCGTCCCCTAATAAGGCTGTTGCTGATGCTGTGTGGGAAGGAGCGGTCATGTTTGGATGACGTATCAGGCACAGCATTGTATTGCACGGCCAGTCTGTCAGTCTGTCAGTCGACTGCAGGTGCTCCTCCTGCCCGTTTCTGCACTGAGGCGTTTTGCCCCGTCTGCTCCTGCCGCTGTCGTCTTTTTGTCAAGTGCTCCCAGGCCGTCTCAATGTGCAGCAAGTCACCACTGCTCCTCAAAACGTCGACGTCGAAGTCGAAATCGAGGTCTCTCTCGCGTGCATCTTTTGCCGTGCACAAATCTCACATGTTGTCCGATGATACATACACACATCTCCCCAACGAGCCACAGCACTGAAGAGCTTAGCGCAGGGCGGCCAACCTGCAGCACCTGCAATGTGGTGCACTGCAACACCAAGTCAACAGTCGACCAGCAGCAAAGAGCATCATCCCGCATCAATGGATCCTGCATCCTCCACCGCAGTGCGCTCACCCGTGACCCCTGACCTTTTCATCTCGGACCCCTCTCCCCTGCAAGATCCTGGGGTCGCCAGAACTGGACTGGACTGAAGCCCGCACTGTACTGGACTGTATGGCAGGTCTTCTGTCCCATTGGCTGCCGTTCCCCCATGGCGTCTCGTCTCGTCCGGTCTGGCCTGGCCTTGTCCACCGACTTGTAAGCCCGCGCGCGCTGCGTCCGATGTCTTGCAGAGCAAATCCATCTGGGAGTTGCCACCATCACAAGAGGCACGGTCCTTTCTGCAGCGTGGAGGCGAGCAACCTCCGCATCAAGGGCCACCTGCCGGCAGCACATGCGGGCCTGTCCGCTATTGGATCTGGCATATGGACGGACGCCTGTGCGTCCCGCAGCAGAAGCGCCCAGGGCTTCTTGCAGCTCTGCAGCTGTCTGTGGATGTCGCGTCCGCGCAGTATCCACAATGACCCATTATACAGCATTGCTCACATTAATTGTACAGGTACCCTATTCGACACTCGTCACCCCGTGGTGGATCCTGTTGACCATCGTCATCACCAGCCAAGAGAGAAGCCGGGATACCGAGCCGGAGAGGCCCACGTTGAGCGGCCCACGAGCGGCCCAGTCCTTCGCACTGCAACATGGACCGTCCAGACCGTCCATGTTGTGTGTACTGGAGATCCTGCCCGCTGCAATGTAATGTACATACGGTAAACAAATTCAGTTGGGGCAGGGTTTCTCGCGCCTCGGGCCTGGGAGTGCAATGGAGACATGGGGCACTAAGCGCTGTTGATGTGGCCTCGCAATTCTAACATTGAGTCGCCTGCTCTCTGCATTCATTGCACTCGGAAACCACTACCGCACCAAGAAGCCCACCCTGCCATGGCCACACGTGCAAACTGACGGTGGTGTAACAATATCGAGAACTTCGGTCACTTCAACTCTTTGCCCAGGACCGGTCCGAGTTTGTGGGATCAGGCTGCGAGCTCAAAGCCAGTGGTCCCATCCCACCACATCTGACACTCGCACTGACAAGGGGCTCTCGAAAATGAATCTGGCCGCTCCACTGGTGCTGTGCCGCACAGGGGGGAGCAGCTCTTCTCTGAGGTGACCTTTCATTGGACGCTAGAGCAAAATCATTACACCATCAAGACCACCTTACCCTCCAACACATCTACGACTCGTCCCTCTACGTTAACACAAAGCTTGAATGCGACAACACGTCGCTCTTGAACGGCTGTCGACAATTGGCAAGGCTGAGCCAATGCTCCCAGCCACTGGCCTCTAGGATCACTGAAGCAGCCAAGGAACCGGGGAGGCTGGCGTGCAGATGCTGGCTTCATCAGAACATTCGCGGCCCCGGCCCCTGCTTTGGCCTCTCGGCCCAGACAAAAAAGAGCGCACTCACAAACTGCTCTGCAAAAGCTACATCAAACATCCCATCACCAAAGTTTCAATTGAACTCTTAAATAACTCATCAATCAATATTTAAGCCCAGCTATCAATATAGCTAGTTTATGGCTTATTTAAAAATTCTTTTGAAAAGAAACGAGGCTGTTAAGTCGATAGGTTGTGGTAGCGGGTGATAGGTTTTGGGGAAGGTGACTTAATGTGAGTGCGCTCTATTTTGTCTGGGCCGAGGGCCTGTGCTCGACAAGCAGGGAAGATAGGCGACTGCGGCATGGCAATGCGACGCTGCATGGACGGGGTGAGAGGCACGCCCCATCCTGCCCACTCGGCCTGCACTCATCGCCGACGGAGGACCATGGATTTGTGCTTGTACTGTGTGTTGTGGGCTTCCTCGAGGCCTTGTCCGTTGTTTCCGATGCCAGCCGTTCTGCAATGTCTCGAGAGCGCCCGCAAGTCCCGCAGCACGATTCAAGAAGGAACCTTAATAGGTGCCGCAATTGATTCATGGCTGCCTAATCAACTCGACCACGACGACTGCTCGCGCTCGGCCAGCGAGAATCGATTGGATGATCTTGAACCCGCGAGAACAAGTGTATTGTCCTTAATCAAGAGGCACTCTTTCCACGCGACCAAGTGTGCAAGTCTCTCAACGCGCTTTTGGTGTCAAAACGAACGGGGTTCTGCAGCGATCCGCGAGGCAATAGCCAATGGGTGCAGCCACCGTCCAGAAGCGACCGTGTACTTTTGGGCTGGCCGTCACTGTCCTCGTCTCGGACCGCTCGAATTTTGTGATTCGCTGATAAAGACAAAAGCTGGCCGGGATGGCACGCCGATCCCTTCCAGGCGCAAGAGCGGCACAGTGAAGCTGCAGGCAGAGAAGACTGTGTTTGTGCACCTCAGAGTCGCGGCTGAGGTGGCTTCCAGCCAGTCTTTCAGAAAGGTGGCTGACAGTGACGATGCCGAACGCGGGAGTGAGAGGTGGAGAGCGCCTACGCAATGACGACAGCCGTCTTGCTCTCTGTCGGCCTGTGGGGGGTGTTGAGGTCTCCTGTTGAGAACCGCCCTGTTCGCAGATCCGATCAGATTGACGGTGTTTTGGCTACCCTACCCAGAGGGTTCCCGTCTGCGCGGGAAACAGACCAATTGACGGATTCTGCTTTCGCCCGACACGGGACAGTGCGACTCATGGCCAACTATCAGCAGAAAGAGATAAGGGACCACTCGCGTAGCCCACAAGAGAATAGTGGCAAAGGCTTGGCCCTCGAAGGTCGGGGCGTGAGGTTTTTTTTCCGGCAACGGACAACAATTTGTCAATGCTCGAGGCCACGGAGATTCCAGGCTTGGAAAGTCTGGAGAGAGCGCAACAAGCATGCGTGTATGGTAGCACGGAGGTGTGCGGGCGAGGGCCGGTACGCGCGCTATTTCAGTGAGCGGCTAGATAACTCTAACGAAAGAGCCGGGACAATTGGCTTTTTCTGGAGCGCTTCTCTTACCACGGAATCGGGAATGGCAGAGTTTACTAGGAGCGGACGACCGAGACTAGACAAGGAAAGGCTGCCGCCCTCTGGACCAACCGCCATGATCATCTCCAGGGCACGACACCTTTATCGAGGTGTGCTCACTGCTCTCTAATCATCAAGCCGCCCCCGTCTCCCGCAGCTGCGCGGCATCCAGGGTAAGCCGCCAAAATCATATGCCGGCAAACGCAAACAAGATGCGGGCGGTTCAACGGTAAGAACGTCAGCAGCAGGAGCGAGCCCGCAACGGTGGGCGACAGAGGGATGGAGGGATGGACACAGTGAGCGGTGGCGACACATTCGCACTTTACCGGGTCCGTGGACGTTGTTGTGGCCGAGCCCAAAATCCCGGGCACAGGCCCCCCCACACGCTTATATCCACAGACATCCTTGCCCGCCCACTTGATCCAGCAAGTCCAGCCAGCAGAAAAAAAGTCAGGACAAAAGTCGCTCACCCCTCTTCCTCGGTGCAACGCTATAGTGTCACGCCTCCCCCTTCTTGCTGTTCCTCCTGGTCCCCTGGAGGAGGTGGGAGAGGCCTGAGGTCTGCCGAGTTGCCACACGATTTCCCGCAGGCATACCGCGGGCAATGGCTGTATTGAGCGGGCTAACTGAGTTCTTCTGCCGGCCTCTACCTGCACATGAAGCCAACGGCCAGGATAAGGTTGATCCATCACCGGCCTCGTGCCGACTCCTTCTCAGCTGAGGTGGGAGACACTGGATCAATGCAAGCAATAAGGTACGGATCGCTGCTTGCAGTGCTGGAATCGCGAACGGATGATGGGTCCCAACGCAGGACCCACATCACCCACCTCCTCGCCCACAGCAACCCTGCATCTCCATGTACTGCCTGCATGGTGCATGGTACCATGTACCGCGTCCGCGACAAAGTACTCGATACCAGCAGCTGTCTCTCTTTTCTTTTCCCACGCCCACACCCCCTCCTCTCCTCCCCCCCCCAGCCCGGGCCGCAGCTCAACCTGGACCAGGGGACCCAACGTCGTCTTCGTACCCACTCCCCGCCCACCTCTGATCCCTGCAGGCCCAATGGAGAGAGCCCGAAGGTTGAGCGACTGAGCGAGGCAGCGAGGCAGCGAGGCAAAAGAGGCTGCTACTGACAGGCCTGATGACACCAAACTCCACCAGGGCCTCTGCCCGCCGGTGAATGCAAACTGTGAACCCTGTCCTTGACATGAGGGAGTGAGTGGGCAGCTTCGGAGCAGGTGCCACTTTGTGCCATCAACACCGTCCATACCCCCTCGCGCTCCCACCTGCTACCCTGACCCCATCCATCCACCCACCCAAGTCCACCCACTATCTCAGCGGCCACCTCCCTCCTCGCCTGGCCGACCCGGCCTACCTGCCCGCCACCTGGGGCTGCTCTCGCTACCACACATAGTGCCGTGGCACGGTACGGTACATAGGTACGCAGTACGTGCATGCAAGAATACCTGGGCCTGCCTTGGGCCCCTCTCCTCCCGCGCTCACTGTGCCGGTTTGTCCCCAGCCCAGCCCATCACATCCTATCCTACCCCAGCACGCAACAAGGCTCGCCGTGGAGGATTCAACCACCCCGGTGGTTTCTCTCTTTTTTGCTGGGGCTAGACTTGCCAATTCTAATCTAAGACCACCCGTGGTAGCGTTGACCAGAGGTCACCCTGGTCGAGCGAGAGTGAGTAGTGGTCCGGGCCAGGTTTACACTAGTTCTGTTTTCTCTCTGATCTACCTCGACCTGCCCATCACATCCTATCCTCCATCAACCTCAAGCTCTCTTCTCACCACCGCCAGAGTCCTCCTCGAGATCTCGTCCCATACTCCTCTACCTCTTCAACACCCTCTCGCTCACTCCCCCGCCCCTGAGCTGGCTGTCCTCCGCAATTGCTCGCGCGAAGACACAATCGAGCTGCCCGGCCAAAGGTGAGATCCAACTACCTCTTCGCCCCCACATATGCACAGACAAACAGCTTGCCAACCGTCGCCTGCTCGAGCTGCGCTCGCACTTGTCCTCCCCCTCATCGCATTGGCACCACGGAGCTGGGAGCTAACCACCGTTTGGAAATCCTTCTAGAGACCAGACTTTGTTCTAGGCTTTCTCTACTCGCCTTTGCGAAGTCCGAGACCTCGACAACGGCTCATCTAACGGTGGTGTTGCTAATTGGATAGTCGGCGCCCAAGCTTGCGACGGGCCCAACAATCCGAAGGACTGCATCCCTATTCCATAACGGAGCTCTGGGAAGCGGATGAGTCTCAACCTCCCCTCCTTCGGCGCCAAGTTCAACTCTGCTGTGTCCCGGTGACTTCTGAGAACCTGCGAGTTTCCATGAGAAGTTCTTGAGGGCCCTCGTTCACGTCACGACCCGTTACGATACAGCGCTGCCATAACTTGCGATTCACGCCCGTCCGCCCTGCACCCACGCCAATTCACGCTCTGGACGTCCCCCCAGGCCAATTGCATTTCCTGGCGGTTTTGTGTCATTCTGCGCCATCACTCGCCAGACCTGGTCGTCTTCACGTTTGTCTTCAACCCATTTTGTGGCCTAGCTGGCTCGCCTGACCGTTCTTGGTCACGCATTAGTTTTCATGCTTAACGACAGAAACACCGAAAAGCTGGATCTACCGTCGATTTCCCAGGTACCGACCCGGGGTCAGGCCGACTTTCCATACTACAACGCACCGCGCCCAGCGTACATGCCCGAGAGGTTGCCTTCCCTGCCTCCAGTCCACTCGCAGCAGGCATATTCAACCAGCACGGGATCTCCCCTGGGCAGTTCCTTGGGTTCTTCGACGAGCTCTCACGCAGGGTCCCATTCCTCTTATACGTCTGCTGCCCCGTCACTCGGAGCCAAGACCCCGCCGACACCGGTGTCTTCAGAGTATCCTGCCATCCCAGGATCCGTCACTGCCGGAGGCGGCTACGAGGCGTACCCAGCGATGAACCAGGCACCGCACCCAGATCCGAACATGTACTATCCGCCCCAACCGCATATGCCTGGAGGCTCCGCTCCACCCCCAGTTACTTCATCAATGGCACATTATCCTAGTGCGCAACCTCCCCTGTTGCAGCCTGGCCCGGCTCAGTACTCGGCGCCTCCTCACCCATATTCTCAATACGGATACGCAAATGGGCTCACTTCTCCACCTGCGGCTCCAGTGTCAGGTGGGATGCCACAAAACGTGCTCCCGCTCCCAGGGCAGCCTGGGATGCCTAATCAGTACAGTGGGTTCGACACCACTGGTCAAGTAGCACCCCCAGGCATGAAACCCAGAGTGACAGCAACGCTTTGGGAGGACGAGGGCAGCTTGTGCTTTCAGGTCGAGGCCAGAGGTATCTGTGTAGCGCGTAGAGAAGGTAGGTGCTTGCAATGAATATCTTGTTAAAACAGCATCGAGACTAACTGTTTCGCAGACAACCACATGATCAACGGTACTAAGTTGCTCAACGTTGCGGGCATGACCCGCGGTAGACGGGATGGAATTTTGAAGAGTGAGAAGGTTCGCCATGTCGTGAAAATCGGTCCTATGCACCTGAAGGGTGTCTGGTAAGCATGAAATCACGGCTCAAAACCCGTCAGCTGGGAATGATCTCTAACGGCACAACAGGATCCCTTTTGAGAGAGCTCTGGATTTCGCCAACAAGGAGAAGATCACCGAGTTGCTGTACCCCTTGTTTGTGCACAACATCGGTGCGCTTCTCTACCACCCAACCAACCAGAACCGGACCACCCAGGTCATGCAGGCTGCAGAGCGCCGCAAGCAGGAGCAGCAGACGCAAATGCGCAACGCGCAGCCGCCGGCACCACTTCCGTCCCTGCAGCAACAAACTCACCATCACTCAATGGGCCTTCCGCAACCTCCTCTCTCATCCCACGGCCGGCCCTCCCTCGACCGTGCGCATACCTTCCCCACCCCTCCCACGAGTGCCTCCAGTGTGATGGGAAGCATGGGAGGAGAAAACTACCAATGGCCGCAACAACAGGGGATGAATGGTTCTCAAGGTACTCATCCCATGTCCATCGATACTAGCCTTAGCAACACTCGCTCAATGCCTGCAACTCCAGCCACCACCCCTCCTGGAAGCAGCATACAGAGCATGTCTTCCTACCCTCCCGCGACCCAGCCGTATGACAACTCCCGGCAGTACAACGCGCCACCACTGCAGTCGCCCTACCAGCCCGCAAATACCAGCCCACAGGATCGCTCCATGTACGCGCAGAGCAATTACGTCAAGAGCGAGATGGGCCCACCCTCAAGTCGTCCTTCGATATCAGGTCTCCCTGGCGACCAGGACAACAAGCCTGCCAATGGCTACTCGAGCCAAGGCAGTGAGCATGTCACCCAACAAGGCCCCGATGACGAGGCGGATCATGAGCATGAGGCCGAGTATACTCATGACCGGAGTACATACGACAATGGGAACAGCCAGTACAACTACAGCGCCCCACCTCTTGCCCCCATCCAGTCTGATCACCCGCATCTTTCACCCGAGATGGCCGGGTCTGCAGGCCATCAGGCAGCATCGGGCCGGTCAACGCCGCGCAGCGCTGCCCCGCCTCAAGCGTATTACCCGCAACAGGGGTACAACACCTCACCCCGGACCTCAACGCAGTCCGGCATGTACAACGTCGTGAGCAATGACCGGGGCCCAACAAATGGCGACTATGCATCGCACGCCGACATGAACAGCTCGATGCAGAACGGTTACGCGCCTGCGCCCATGAACGGCGCATCGGGCGGGATGAAGCGCGGCCGGGACGACGACGAGGAGCAGAGGCCCTTGAGCGGCGGCCCCGGTATGGACATGAAGCGACGGAAGACGCTGGCACTGGACACGGCGCCAGCGCAGGGGGTATACCAGCCGGCACCCGCAGTTGCCGCTCCTACACGGCGGCGATAGGACTTGGGTGATCTGAGACTGGCGTGCGTTTGCGACGTTCTTGACTGCGGCCTGGGTTTAAAACGATAGAGGCGTTGTGGCAGTTCTTTTCGGGCGTTCCAACTCATGAAATGACGGAATGGCTAATGCTAAAAACACAAACTCTCTCACACACACAACCTTGGTCTATACCGACGACCCCAACTCGACCTGGAGAATCGCCACCAGAACACTCCCTTTTAGTTTCCTGGCTTTTGGCCAACATCTGTATTTTTTTTTTCTCCCTTCTCTTGGCGCCACAAACAACACCACAGCAAGCAAGCACACATACGATTCATCGACATTTTCCGCTCTGCACCAGACGCGATGATGACGCTTACGACACACGGAAAGAAAAGTATCATTTCCGAACAACTTTGTGTTAAACGCCTACCATGATGGATGTACACGGTTGACGAATTATGGAATCTGCATGAGAGGTCTTTATCACCGCGACAGAGAGGAGAGAGCCTTGTCAGCTGCATTTCTCGGCTGGCACCATGGGGAGGGTGGGAGAGGGAAACCGTGCCGTGCCCCTCGCGGGCCCTGAGGACACCCTCTGTTGGATCTCCAGCTCCAATCGATCTGCCCTCCCACTGAGCCAACCGCGACCACACTTTCCTTTCTCCTGCTCTTTCTATGTTTTGTGCGAGAAAGCAGATCTGCGGCCCCAAGCTGCAACGGGACAATCAGCCAAAACCTGCGGAAGCAGCCAATCAAGCCCAGCAGCATGTTTTGGGGCCAATCTCGACGAACAAGCGCGGCGTTCCCGTCCCCAGAGTTTCACGCGCCCATTTGGCATCATCACTGAGCTGGCAGGGACGAGATTCGCGTGCGCAATGTCCGATCGAGCTTCAGGGCTTCTGAAAAGAAGGCCTGGGGGTGCTTTATTCACCACTACTTTGTCTTCCGTTGGCGGCTTCTTCCTTTTTATGTTTATGTTTCTGTCTTAAATCGGCCTCCGGTGATGACTTTACGACATTCTTGATTCTCTTCGATGACACCGAAAAGCAGTGAGTTCTTATTTTCAAGGGAGACAGAGACGGGGCAGGAGAGGTGCGCATGGATGGTCCGAGGGGATGGAGGAGGGGGGCTGGGACAGAGACGGGGAAACACCCCCCTTCCCACCTCGCGGGAAGATTTTCCACAGTTTGCTGCTGTCTGGACATGGGACGTGTTGAAGCTGATCTATTTATGGTTGGGTTTTATCTGGCACAACACCTTCTCATGTAACGAGCTTATGACGGGGAGTACTTATTCTTTTTTCCGATTTTCTATTTTCTTTTTCCTGCTCTGTGTTTTTGTGACCGCGGGAGAGGCGGGGGAGGGAGGGAAAAAGGCCCGCGGGCCCTCTTTTTTCGACTCTCTTCTTTTCTTCTTCTTGGGGACCAGTGACAAATACAAACAAGACCTAGACGATTTGAAAATTATCTAATGTCCCGACTGCCCTTGGCCGGCCTCTGTGTGAACCGTGAGATGCCCGAGTTGCATTTTTCCCCCTCTTTTTGGCGGTCAGCAGGAAGGGCTGGGTAGAACAGAATGTGAATCTGTAGGCCCCGTCCAAGCAGACCTGTACGTTGTAGAGCAGAGTAGAGCAGAGTAGAGCATGGTTGAGCACTCGGCTGTTGCGTACAGTACATGTAAGTCAACAGATACATGCGAATGGTCCGAGAGCCTGGTGGTTCGACGTTGCCAGGCGTCACATTCCAGCCTCGCAGCCCACGCATGCGGGAACACGGTAGGGTTGGTGGAACGGGCGGACGGGTGGGCAACGGGCCGTTGGGACTGCCATGTGCGCTGGCCGTCTCCGTCCATGTCATTTGTTTCCTTTGTCCTTGTTCTTCCTGCCGGTTCTAGAACAGCCCCCCCCCCCTCATGCAGCAATGCATTCCAGGGTGGCGGGGCGCTGCTGCTGCTGTGTGCTAGGTTTAGTCGGCACGTGGGATAGAGTGGGAGAGGGGGGCTTTGACATTTTGGTTCCATTCCATCCTGTTTGGTAGGGGAGTTTCTTTGTCGCTTCGGGTAGTCTACCCGGGAAAGAAAACATCGCCCCCTTTGTGTCTGAGATGGAGCTTGGAGTGTGTCGCGTGTGTGACGGGATTGGCTGGGCTACATGCTTTCTGCGAGTGTTTCGTGTCTATTGGGTTTGCTCGTGCCGAGCGTTGTTGGGGGAAGCTTCTGGGTGTTTCATGTCCTCTTGCTCTCTCTCTCGATTTTCTTGATTTTCATCTGTCCGATGTCTGTTCAGTCTGCCCGCTTAGACTTGATTGATAGTCTGATGATGTGAGAGAGTGGATGATGGGCGGCCGGATTGGTGTGTGCTCATCTCATCTCGTGTGTGTGTGCATGTGTGCATGCATGTAGATATGCAATGTGGATGGCCATTTAAGCAGTCGGCCTGGCTGGTATCGTATTGTATTGTATTGCATTGCATCATGTGTGATATATGTATGTATGTGTGTATGTATGTCTCCCGACTGTCAATGTAGGAACGGCTAATGCGTGATGCAGGGAGACAAGGTGCTTATGTACGGTACAGGTACGGTATTTGTTTTGACGGCTCGTATCCCCTCCTCATGCCCCCCCAAAATATAAGATGAGATGAAGAAACAACCTGACAGATGGCATGGACGCACGTGCCACCTTTCATTCCGTTCCGTTGCTTGTCGCCCGCTGCCGTGGCCGTTGCAGGTGCAGGTGGTGCAGTTGCAATGCATTGCTGCAGCGCTCCTTAGCGTTGCCGTGCCGATGCCGCTGTCTCCTTTGTTTTTCTTGGGATGACTCCTCCTGCCTCCTGTAGGCCGGGAGAGGAGAGGGGGCCAAGGGGGCGGAGAGGGGATGGGGGCCCCACCTGAATTTAAAGGGCGCCGCCACCAGAATGGGGGCCAAGCTTCCAGGGTCGCAGTGCGTGTTTGTGTGTGTGCATGTTATGGTTTGTGTTATGATGTGCCTGCCTCCTGTCTGTGCCTGTGCCTGTGCCTTGCAGGTCTGGCAGGTCTGGCAGGTCTGTTCTGGTTTGCGCTACTGTACGGTAAGTCGCAGGTAGAAGAAGTAGTATGGTAGAGAGGGCAGTAGACTCAGGATACTCCGTCTTGTCTGTCGCGTCACCGTCAAAGCGCAAGCCGTTCGCCCTCCCACCCTTTCGCTCCCACTCTTGCTCCTGCACTCCCACCTAACTCCCACTCGGTCCTCCGCCCTGAGATCGTCCAATATTACGTGCACATGCTCTCTGTCCGCCGCCGTGTCCCTCCCTCACTCCTCTAATCTAATCTAGCGGACACCCGCACTAATTACCCATACCCATACCCACACCTTACATTGCGCCGTAGTCCACTCTGTGTACCGAGTTGCATCGCCGACTACGACACTCCCCTATTGATCGCCCCCGAATTCAAGGGAGGAAAGAGCCAACTGCACACAGTTGACGCGGCACACGAGACGAGACGAGACGAGACGAAAGACAAGTCGAGACGGCCGAGATTCGATTCCACATTTCGACCTCCGACCATCTGTCAATCGACTCGAACGATCCGATCCGGCAAACAACACAACACAAGGCAACACAAAACAACACACAAAACCCACCCACGCTTCCTCCCTTGTGCAGCCAGCCCCAGCTGTGCAACCTCTGATGGGATCTCCTCTCTCGCCAATGCACCACGCGGCACCTAATGGTTCTGCCACGTACGTTGACGACATGGAAGACCAATTCGAAGACGCCGTCGAGTCCCATACCCACTCCTCCCCCTCCCAGCGCCGCTCCACCGGCGAGGACAGCCTGGAAGGCGCCAGCTCACCCTTCGTCGCCAGCGTCGACGGCCAGAGCCAGTCCTCCAACCAGGAGAACGTCTCGCCCTCCAAGGACAAGCGCCGCTCCAGGATCATGTCCGGCTCCGAGATCTCGCCCCTCAAGATGCTGCAGCGCTCCAGCACAGACGGCCCAATACCAGAGGCAGACGAGAAGCTCGCCCCGCCGGCGCCAAAGAGCCCGCGAAAGTCCGTCTCTCCCATGCGCCGCTTCCCCGTCAAGATCAACAACTCCTCCATCGACTCCACTCCGAGATCCCGACCGCAGTCCATGCATGCTGCACCACGGGAGCGCCAGATGAGCCATTCCGAAGACCCATCGCCGCCCACCCCGCCTGCTGTCACATCATCAACCACAACCACAAATGGAACGACTCAAGAGAGGGAGATGTCCCTCGAGGAGGCTATTGCACAGAACCCAGGCGTAAAACACGCGATCGAGATATTTGAGGATTCTATCAGTAGCATAGATGAGGACGACGACGACAGTGGTCTCGACGGGGAAGGCGGCACCGTCAAGGGCCCTATGGATGTTCAAACGCCCCCGAGCGACAGCCAGGACGAGACTGCAGGCGACGAGACCATGATGAGCACCTTTAGCAACTTCTCTGCCATTCCCAACATGACCACCTTTGCCCGCCTGGGCGGCCGCACGCCAACTCAGATAGCACGAGAAGACCCACGTCGCGAGTCCAACTCCACTAACCTGCTTGACTTTACCGACAACCTACGCTTCCCTGGCGGAGGCCGTACCTCCCCCACAAAAAATCTGGCCATGGCCGACGCGAAAAAGACACCCCAACGGCAAAACATCGCGAACCTGCTGGACTTCGACATCCCTCCAATGCCTACCCCACGCAGCCTTCCGAGCATCAGCGCCCGGGAGCTGGAGAGCCTCAAATCCAACTTCATGTCCGAGATCAGCGGCCTGAGGGCAACCTTGAGCGGCAAAGATGCCGAGGTCATCTCGTTGAAGACAGCCGTGGCCGAAGCCGAGAAGCGGGCCGGCGAGACAATGGAACATCTTCGCGAGGAGCGCAGCATGAGGGAGCAGTACTGCGAGGAAAGGGACATGTGGGAGAAGCGCGGCCGCGAGATGGAGACGGTGCTGCGCCAGGTCAAGGAGGAAATCATGACGACGAGCCGGGAACGCGAGGAGTTCGAGTCCAAGCTCGAGGAGTCCGAGGGCCGCCGCGAGGCCGCCGAGATGATGGCCCAGGAGGCAGAGGCTAGGATGGCTTCCATGCGCGCACGCGAGGCCAGCGCCGAGGCCGCGGCTTCCCCAGGTGGTGTAAAGAGCCCCGGCAGCCGAGCGTCCCAGCGCGAAATAGAGATCGCGGTGGAGAAGGTGGCTAGGGAACTCCACGCCGCGTACAAGAAGAAGCACGAGGACAAGGTTGCCGCGCTCAAGAAGACCTACGAGGGCCGCTGGGACAAGAAGATTAGGGAGCTTGAGGGCCGCATCGAGGACCTGACCAAGGAGAACGAGGAGCTCAAGCTCGGTCGCGACGCCACCATGACCAAGGTCGAGTTCGAGAGGGCCGCCGTCGAGGAGGAGCGCAAGGCCCAGGCCATCAGGGACTCGGCCCAGATCAAGGAGCTGAAAGCCGAGGTGGAGAAGCTCGAGGCGGTGGTCCGCACCGTCCAGGACGACAATGCCGACCTCAGGCAGCAGCTCGAGAGCGAGCGCGTCGAGAAGGGCGAGCTGGTTACCCTGGCCGAGGAGCTGATGCAGATGCAGGCCCAGCAGCAGAGCGCTGCAGCTGCGCAGCAACAGCAACAAGAGCAGCAACAAAAACAACAGAAGCAGCAACAGGAGCCTGCCCAGCACCACGTCCCTTCCGTGACGCCCAAGCGCGTGCCGCAGCGGGCCTCGGCGCCCGTGCCGGCCAGGAGCAACACCACCGGCGGCGGCTTCTCGCGGCCCTCGACCATGACGCCCAAGAAGGCCGGCGGCGCCAGCCCCAGTGGCATCCCAGGCACCACCAAGTCGGGCTACCGCAACAGCATGATCGGTCGGCCAGGCGGTCCGCCTCCTCTATCGGGGCTCAAGCCACCTGGGCAGACCAAGATCGGCGGCGGCGGCGTCGTGGGCGTGGCCCCCGCGCACGGCCGGACGCAAAGCAACGTCAGCGGCATCGCGAGGCCCGGCAGCGGGCTCGCCAGGCCGGGAGGGCTGATGAGCTCCATCCAGCAGATGGGGAGCTACCGTGGGCGCGGGGAGTAGGGAGCGTCGCGCCGGCCTGCGTCTTGGAACCGCTAATGATGGATTGGATGGGGAGGACAGAAGGGGGGCTGTGAGAGCCTGATTGAAGGTGGCGGGCGGTGTCGTGGCTATTTGATTGCTATGCAGCAGCGCGTGCCAAGGGGCCCTTGACGGGCTTAATGACTATGATTTGATGTCGTTATGAAAGGGAGAAAAAGATCGGAATGAATCGTTGGCGTGTTTTACAGACACCCCTATCATGCGCCGCGTGAGGAAGGAGGAGGAGGAGGAGGAGGAGGAGCGAGCATCGAGCGGGCGAGTGCAGAAGAAAGCGAGAGACAAGACCAGACAGCCTGACAGGGCGGCCGAGTGAAACGGACAGATGGATTCCGGGTTGCACGCACACACTCTTGGTCGTTGAATGGACTGTACATAGAGATACTTGAGCGGACACCCCTCCCCCGGGCCTCGTTGGGTCTCTAGGAGTTTTCTGTTTATTCCCCTTTTTGTTTCGACTTCTTCAGGATACCTACATGTTTACACTGCTTCTACTCAACCCGATCCTTTTTACTTTTCACTGCTGCCGTTCCTCTTCTGCCTGCGCACTTTTCCCAACTCCGGCCGCGTCCTGTCTCCTTTGAGTCGTGTGTATGTATTATTACATGTACATATCATATCCAGCCTGGACGTATTCATGGTGGTTAGTTGCTGGGTTTGAGACACTGGCTGGGTGGCGTTTGGTCTGTTCCGGGCTTGCGATCTGCACGGCTGGTTGTGTCGGCGTCGATATTTGAGTGAGCTCTGTGGGCTTGCTATGTGTATTTGCAGTGAGCAGCGGAGATAATTTTAAGATAGCATGAGTCGTGATGAGACCAAAATCGCATCGATGTGAAGAGGCTCGTTCATGGACTGCCATCCCGTTTGTGCGTGTGATGACGATGTTCTCCCACTGTTAGAGCCATCTCTACGTCCGTGGAGTTTAATCAGCTCTGCGATTCGGTTCTGATCGCACTGGGTTGTGATGCTGGAAGTTCGTATGCGGTCTATCTCGTCTGGCTGTGCCACTTCAGTGTCTCATTCATGTAGAGAACGGATATTCGCACCGATGGAAACGGATGGTATACCTTTACATCTCTCGGGCCACAGCTGCAGCTATAACACTCACATGCCTGAATTGCATCAGGTGTATAGGTGCTAGGTATGTAAATTAGGCGTGTGCGTAGTAGGCGTATGGGTATTGGGCGTATAGGTGTTGGGCGTATAGGTGTTGGGCGTATGGGGTGTTTGGTGTTAGGCGTGTGAATTAAGCGTAGGTGTTGACTTAGTGCTGGTGATAAACTGGTGTACCATCCATTTTTACTGGCGCGAATATCCGTTCTCTTCATGTATGCCTGGGTCTGGCGATGCTTTGAGTTACACCTCTGGTGTTAACTAATGTTGTTCAGACTCACCGAGCTGCCTCTGGTGACAGACGAACTCAACCAGAGGCCTTGATGTTCAGCCTCTTGTTGGTCGCAACTCAGTCGAGCGCGGAGAGGTAGGAATACAGACAATCCCGCTTAACCAGGAGTCGAGGCAGTGATGGGTCCCGGATCTGGTCATGCCCGTCTTTGCCCATTTATGATGCAGCTTGTTACAATTGAAGTATATTACTGAACTAACGAGAAAGTAAAAGACACCGCATTGATGATCATCCCGTATCGCTCTTGAAGGCGCCTGATCCACTTCGGAATACAATGTGACCCGAGTCCACGTCCATCCTCGCCGCGAGCTTCTGAAAGTTCGTCTGCCATGACGGGGGCACCATGAGTCTCGGTAGGCTTTTTCGTCTTGTAGAAATGGTTCTCGATGATCTGTTGCCGGTGATTCTCGTTTCTGTTGTACATGTTACTTCGTGACACAGTAACTAGTCGGAACTTCTGTAGCGCTCGATCTTCAGGCCGTTGAGCTGGAGGCGCTTCTTGAGTTGGTTTGTCTGGTGGTCCATGGTGATGGTGGACTCCCACTCGTCCAAAGAGGAGGGAAACTTGCTTCTCATCAGCATCATGACTCTTCCCAGCCGCGAATCGTTTATCTTGTTGCTCAAGATCCCCCAGAGAGGCCGGTCGTCGTGCTCCATGTCCACGACGAGGAGCGCCCAACGCTTTGTGGGACTGATCACCCGGCCCAGGATGAAAATGCACTTCGGCAGCTCGACGCCGTCGATGCTGGACTGCCCGCTCCGGGCGAGGTTCGGGTAGGAAAGACGGAAGAAGCCCTGAGGAGAGGCTGCTACCTTTGGTCCCGCCGGCGTCCGGGAATGCATTATTTTGTTGAGCATGGGCATGTGTTGCTCAGAGCCAGACACTACAAAGGCGCCTGGCTTAAGGATGGGGAGCGGGTGGTGTCTGAGATGGTTGCGCACGAGTGCGAGATCCTTCACGTCAGCACTGCGGACTGATTTGATGGCCGCATCCCGAGCAATTCGGATCTTCTCCTTCACCTGCTCTTTGATCTGGAACACCACGACTAGCAAGAGGACTTTCTCTTCTAGATCGCCTGGAAGCTCTTTGTAGTCCAGACTGGAGATGTAATGGGGATAGTGAGATCCTGCCGGCACGGGAATGAGGTACACCTTGCTGACATTGTTGCCACCTGCATAGCTGACCGTACCATGGCGCTCCCTGAGAATGAAGTAATCGAAGAGCCGGGTGAAATCTGTGTTGTTGGCATCAGGAGCTTGCTCAATGCGGAATGTGATCATGTCGCTGTCAGGGGTGAAGTTCAGCTGGTGAAGCTCTTCTTCCGACCAGCCAGTGGTAACATGGCCTTGAACTTCGAGCTTGTCGGGGAATAAATCCTTGAAAGAGGCATCGAAGGTATTGACAGGCTTGACAACACTGACCTTCTTGACGACCACATCCACCTTAGCGTCGACCTGTATGTTGGACCCGACTATGACTTGGCCTTTCCAAACCCCTGCTGCGGTCTCTGTAGAGCTGGCAGAAGCGTCAGAGGCCTGTTGGGACCGAGTCTGGCGGGTAGTGAGGCCACCGCCAGAAGAAGGTCGCGAAGGCTGAGGAGCATGATTGTTGAGGGGAGGAACACTAACGGCTCGCGTGGCAGTTTCAGTGCCCTCGGACGGCATGGGACGCTCAGTGCTGGCCTTCCGCTTGAGACCGCGGCTCTGTTGATCCTGGCTGGTATGATCTCCAGGACCGTGGTCAGAGACGCGAGAGGCAGACCATTTCTCCTCGAATATCTCCAGCAATCGCTGGCCTGCGATTCGGGCAGGGTCGCCGGAAGGGCGGTACCTGGATTTTGCAATCATCTGGTTGAGATCCGTCTTGAATGAGGCGGCCGAAGCGTAAACTCCTTTTGCAAGCTTCTCTTTTATGGTGTCCAAATCAACTGGTTGCGTGGTCGCATTAAGCTGTGTGGGCATAACCGGGGTGACCGAATCCACAGGCTTGAGGAAATGGCGGTTGTATCGCCGATGCTTCTCGTGCATGACTTCTTCCAAAACAATTTGACAAAGCGTAAAATCAGGCTTGTTGCCGTTCATGCTATTCGCAAGGTTGAAGTCAAGGGCCTGAGTCTGAATGTGATGGCCGCCTCTCCGGGGGCCGCCATTTCCCTCAGCTGCACTGTCCTGCTGATTGTTGTGCTGGGCGGGCGCAGAGACAGGCCGAGCCCTGGTCAGCTGTTGCTTGTAGGAGTCGACTAAATCATCCAAGGCCTCCTTGAACCGATTGAAGCTGGACTGAGAAGCATTCAATCTATTCTCAACTGCGGAGACCCGTTCTTCGGCAGTTTTGAGCTCGGCCTGAAGGTCAGCCTCATGCTTTCTGACAGCGGCGAGTTCGTTCAAAAGCCCCTTGCGACGCTGTTCGGCGGCGTCGGCCACCTTCTGAAGGTCAGCGTTCTGCTGTTTGACAGCTACCAAATCTCTCTGAAGGTTTGCGGGCCCACGTTTCGCCTCCTGCAGCTCGGTTCGTGCTTTCTGAAGCCCAGACCTCGCCTCCTCACGCTCGACCTTGACGGTATCAAGTTCAGCTTTCATTTTCTCGTCCTTGGCTTTAGAAGCTTCTCTCTCGGCCGAAAGCTTTTTCGTAAGCGCCTTCTCTGCTCGCAGAAGTTTATTCGTATCTTGCACAAGAGTCTTTTCTGCCAGCAAGCTCTTCATCGCGTCTCGCACAAGAGCCTTCTCCGCTCGTAGATGGTTCTCGAGATCATGGATTCGCTGGTCGGAAGCATTCATAGCATTGTTGACATTTTTTATGGCCAGTTTCTGGCTTGCTTGGAATGTGTTTCCGAGTGAGTTGATGCGCGTTTCGTATTCCATGAGTGGGGCACTGCGAAGGTTGTCGAGATCCTTCTGAAAGTCCTGGCCCAGCGTATTCATCTCAGCCTTTGCCCGCTCAAGCGGCGACTGACGAGGAGCCTGTGAGCTCATTTTGAATTCATACCGCTCGTTTAGCGATAATGGCTGTGATCGCACGGAATAGCGACTTTGCGCGACCTGGATGACGAGCAACTTGTATGGGTGTATGGGTGTATGGGTGTATGGGTGTATGGGTGTATGGGTGCGTGTGACTGGGGCTTTGCAGGCGACGAATTGGCTCTCGGGGGCAAGGTGACCGAGCAGAAAACCGCACACTCGATGAAAATTTGGGCTGTCTGAACCAAGGAGGCTCTGAAAAGTCGAGATACAAATCTTAAAGCTTCGGCCTCCCCTCAATAGCGCGATGCGTATCGCCTTTCTTCTCAAAGTACTGCCTGATAGCGCCCTTGGCAGTGTCAACAACACCAGCGTCCTCGACCGTACTGGGCACGCTGACGTTCTTGTCAAAGTCGCCGTGGACGGCGTTCTCGAGCAGCTCGCGCAGTACCCTCCGTAGGGTCTTGCCTGACCTTGTCTTGGGGATGATGGGTTTTGCGGTCGTAGTGGTCCTGATCATGCCACCAAGTGACGCGATTGGACCGACTTGGGTGCGGACGAGCTTCTGGATCTCGGAGAGGAGTTGTGTGTCGTCAAGTGTGCTGGTGGAAGAGCTGAGGACGAAGGCGAAGGGGAGGTGGCCTTTCATGGAGTCGGGGATACCGACTACGCACGCCTCGGTCACTTGGGGGTGGGAGGTGATTGCCTGCTCGAGTGTGCCTGGAAGTGGTTGTGAGTCAGGTTGGAAGCAACCCAGACTGCAAAGACGAGAAAAGAGAGGATAGGAAGGAAGGTAGTGGTAGGAGGAAAGTGTTGGAAGAAAGGGTTGTAAGGAGGAAGATAGAGGTCAACGGCCAGAAACTTACCTGTGCTTAAACGGTGGGCAGCTACGTTGATAATGTCGTCTGGAAAAATGATCAGACGAAAGTCACTGCAACAGGAGGGGGCCCAAAGGATCAACTTACCTGACCTGGCCATGATATGGACGTACCCATCTTTGTCTACGATACCAGCATCACCAGTATCCAACCACTTGCCATCAAACCTCTTCAGGTACCCTCCGTAAAACCTCTCCTCATCCTCCCACAACGTCCGAAAAGCAGTCGGGGCCAGAGGCGTCTTAAGCACTATGTTTCCCATCTTCCCCTTCCCCAGCTCATTGCCCTCATCGTCCACAACCCGTATGTCAAATCCCGGCATTGGCTTTCCAGCACTGCCAGGTTTGATAGACAGTGGTGGTTTCGCTTGAAGGTTATTCACAACATGTGGTGTCATCGACACTCCTGTCATGGGCGAGCCAGACTCGGAAGACCACCAGTTATCGATGACCTTGCCTCCGCCGATTTTGTCGTCACCGTACTTACCGAGCAGGTCCTGGTACATGGTGATGATGGCCGGCTCAGACCGCTCGCCTGCAAGGAACATTGCTCTGAGCGATCTCAACCCGCCTCTCTCACCAATCTTGCTGATATGCTTGTTCTCCGGATCATCCTTGCGAATGGCCCTGAGCGCAGTGGGTGCAGTGAATAGGGCGTTTACATTATACTCCTCGATCATCCGCCAGAACGAACTGGGGTCAGGCGTGCCGACTGGCTTGCCCTCGTACAAGACGGTGCCGGCACCGACGATGAGAGGGCCGTACAACGTATAGGAGTGAGCAACGACCCAGCCGATGTCACTGAAGCCGGCCATCTTTTCCAGACATTGTCAGTGAATTCCGAAAACCCATCCCCAGAAAGCAAAGCTTGAAAGATACTCACGACATCACCAGGCCCCTGGATGCCAAACATCTGCCTCATTGACAGACTCAATCCGACCGCATGGCCCGCAGCATCCCGAACCACTCCCTTGGGCAGCCCAGTCGTGCCACTGGTATAAATCACATACACCCCATCAGTCCCCTTCACAGGGACACACTCCTTGACCCTCTGACCCCTCAACTTCGCGCTCCTCACAAGGCGATTCCAGTTCATTTCGCCCCTCGCCCTATCAAGAGGGTGCCAGGCCAGCTGCTCGCGCTGCCACACAATCGTCCTGGGCGTCTTCCACGACGCAAGCCTCTCCGCCTCCTCGATATAATCCCGGTAGGGGATCGGCGGCTTATTCCCATCAATCCCACAAGACGCAGTAAGAATAGCCTTGGGTCGCGAAGCATCGATACGCTGCGCCAGCGCGTTGGGCGCAAAGCCCCCAAACACAACAGCATGGATGGCACCCAGCCGCGACACAGCAAGCAAGCCGATCAGCGCGGCGGGGATCATGGGCATATAAAAGAGTACTTTGTCGCGTTTGCCGACGCCCTCGGCACGCAGCACCGCCGCCAGGGCCTGGACATCATCCAGCAGCTCCGCGTAGGTGATGCGCTGCTTGGTGCCCGTCACGGGGCTGTCGTACAGGATGGCCGGGCTGCCGCCGTTGCCCGCCTCCACGTGGCGGTCGACGCAGTTGTAGCACGTCGAGATCTCGCCGTCCGGGAACCACTCCCAGTGGTCGTGGGTCTTGTGCGACTTGGGCAGGGTCTTGGTGTACCTGCGCAGGACGGTGGAGGGCTTCTTGTGCCAGTGGAGGTGGTTGGCTTGCTCGGCCCAGAAGGACTCTGGGTCCTTGAGGGATGAGGTGTGCAGCTGGTCCTGTGGGTGAGACATGGTGATTCGGAAGAGGAGATGAGTGACTGAATGATAGAATGAGTGAGAATGAGGAGGAGAGTGAGAACGGGGGCTGTGAGGCAAAAATCAAGTCCGGGTGTATGGGGTCCGGGTGTCCGGATGCCTGCGATTACGTATAAGTCAACGGCCAGACGATCCGGGGTTTGGATGGCACACTGGCACACACCTGCGATTGATCTATATAACCAGGCTGTTTGGATGATGAGAAGGCGGTAGGTCTGAGGCTCAAATACGCTTTAATGGGAACCTGCAAGATATACTGCCGACATCTACCCGCGTGCACCGAGGTTGCCGTTCTGCAAGGGCGAATGGAGGGCTGAAGCTTTTCCCCGCATCCTCGTCCCCAGCCCCGGGTTGCTTACCCCAGACGGGCGACCGGGACGGTGACTTCATCGGGGTTTTAAGGTTCAGGGGTCCTGCTCCACCCGAAGCACGCACGACTGCGGATCTAGTACACGTGTAGTACCATCGTGTCTCACCAGATCTCACGGTTTCCTCTAGGTTGTGAAAGTGAGTAACCTCGTTCGTCGGGGGTAAGTAGAGAGGCTTCATTCTAAGCTGCAGACTATAGATCTTTTGTGGTAGCAACTCGGGGGGTCTGAGAGATGTTGAAAATGGCCCATCTAAGTGACTGATGGGCACTGAGGGTGATCCAGATTGACAGACCCTCCAGGGTTAAGCCCTGGCGCCAAGGGGGAGTCGGGCGGGCTGCCACATCTTTGAAGCCATCTCCGACAGCTTAAGGCATATATATGTGCCTCATCTCATCTTCTCATCCATCATTTTCCTCCATTTTGAGGCGTTCCTTAGCAACAACCATATGCCCAGATTACTAGTAATCCACGCAAATAATGCCACCATGGTACACAACCACCCCACGCCCATGGCACCGATCAGCGGCTCCGTAACCACAACACCAACACAGCTGAAGATATTCCGGATAAAGTTGTTAAGCGCAACACCACTGGAACTCTTCTTAGGCATGAACTCCGTGAGCATGGTAGTCGCAGCGCCGAAAATGAGCATTGTTGCGAAGCCGAAGAAGAAGTTGGCCACCATGGGCGCAAGCCAGAACACGCCCCTGTCCGCACACCACCCGAACCACAGCATCGCGGCCGGGAACATACTAGCAGCGAGCCACGCGTTCTCGCGCAGGCGGTCCTCGGGCAGGAAGACGAGCTTCCCGTGCGCGTCGTACCGCCCGGCCTTCTTTGCCTCGCGCAGCATGATGCTGTCGACCCACTTGCCGCCGAACAGCGACGAGATGAGGTACCCCAGGGAGCTGGGGATGTACAGCAGGCCCACGATGATGACGGGGAAGCCGTAGGGCGGCCGCGAGAAGGTGCCCTGGATCGAGATGCTCAGCACGAAGAGGGACCCGAACGCGATGGCCGCGAACCCGACCGTCAGCGCCACCGGCGGGAAGCGCAGGTACACGATGCAGGAGAGCGGGTCGATGAGGGCCTTGCGGAGCAGTGCCGCGCCGCGCCTGGTCTTGACGGCGACGGACTGGCGCGTCGACATGCGCGCCAGGCTGGTCGTCCTGTCGAGGTTGCCGCTGTCGGTGTTGGTCGTAGCACCGCCTGTGGCTGCTGCTGCTGGCTTGCGCCGGGCCAGCGTCTCGGGCAGGAAGAAGACTATGCTGAGGAAGTTGAGGCCGCCGAAGCAGGTTAGAAACCACATGGTGCTCTGCCAGCCGAAACCCTGGGCAAGGGCGCCTCCTATGATGGGCGCGAGGAGCGGGCCGGCGAGAGGGCCAAGGTAGAATATGCCTGTGGGCTCTGAATTAGCAGGCAGGTCTAGGTCTCACAGTTGCAAGTAGTGATCGATACGCACCCATTGCCCTGCCCCGCTCAAATGGCTCCCAGAGGTCTGCAATTGTGCCCGCGCCCACAGCTTGAACAGATGCCGCAGCGCCGCCCCCGAGGACGCGGAAGACGATCAACATGGAGATGGTCGTGCTGACGGCGCTGAGGACGCTGAAGACGACGAACAGGCTGAAGGAGACGACATAAATTGTCCTTCGGCCCAGTGTCTCGGAGAATGATGACCTGTTGAGTGGTGAGACAGACGGCTTGGATCCGGGTCAGGTATGGAGACTAGGGACTCACCACCACAGCGGGAAGATTGACATTGCCAGCATGTAGAACGCTACACTCAAGTTGACGATAGTCTCACTCGTATGAAAGTATTCAGCCATTTCCGACAGGGCGGCTAGTGCATAGTCAGCAACTGCAAGGTGGGCGTCTTCTACCGCAACGTGACAAAGGTCGTGTGAGACATACGGTATAAGATGTTGCTCCCGAGAGGGCTCCCTGCTGCTGCAGCAGCCACAATGGTCGTGATCATCCATTTGGTCTTCCGTGAGTAATCATATGGGCGTTCTACCTCCGGGATGAGTGTGAGTTGTGCAAAGAGGCCTCTCCTCTCCTTCCCGGGAACAATGACGAGGGGCCGTGATCTCGCCGATGAGGCCCGGGAGTGAGACCGACTCGGCCCGCCATCTTCCGGGGGGATGCCGGTGTTGAGACCCTCTGGGCCCTCGGGCTCTGGGTCGCGATGCCGATCATCTTCCTCGTCGTCCTCGTCGACAGAGTTCTGGCGGGATTTACTGTCGACTTCGGCGTGGCTGTCTGCGGCGAGGTGCGAATCTGTGTCACTGCCGGCGTTCCCCAGTGATGGTGTATTGTCACTTCTGGTTGCTTTCTTCTCTGGGTCCGCATTGCCAAGGGATTGATGAGTAACGGCATCGCCCTCGTTCTTTTCTGGGTCTGCTGCTGCCATAGCCAAGCCCGGAACCTAGCAATTCGGAGGCCGCGACCGGCGCCGGGAGGGGAACTAGGAATCGGGATGGGCCAAGAGACCTCTTGGAACTCGGTGCTATTTAAATTTGAAAAATTCAGATTAAATCATTAGGATATGGCAAAGAGTATTTTGAAAACCCATAGCAGCCCGAAGCAGATACAAAGAACATGGGCTGAACAATTCAACCCGGACAGCAAGCAATAAGTGCGAGCAACAAAAGTTGTGTGTTTGGGTAACAGGGAGAGGGCAAGTGGCAACGAGGACTCAACGACGAGAGCAGCAGCAGCAACAGCAACAGTAGCTGCAGGATCTGAAGGGCCCTAGCATAGATGTTTCGTCGGTAGATGGCCGGAAATAAGGACCGAGGCACACTTTGCAGCACCAGAAACGGCCACTAGGGAAAAGGGGTGCACCGGCTTTTCTTTATACCCACTTTACCTCCTCGGCGCCGCTTGATGCAGACCGACAGGTGCAATCGGGTGTTTTTCGCCGGGCATGATGGAGTTGGCCGAGTCGCTGGCTGCATACATACCTGGTCCGCCCCATTTTCGACGGCATGTCGTGCGACTGGCCGAGGGGTGTGCCCCCCCTGCTGGTCGGAGGAGGACATCATTCACTGCCTGGATTCGGGGCAATTGTGTGCTGTGTAGCCTCGTGACGGTCCGAACTCGCGCGAGTCAGACTATAATGGCAAGCGGTGCTGAAGGAGAGGGACTAGAGACCAGCTGTGTGGGACTTGCAAAACAACTAGACTGGGAGGTGATCGGCAAAGACGGCATCTCCTAGCCTGACGTTGTTTTGATCCGCCGGGCGGGCTTCTTCCTTTCCGTCTAGTGTGCCGAGGTCTTGTCTGTCGCATACATTCCGAGGGTGGTTCCTACCACCACGATGAGGTGCTCGGAAACCGCAGCGCCGCCCCAGTTTGAGTCCTTGGCTTTGCAATGCCTCCTTCGCAGTCGCAGTTGCGACCGTAGCAGGAGGATTCCGTCTCTGCTGCTCCGGAAGACGTGTTCTCCAGGCTTGTGCGCGCCAAATGTTCCTGGGTAGTTTTGTCTTCTCACAATTGGTCGGGTCAGCCAGGGTTGGCGGCTGACCGATTCGGCTCTCGCCATCAGACTGATGCCGAACAACGCACAGACCACACCCGGCCGCGACCGGCCCGGGCAGCGGCTGCCCCTGCCGGAACTGACTCCTCCCTGCAAAACAACTCAGAAGATGACGGTGAGTTTGGTGAGAGTCCGTATGAGACAAACACTTACAAAGTGTCTCCTTCTTTTGAATTAATAGACAAAGGCTGTTGAGAGTGGTCAACCCATTTTTCTTGTTCCTTTTGCTTGCATTCGAATTTGGATGCAAGATGACCGTCTAGAACTCGATCGGGAAGCGACTCCGATCATGGAGTTGTTGAAAATGACCTCAACTCGGATGACTGAACCGAACCCATCTCTCATTGACAGCCTCAACTCCACAACCACGAGACAGCCCATCTTTACTTTCAGCCTTGCTGCGTCTTGACTTGTGTTCTCAAGTCCTGGTTACATTTCTTAGCCGTAGATCGACTCCACACATTCGGCAGGACCAGAAGATGTCCCTGACAAGCTCGAGTGCCCGTGAGGCCGCACAGGCTGCAAAGTCCGCCTCGCACCTCCTCGCCACCCTCCCCGTCAGCGCCCGTAATGACGCCCTGACAGCCATCCACGACTCCTTGGTCGCCTCCAAGGACGCCATCCTGGCCGCGAATGCCAAGGACATGGACGCAGCCCGACAGGCCGCGGCTGATGGGCAGCTGTCGCAGAGCCTGGTTTCGCGCCTGGACCTGGGCAAGGCGGGCAAGTGGGAGGATATGCTCAAAGGCATCTTAGACGTGCGCGGGCTGGACGACCCTCTGGGCGTGGTCGACCTGCGCACGCGGCTGGACGACGGCCTGGTGCTGGAACGTCTGACCTGCCCCATCGGCGTGCTGCTCATCATCTTCGAGGCCCGCCCTGAGGTCATCGCCAACATCGCCAGTCTGGCCATCAAGTCTGGCAATGCCGCTATCCTGAAGGGCGGCAAGGAGAGCACCCACAGCTTCGTCGCCATCTCCACGGCCATCTCCGCCGCCCTGGCCAGCGGCAGCGTCGCCGTGCCCGAGGCTGCCGTCCAGCTCGTCACCACCCGCGACGTCATTCCCCAGCTGCTAGCTCTCGACGCCTATATCGACCTGGTCATCCCACGCGGCGGCAACGACCTGGTGCGTTACGTCAAGGACAACACTAAGATCCCCGTCCTGGGCCACGCCGATGGCCTGTGCTCTGCCTACCTGGACCGCTCCGCCGACCCCAAGCTGGCAGCCGCCGTCGCCGTCGACTCCAAGACGAGCTATCCAGCCGCCTGCAACAGCCTCGAGACCCTTCTGGTCGACGAGGGCGCCCTTGACGGCGTCTTCCCCGCAGTCGCCGAGGCCCTGCTCTCCAAGGGCGTCACCCTCCGCTGCGACGCCCGGACCAAAGCCGAGGCGGGCAAGCTGTCCACCACGGGAGGAGGCAAGGTGGAGGACGCTCAGGACGCCGACTACGACACGGAGCACCTGGCGCTCATCCTGGCCGTCAAGGCCGTGTCCGGGCTGGACGAGGCGGTGGCGCACATCAACACGCACGGGTCGCACCACACGGACGCGATCCTGACGTCGGACGAGGCGCAGGCCGAGCGCTTCATGACGGCCGTCGACTCGGCCGGCGTGTACTGGAACGCGTCGACGCGCATGGCCGACGGCATGCGGTACGGCTTCGGCACCGAGGTCGGCATCAGCACCAACAAGATCCACGCCCGCGGGCCCGTCGGGCTCGAGGGCCTGACCATCTACAAGTACAAGGTGCGCGGCACGGGCCAGGTGTCGGCTGTGTACGGTGAGGGGGAGGGCAAGAAGCGTTTCCTGCATGAGAAGTTGCCTTTGTAAGGCTTGGGTGGTTGGTATTACGGGATGTTGGTCAAGGTGTGGCGTTTAAGGATGGAGAAAAGTGTCTTGGATCTCAAAAGGGGCATTGTTGCAGACATGGAGGAGTAGCAGAGAATGGGCCTTTCCGAAATACACTTTTGATATTCCCAATTTAGTTCACAGCTTACCCGCAGCCCTCGATGGTTGGCTTTCTGACTCAAGGCACAGTAACAATGATCTTGCCCCTCGTGACATTCTTCTCCATCAGCCGGTGCGCCTCCTGGATCTCCTCCATCTTGAAGACCTTGTCCACAAACACCTTGATGTCACCGCTCACCATTTCCGGCACGTAGTGGTCGAGCCTGTCCCGAAGGTGGCCCTGGTACTCCTCGTCACGCGCGCGCAGCGTGCTGCCCTCCCAGCGGATGCGCTTATACAGTATCTGCGCGACGTTGAGGTCCTTGAGCTGCGCGCCGCCCATGAAGGCCAGCTGGACGATGCGCGCCTCGCGGGCCGCGCAGTCCAGGTTCTTCTGCACGTAGTCGCCCGCGATGTAGTCGACGATCAGGTCCGCGCCGGCCCCGCCCGTGGCCTCCAGCACGCCCTTGGACCAGTCCTCCTCCCTGTAGTTGAACGCCCTGGTAGCCCCCAACTCCTTCTCGATGAAGGCGCACTTCTCGGCGCTCCCGGCCGTGGCGAAGACGCGCGCCGCGCCCGCCCGCAGGCTGAGCTGGATCCCCGCGATGCTGACGCCGCTCGCGCCGGCGTGCCACAGCACCGTCTTGCCCTTGAGGTCGTCGAACCCGCCGACAAAGTGCAGCGCCTGCGTCGCCGTGATGAAGGTCTCGGGCACGCCCGCCGCGGCCTCCCAGGACAGGCCGGACGGCTTGTGCAGCAGCATCTTGGTGCTCACCGCGATGTACTCGGCGTAGGCGCCGCCGTACGCGAGCCCGAAGACCTCGTCGCCGACCCTGAGGCCGCGGCAGTGGTGGGCCTCCTCCGAGCCGAGGGCCTCGACCGTGCCCGAGAACTCGACGCCCATGATGGGGCCGGCCTGCGGCGGGAGCGGGTAGTGGCCCTCGCGCTGGATCAGGTCCATGCGGTTGAGGCCGAAGGCCTTGATCTTGACCAGGGCCTGGTGTGCCGCGGGGGTGGGCTTGGGCACCTCGGCGTTGATGAAGAGGTTGTCGATCGGGCCCTTGCCGCCCTTGATGTCTGGCCCGGATGTGAGTGCGGGACTCGCGATTGGTCTTGGCAACCTGGCCGGGGGGTCACTTACCGACTGCTTTCATGTATTCAGGCATGTTGGCTCTCTTTGTGTGAGTTAATGAGGTATATATCTCTTGTTCCCTCTTGATGTCTTGACCAATTTGACTGCCGATTGTTCGTGCCGTCACTGGTGTCGCCAAGGCGGATGAGTAGTGACGTCGACGTGAGAGTTAGCAAGTGGGTTTGACGTGGGAATGTAGTTGAATTTGTACGTTATGTCCTAACCCGAAGACTGGTACACGCATGACGTTATCACGACCTCGCTTTCTGCGCTTACTAATTGCGCTCCTGCGGGTTTTTGAAGCAATTCGAGCATTTAGACCACTCAGGACGTTTCCGTACCGGGGCGACCGAGAAAGTGGGGTCGACGAACGGAGAACGGAGCACGGGCAGGAGAGCCTCGGCACCCCGGTCGCGTCGGATCAACGTCGCCTGGCGACGGAGCACGAGCTACTCCCCCCTCATACATCACCGTCTCTACTAACAGGCTCGCCCCCTCACCCCTACGTTGCCCTTTTTCTCTTCTCTTCTTGCGATTTCGGTCAAACGGGTTGCATGAGCGATCGAAATAGAAAAGTCCTAGGCAGCTCTGGCTGGCCAACCACTTGACTTCACCGCCGCCTTGGTGATACGGCAGTGGCCAGCTCCATGTTCAGCTCCGGCCTGAGATTTGGGCTCGCCGCTTCGTTCCAACCACCGCAGTCTGCCCAATGATGCCCAGATCACAGCCTCATCCGCCCTGGTCGAAGCGGCCCAGGTATGCGGCGCAGCGGGCAAGCTTTGGACCTCATCCTCACGCTATGGTTGAATGCCAAGCCTGCATGAGATGATCGAGCGGTTAATTCTGGCGTACCGGGTTTCCGTTGGGGGCCTGCAAGCCAACTTGGATCTTTGAAGCTCTGCCATTGCCCACGAACTTCTTATCCCCTCCACCATCAGTTTGGGCCAGCATGTCTTGGTCCATGTCTATCACGCAGGTGGTCTACATCAATTTTCGACATTCAATCAAAATTACGATCCCAAAGCCTGCTTCGGTCGCGCTGCTGCTCGTCTGCTCTCAGTTCCGTCCCTTACAAGGACCTTCAAGGCGCCTTCACCTCTCACCAGCGCGCATGCTCATGGAATGGAGCTACTTGGCCAAGCACCAGGATGAAGAGAAGCCGCCTCTCCCGTACCGTACCGGCGCGACATTCCCAGCTCGCACTTGGGATCCTCCGCTGGAGGGCCTTCCCGATGGTCACGCTTGGGACGAAGGCGAGCTCGATCAGGAGCTCCAAAACGAGCACCCCTTGGAGACATGCGTCCGATACACAGGAGCCACGCTCTCCAAAATCAACGCCTGCGAGTGGAGCCGGGCTGAGCGAAAGGCCATCATGAAGGCGATTCTTGATGGTGATAGTAAGATGCGGCAAGCTGGCGGTCTCCAAAGAGATTTGGTGCCGCGCAACGTGATCCTCCAGGGCCAGCCTGGACACCACTTCTCAATCAAGTTAATCGACTTTGACCACGCATACTGTCTGTTCGAGCCTGAACCAGATGCCGAACTTGAACCTGAACCACCCTCTGATATCGTGGAAAGATGGTCAGGCGATGCTTTCATGTATGAGGATGCCTTTAGCGATATTGTTGATTGGCCGTGGGATGAATGGCTACACGAAGTGTATCTAAGACCAACGGAATGATTTGGGATGGAAGCTCGTGCAATACAGTCACAAGCCAACAGGCAGTGAGGTGTACTTGTACAGACCGCCCAAGTAATACAATGATAATCATATGATCCAACATCCTCTCCCAATCGGCAACATAGAGAATCCACAAATGAAAGCAGGCGGGATGGCCGCCAGTCGGCATGGTTTTAAAAATCGAAGAGATAGGCTCGGGTAAGAAGGAGAGCCCTGACTGAGGCCCAAAATATCCGCCGTTGGTAAATTTTAACTTCTGGATATAGCCCAGCTGACACAAGTTTCGATGGTTGGGCCAAGGCATCCCTGCACTGGCCCCTTATCGATAAGCCCCTCCTGTCTACACCTGCAGCCCAGAGGGCCAGGGCAAACCTCTCCTTTCTTCCTTTTCTTTTTAGGCCAGCCTACTCTTCAAATCCACATAATTTGGTGCACAATTCGAGCCTCCGTGCCGTCAAGCCCAAGTGACGTCTCGGCTGTCAAAAGCTTGAAGCCTTCCGATTTATCATACCACACATTGCCCAACGCACCATGGCTTCGTTGTCAGCCCTCACCATTTACCTCTTTGGAGTAACGGCCTTTGGAGCCGGAGCACATACTCTCTTGTTCTCGGGCCCAACAACACCCGAGATGAAAGCTAATTCGCTCGCTGCGATTGCTATGGGTATCTACTACCCGCTGGCCGCCTACCAGGAGAACCGTGCCTTCTTCATCGCCACCGTCCCGATGCGCTCGCTGTCGGCCACGGTGTTCTGGCAGCAGGGTTGGGTGGAAGCGGCGGTCTGGGAGGGTGCGGGCGCGGCGTTGACAGGACTTGCACTCATGTGGCAAGCATGGCGCGAAAGCCTTGCCAAGGAAAAGAGCCACGCTTCTTGACCCGCGTCGCCTACTTGGGCATCAGAGCTTCCTATGGGGACGTAATACTCTGTCATACGAAAAGCACATGGGCACGGTGGCGTTATGGGTTTTGCGTGTCTTTTCGATCACTACCAGGCGAGGCTGTGGCAACACTTGATGTGTGAAGGTCTACGAGGATAACTGCTCACCAAGCCTATCCTGATGGAGAGATGGGGCAGCTTGTATCTCTTGTGAACGCTTTGGGGTTAAAAGAACGGTCCCTCTTGGCCGGCAAAATTATTAATTAGTACAGAATTAACTGCTAAGGTGATTTCTGGCACTTAAATTTGATGATCTCGCTCCTTGCGGCGGTTTTCATTGATAAGGTAACTTCCAAGTGCTAGATGCTTAGACACTGGCCAAAAACCCATTACCCGTTACCCGCCACCCAAATTAAATATTTACCTCCATAAGAACCTCCGTTTCAGCCCTATAATAAAATTAAAGGAACCGCGCTTTTGCCATTATGAAGAACGAATCATACTGCCTAAGTTAATAAAAGTACTTTGCAAACATTATCTTTAGCCGGCCAAAGATCGCCATATTAAGTAGCTGCAGCATATGGGCAGATTAAATAAAAAATATATATATTACGTTATATTATAACTTTAAAGCCTAAGTCTTATTATATAAAGAATGGATATTCTTTCTTTTATTAATGAATATAAAGCTTATTGATGCAGTATGCCCCTGAAGCCTAGCGTGGTAGGCTTATTATGCCCCTAATAAGCCTGTAAAAGAGCCCCCTGGGCAACCAGTGGGTCCCTCTCCCTTTTGGCGCAGCGGAAGATTTCGCGACTGCATTACTTATATAATAACTGGGAATAAAAATTAACTTGCCATCCTTTATAAAGTAATTATTTAAGTTTAAGCTATATATATTTATATTATTAAAGCTGTTAAGTCTTTTTTATGCTTTTTATTTCATTTTTTCTTATAATTTTAAGAAAGATTATATTTTGTTATTATACTTTAAGTTTAATATATTTCCTTAAAGGTTAATATTTAATACTATTATATTTAAATGTCTTTATCAACGAAGTCAACGAGCTTGCGGGCCTTCTGAAAGGTGCGATCAAAAAGATGGACAAGAAATTCGGTGACTACAGTCTTGACAGCGGCCGTGTGCTGAGCCGAGGTCCATTGTTCTACTCCTACAACCAAGCCGTGCCGCCTGCAAGGAAAAGCGGAAAATCAACTCCTAGGGCCACTCAGACCCCTACGAATGGGCCCCAGACTCCTATTCCGGGCAATGGCCCGAGAGGTCACCATGGGCCGCAGTCCAGTGCCTTGAGTCTGTCGCAGTCGATCAGTGGCGACTTAGGCCAGCTCGACGTTGCTGCGGGTGCTTTCGGTGATCCAGGTCAGACGGTGAGTGCTAGAGTAGAAAGTGCTCAAGAGATGGGGGCGGCAGACCAAGAAAAGGCTCTTGATACGGGAGTCAGCAGCTTTCCAAAGAAGAGAAAGAGAGAAAGAGGATAAATGATAAGGACTTACGTAGCTTAACTTACTAGATGGCATAGCAATGGACATTCATTTTATATGCAAATGCAGACTTCAATGGAGGTATTTCAACTAAATCAGGTGAACATCGTCTGCTACATCGCTGGAAAGAACTATATCTCACTGGGGCAGCTAACTTAGGATACTCATTAGAATGACCAACAAATGGAATTGGTATTCATTTATCCCTTATTTCAGCTTCCGAGACCGACCAAGAGCTCCAGGAGCTGATCTATCTACCCAGATATGTGGTTTGGGGGCCTGGAATCTAGTAGCAGAACCACGCAGTGACAACACAATGAACCAGATGAAACGGTGTGGCCATCTGACAGGGACCTGTCCACTCAAAGAGTCCACAAAGACTTGCGGTTGCGTTTGTTTGACAAGGTGAACAGAAGCTTGAGTAGAGACCGGTTGATGGATATTTGGTACCCAGGGAGCATTTTCACAGCAGGACCAAGAGGAGCCCTTGACCCCCTAGTTCTTGTCCAGAAAATCGCCTCATTTTCGTCTTAGAGACGGGCGGTGGCTCGTGGGATCTGTTTGATATTGGACATGGCGTGGTTGCTGGAGCGAGGAGAGGCAGACGAGTGATCGCCCGCACTTCTCAGCAAAAGTGGGCCTGATAACCAGTCCCCAACCTGCCTGGACAACACGAGGATAATACAAGACTCACCAGAATAACTTCCCTGGCGTGCTGGCGCGTTACTTGCTCCCAAGAAATCGTTGTTCTGCTGGGCGAATGTTTACTGATGAATCAGGAGGATGACCGTCTTGGAAGATGTACAATGGTGTCTTGGCCCCGCCGGGCGGGTTGGGGGAAATTGCGCATCCGCCCAGGTGCTGGGATCAATACGATGAGGAATCTTGGTGGACGGATGGATGTGCTTACTGACCCACTGAGCAGCGATTGGATCCTCCGCGGCACCAGAGTCTTTGCTGTTGAATGCTATCTGGTGGATGGAGAAGGAAAGGGGCAGAGGTTACTGGGGCGCCATGATTTCTCAACCTCTGGGAGTGTGAAGCGGAATTTGACCGCGTAAGCTGCTCTATCTGACTGTATCTGCAGGTACGAAGCCATCCGAGCATGCCCAGGTGGCCGACGGATCGCTGCGCCAGACCGTGGTCAATAGATAGTCTGCAAATGGCTTCGATTCAACAATTGTCAACTCTGGGCAGACTGGCAGACTTTGAGTGGGAGTGAGGGGCGATGGATTGTCTGTGCCGTTGGGGCACGGTCTCTTCGGAGATGTGAGTAAGACAGGTCGCTCGGCAATGGTCTTGGATGGCGGGAACCCTAAACACACTTGCCATGCGCTCTCTTGCATTCCAGCATCTGTGAGCGAGAAAGCGATTGTGGAGGTGGGACCGGCCAGAGAGAGACGCCAACTTGTTGAAATTGACTTGACTCCTCACGAGAGCCTGTGGTCCGACATGGGCGGCAGGCGAACTGGTTGCATCCCTTTTCGGAGGCCGAGGGACTGGTGGGCTGGCTGACCACTGCTAGCAGAACTGGGCACACCCAATCGCCCGTCACCACTGTTCATTTCCGATTATAGCAGCCATCTCTTCCGCCAGCTGCAGTGATCGCCGCCTCGCCTCGCCTCGCCTTGCAGGCCACGCGCAAGATCCGACCCTGCCTGTACCTGGGTTCTGGGGTTCTAGAACTGTTGATCGGACTGGGGGCCGAAATATTGTCCGAACCAAGAACACAACAGCCCAGACAACTAGACAAGCAGAGGGGTCCTCGGATCAGCAGACAGTGACACAAGTGGCTTGACGTGCTGCTGTGCCTGCATATCGCTTAGGGTGCTACCGGACCGTGTTGCCATGCGATCGCAGATGGGGGCCGACTGACGGACAGAAGGATGAGTGACGGCCGACTCTTGTTAAGGACTTGAGGGTAATTTCCCAAGCCTCTGGGCCATGCGCACCTGCACAGTTACGAACAAGTTTTAGCCCGCGGGCTAGTCACTAGCAGATGTTCTAGCCTGCCAGGCTTGCCGAATCATGGCCGTTTGGTTCCTGGTTCCTGGTTCCTGGATTCTGGTTCCTGCATTTAGCTCCCAGGGCTGTGTTGCGCCTTCCGCCTTCCGCCCTCCTCCTCTCTTCCATGACGTCCGATTCGACCAGCTTGCGCCTTCCCCTTCCCCTGTCAGCCTGCAGCTGCCCACCTGGGCAGTTGGTGGCAGCCAGGCACAGAAAATCCTGCAGTAGCCGCAGCGGCAAGCGGGCAGCCAAGCGGCATGTCCCCCTTATTTCATCTCATCTCATCTCATCCTTGTTTCTTCTGCCTTCTTCCCCGCCCAGCCGTGCCTTGCAGCACAGGGAAGGGCCAGCAGTTCATCCAGTCAACGTGTCAGCCCTCTTCCAAGGTTCCATCGAAACCCCAGCTTTCGGGTAAACGGTCGTATTGCAGACCACACCCCTACCCTGCCTTGCTGTCACCGGCAGTCTGGAAGTCGGGCATTGTGATGGATTCGGACTGTCTTGTCGCCCGACATTGTTGCGAGTGGCCCGAGAATAGACGGTGCACACGCACACACGCGCGTGCGCACTCCTCAGTCGTCAGTCAGACCAGCTTGGCCGACCTGTCTCAGCGCTTTGACTGCTGACTGGCGAAGGTTCTGACTCTGTGAGCTTGTCACGACCGTGGCAGGTCTTGGGTCGCTTGTCCGTTCGCCGCCCGTGGAATGGCTGAACATTCGGGTCCCTATGACTGTCGTCACCGCCACACGACAGGCAGGAGGGGTAATTCACATGCCCTCCCTCTCAACTGAGTAGACTATCGACCGCATTTCTGTTGGTCCAGGGGCTGTCTGTCAACGGTGATCCGAGATCTGGAGAAGGGCCCCATGGGCCCCATGGCAGCTCCACCCTGCCCTGATCTTGCCCAGCTGGACCCATCCATCAGGCACGGCCCCGAGCCCACTCGATCCACCCTTTCAGTCTCTCCAGTCTCTTTGACATTTTCGAGATCATGGCCCTGGCTTTCCGTCTGCCAAGCTTTCGCTACGCATCACTTCATTTTAATTTCACCTCACTTCTCTTCCCTTCTCCTCAGTCCCATGGAGACAGTCGTGCCACCTTATCCAGTCAACCTCTGGAGGAGGTGGGAGGCCAGGCACAACACGACTATTGGGCTGACTGCTGACGCTCACCATGAAGGATCCGAGGTTCCTTTCTCTGTTTCTCTGTTGATGGATGGATGGGCAGCACCCCTTCCCGTCAACGGCTAGTGGGGCATCCCATCCTGGCATGCCTGGCAGGAATCCCATCTTCTGATTCGGCGGCCGTTAAATAACCTGCCGGCCAAAAGCAGCGAAAACTGGATCCTGCACAGACCCTCGCCCAGTAGCGCCCACCCCCCTACTGGCCACCCCTGCTCACTGCTCTCCGCCATCTCGCCTGCACCGTCCCATGGCTCAAGCCCACCTAATCTCCCGAGAACCACCCCATCGTCGCCTTTTGTATATAAGACTACGGCCTCGTGCACTGTCGGCTCCTGGTCCCTCCCTCCCTCCTCCTTTCTCCTCCACCCTCACACTCACTACCACTCGCTAAAACCCTGACTCTCGAGTCAATTTCATTCGTTAATCAGCTCTCAACAAGACCAAGGAACAACAGTTCACGAAACTCCAACCCGACAACTTACAAAGTCACTCTTCCGAGTCTCTAATTCTAATACCCGACCCGACCGTCAAAATGAAGTTCTCCGCTGCCGCCGTTCTCGCCGTCGCCGCTGGCGCCTCCGCCTGGGAGAATGTCACATACACCACCGAGGTTGTGACTGCCATCACCACCTTCTGCCCTGCCGCCACCACTCTCACCCACGCCGGCACCACCTACACCGTCTCCGAGGTACGTTTGCGACGAAAGGGGCATGACCTGACTCGGGGCGACTATGGAATAATGAGCCAGGGAAGCCATGAACAAATGTCGCAAGATTTTCGGCAAGACTTTGGACATGGTACTCCGCTCATTGCGAAATTCCATCCTCCGACCTGAGCAGCGCATTCCTCGAAATCCAAGAACTATGGACCTATGGCTAATATCCTGGCAGGCCACCACCCTGACCATCACCGACTGCCCTTGCACTATCACCAAGCCGGTCACTACCCAGACCTCGGTCGCCTGCGTCACCTGGTGAGTTTTCACAACCGACACGAATGAGACCCCAGAACGCCATGCTGATATTTGTGACCTACAGCGCTGTTCCCAGCCCCCCAGTCTACCCTAACGGAACTGCCCCCGTCGCCGTCCCCACCACTGCCCCTGTCGGCACTGGTGGTGTCTCCGTCCCCACCACCACCGGTAGCAGCCCCGAGACCACCTCGCCGATCGCCACCGCTGGTGCCGGCAGGGCCGCTGCCCTGTCCGGCGCCGGCCTGGCCGGTGCTCTGGGTCTGGCCGCTTTCTTCCTGTAAATTTCAAATTTTTGACGGGGAGAGGGTGAGAGGACCGGTTAGACCACGCGTGATGACCTAATTAGAGCGGCAAAAGGATACCAAGGATTTTACTTTTCTCTTCTGCATCGCCTATTTGGAGTTCGGACGGCCATCGCGTTGCAGGGAGGACAAGGGTACTTTGATTCTCTGTAATTTGTTCCGGATGGAGGATTGTTGTGTTGTTGATCTTTTCCTTCGATCTTGACAGAGCACTTAACCTGCCAGTGTCAGGCCAGAGGAAGGCAAGAAAGATACCATTCTCGATCTCGATATCTGGAGGAATCCCCAAAGGGTCACCAACGGAGGGTACATGTTCCCCTTCTTGGAAGACTTTGACAATTCTAAACTCGTTCCTCACTATACGTTTTCAACAGCCACAAGCTGCTGATCTTTTCCAAGAATCTGCTGCTGGACGTTTTTATGGCCCCCTGTTCAATGTACAATTTCCAGTGTATTACGGCACCAGACTGTCTGTACATATGTCTTTCCTAGATAGGTGGGTAGCCCAGATCTGGTGGCTGACGTATTATTATACACTGCTGGGAGGCCAGTTTTGGTCCGGCACAGAGATGACTCCTGTCCCTCTTCTCCGTCTTGCGAGCATAGTCACTTGGTTGTTTTTGTCAGGGACATGTCTCGGGCACGGTAGATCTGTGCTACCACGGTGAGTAATGTTCAATGACTGGTTAATGATTCTGGGCAGACATGTTGCTTTTGAAGCAAAATGTCTGGGGGAACGGCACAGACCGGGCCGCATGCGCCCATGTCTTTGTCTTTTTACTTTTGCTCGTCTATTCCTGCCTTCTAACAAGGTTTTTCATATCAATGCTGCCTGTCTGCCTGCTGTATCGGCATGTCAGGGAGGAAGGGACTGCGGCGCTGGTGGCTGCGGGATGGAGCACTCAAGGGGAGACAGGCGGGATGCCGCAGCAGGGCGCTTGGATCGGTGGGCACCACCAAACAAGATCACTCTCAACCCCAGTGGCAAATTAAAAAGAACCTCTGTGGTCAGGTAGACTTAGGCCCAGTGGCTATATTGGACTGACGCGCTACCCATTCCCCCGAGGTTGCCGAGCCGGAGAAGACTCGAATATGTGAGCTAGCCAGCCTGTTAGATCCCGGGCCAAGGCGTCCGCAGAGATTTGGTCATGCTTGGTTTCTTCTTACCACCCACCCCCTTCCACCACCTTGGACCAAGGCATGCATGCTTAGTGCCTTTGGGAGAAGAAAGAAGGTCAAGTTGTCATCTGAAGTGGTTGAGTAGCTTGCCATTCGGTTCCACATTGTTCAAGTCACTGGGCTGTCCGGTGGATGGTGAAATAATGGGAAACCACGGGGCATAATGTCGCCACAAACTGAGGTATGCTCGTTGAGGAGCAAGTCTGCTCTCCGGAGAGAGGTCAGAGTCTCTTATTTCGTCAACAGGCCAGCGAATATATTTGAATTCTCCACACTTGGATATGGAACGTACATGCTTCATCGCCTGGGCATACTGCCGTCTCTCGAAAGCGTGCTGAAAGGGTACTGTCTCTCGCGAGCTCGGACTGAGCCTCACGCTGATCGCAGACTGTGCATCAGGAATAGAGTACTAGGTCAGCGCAAATGTCTACCAGCCGACAAGGGGCTGAACAAATAACCGAATGTACTACAACGCTCCCGGTTTGGAAGGCTCGACCTGCCGAGATTTCATCCAAAGAATGCGCATACATGTAAGCTCGATCAGACAGTTGTTGTAAACAGTTTACGTTGTCTATCACTATCACATTATATCCTACCTAAGGCGGGAAGGTACCGTTTATCTTCTTCGATGGCCCATCTTTGTTCATGTTGGCAGCATATCATAGAAAGTGACCTCGGGGATTCAAATCTGATAACAGAAACAAGCTACCAACTGAGCAATCACTGATCAGAATGCACAGAACTTATAGAATCTTCTTTCCGGATGCCCTCAGAACTTGCACCTACGTTTGCCACGAGAGGCAGGTAAGCATCAGTTGATTGCAGTTGCAGTGGCTCTGCAGCAGCACCTAACCTTTTTCGTCAGCTGTGTGCAGTGAGATCTTGGTACCTCCAGGCTGCAGGATTGGTGCGGCACGGAAAACAAGACATTGTACGTTGCACACCCCCCCAAACCTCAGCCACCATCACGTTATCCACGTGCCCCACTCCTCCAGACTTCTTCACGATCTCCTTCCACCATCTCTGCTCACGCCACACGTGGAGGTCCGTATCCGAAACGACGGGCTATCATGCCGGCGCCCCAGTTCAAATTCATCAACAAGCTCCAAGGCCGACGTGTCCTGATCTTTGGCGGCACCTCTGGCATCGGCTACGCCGTCGCCGAGGCGTGCGTCGAGCATGGCTGCACCGTTATCATCTCGGGCTCGAACGCGCCCAAGCTTGGCGACACTGTCCTCCGCCTGAGAAACTCATATCCACATCTTGAGTCGTCTCAGATCATAATCCACGCCTGTGATCTCTCCGACAAGGATGCACTCGAGTCGAACATTCAAAGGCTCCTGTCCGTCGTCACTCGCGAAACGAAAAGCAAAATCAACCACGTCGTTTTCACGGCTGGCGACCCGCGCTCCTTGAAGTCATTATCGGAAGTCACGGTTGAGCAGTTCGAGAAGAATCAGGTGGTCCGCAACATTGCTCCAATCATCATCGCGAAGCATCTACCGCAGTACATGGAAAACACCCCCGATAGTAGCTACACACTTACTGGAGGTTTTATTTTCTCCAAACCACCGCCTGGTTTTGGTCTTCACGCAGCGACTGGCATCGAGGGATTAGCCAGGGGTCTCGCCGTCGACATGGCACCTATCAGAGTAAACCTGGTCGCGCCGGGTGTTATCAAGACGGAGGCCATGAAGGGTGTACCACAGCAAGCTCTTCAGGCTCTTGCCCGGGCGACAACGATCAAGAGGTTGGGCAGACCGGAGGATATTGCCGAGGCTTATCTCTATTTGATGAAGGATGGTTACGTAACTGGTAGTATCATAGAGTCAAATGGGGGAAGACTCCTGGTATAGTCCTAGGGGAAGGACCGAAGTTTCGGTCCTGTGAGAGAGGGGTTCAGTAAGTCAATAAAGATAATTGCATTCTGTCGAGGCTCACGGGCACATAGCAAACACATTGAACTCACTTGCCGATCCGTCTCCCGCATTGCTTCCAGGGAAATACTCCTCAGTGGCGAGCTCCAATGGTGTGAGCCCCAAATCAGTCGACCGTTCACACCAGAAGGTCTCCTTATTTTCCAAAACTGGTAAGATGCACTTGATAACTGACCATAGCATTATGATGTGTCGATGGGATGACAGAACTATTTGCTCCACTGGCAGCGCTGTAGCTCGGGGCAGAGAATGCAATTACAGTCTCTAGAAGCGACCAATATCTCGCATGCTGCTAGCAGATGAAGTCGTGTTTTGTCAGAAGACGGTATACAGCGCTTAAAGTGATTTACGTAGTTCTTAGCCAATACATAACTAAATGAACTTTTATGTACACGTCTTGAGCGGTCATCTCAGAAAGCAAACCCTAGCAAGCAACCCTAACCTTTGACAACCTGTCCCTGGTGTCTTCAGTGACATTTTGCTCGCCGATCCGAATTCCGAATCGCCACAGTGAGGTCCAATCTGATCTCGAGCCACAAACGACACATGGGTAGGGATGCAGCCCCGTGGTAGCGAAAGCGATGTTGGCTTCAATGCAGGTGCTGCAATGCCTAACACGAGGTGAATACAGAGGCAATGCGCTAAAATCCTTCTCAATTTCGTAGCCATAGGCATTGGTTAATCCTTGTCTAGCCAAGAAGGAGGAGAGGGGGAACGGGAGCGAGCCCCAACTAGTCGCCCCCCAGACATCACGGGACTTCGGCTTTTACACCTCATTTCCCGCGCCCTCACTCTCGGAAACCATGCGTCGGCTGTGACTACCCACACAATGGATCCGTTTCTCGCTGTTCCAATAGAGGTGCGCCAGGGCATACTGGAAGGGCTGCCCACGCTGCGAGACTTGCAGTCGGCAAGCCTGTCCAGCCGAGCCCTGCTTGTCGCGAACGTCGCCTCCAGACGCTTTATTCGCCACCGCGTATTTCTCAACCAGTACCACGATCTCGAAGCGGAAATAAGCCCTGGAAAGAAGAGAAAGAACAGCTCTTTCGCAGTCGCTAATCGCTGGATCGATTATTTGTCAAAGAAAGATGCATACGACGGTCTCATCCTCCGAGAAGCCATCTGGCCCCACTTAATAGCCGACCAAGAGCAGTACAAGCGCACTTATAGTAGTGGCAAGGATGTAGAGGTCTTCTGTTCGTGGGCTGAACACCTTGCTTCCTCTTGCCGACAATTTCACGATGAGGCCAAAGCGAGGCGCGTCGAAGCAGAGACATTACGGCTTGTCCCTGCTAATATCATCTATTTGAGCGAGCCATGGCTTATATGGTTGCAGGCAACCATCGCCGCTTGCACGAATCGCGGCGACTACGGCTACGCAGCATACATATGCAAGGACATGTGGTCCCGCTTTGACCGAAGTCCGGACCATCGCCACAAGCCTGGATTGGATGGGCTCGCACTCGTCAGGATCACCTCGACACTCTGTCACCATCAGGACGGTGTTGGAACCGCAAATCCATCATCCATGGAAGAGGTCAATTCAGCGCTCCGCTTGGCTTGGGAATTCCTCCGCGTACAGTGTGCGAGCGGTGGCCCCGTCCACCAGCCTGGCATGTTCTGTTACCGATGTCTTGACGCTGCCAAGCTACTCATCGAAGGAGCCCAACATTCTCATGGCGCTGTTGAGCCGGGTCTGCCTCATCTACAGATAGTATGGCAGAGTATCCAGCCAAGGGGCATGGCTTTTAATGCGTGGTCACATCTCTTCGTGGACAGCCACGACGACCGACTCGCCGGGGTGTTCATGGTCTGGGCGAGGCTACAAGAAGACAGACGAGGAATATTCCTCCAGGATATCGATCTCGACTGGGCCAGGGATATTATCTGGCTGCTCCGGAAGAAGGGTGCGATGGAACGAAGTCTTGCCTTTCAGGCAGAAGTGTTTGACTTGATGTCTCCACGCGACCACCAGTATTGCGCGTTCGGTCGAAATCTCGCAGATGCATATGTCAAAAACGGTCAGATACAGCATGCAATCGGCGTGAGGGAAAAGGTGCTCGACGAGCTGCCTGATGTATCTGCCGTTCGCCCTTCTTGGATCATGTCGTTGGCTGGTCTATACAAGAGAGTCGGCCGGAATGAAGATGCGGGTCGTCTTTCGGAATCTTTGTTGAAGGTGGATCATGGTTCAGCGTCTTGATATCTCTATGAATATCCATACTGCATATCAACCATGAATAATGGAAGTGAACCAACATATACTTTTAATTCTAAATCCTCTCGAGCTGTAGAAGTATCTGCTGCAATGTTGTGGTTGTGAGCAGGGCAGTGACGATAGCAAGCTTCCTGAAACGGTATCCTATTCTACGTAGACTCATTTTCTAAGAGAATGGATACTCGCACCGGTAGAAATGGATGGTACACCGGTTCATCACCAGCACTAACTAAATTAACACCCACGCCTGACACCCATACACCTAGTACTCATACACCCAACACCCATACGCCTAACACCTACATATCTATTTCACACACACTTAATTTATATTCCCCAGCACCTATATACCTAATGCAAATTAAGCGTGTGAATTAGGCGTGTGAGTGTTATAGCTGCAGCTATGGCCCGAGTAATATACCGCTGTACCATCCGTTTCTACCGGTGCGAATATCCGTTCTTTTTCCTAATTCTAAGATTACTAGCTTGTTCCAATACATATCGATTCCAAAGCAGTGCATAGACAACGCCGTCCTGCCCCACGGTCCACCGCGACAAAAACACGATTGTTGATCCCCCTCCCGGCTGACATGGTGTTTCGATTACTTCATCTGAATGAGCCTCTCAAACGAAGTATACTTGCAAATCGTCCACAACGCTTGCTTGTCAATGAACAGCGAGATGAGAGAAGTGGGCCGCGGAATGAGTTTCACAGACATTTACCACTTTGAGACGGCTGTATGTCAGAACTGCAACGGCAAAGACCGGCGATGGAGTCCGTTGGGTACTATTTGCTAGGAGGATCTGACCTAATGCTGCATGCAATGCAAGGGATTTCAGCCTCCTGTGTAACAGAACGTTTTCACGTGAATTCCAAATTCAAGAGGCTGAGATCCCCGCTCCATTTCCCCCAGCTGAAAAGTGAGTCACATTGTCCACCTAAATCTTTGGCCTAATCTACCTGATTCTCACCACAGATATTCTATCAGGGCGTGGCGAGTCGCCATGGATCCTATGACTGTGCTGTCAATTGCTGCGGCTGTAGTTCAATTCGTTGACTTCGGCACGAGTCTCTTCTCGGGCGCACGGGAAATGTACAAGTCAGCTTCTGGTCAGCCTCAAGACATAATCCAGCTAACCACCCTTGTCTATGACCTCTCTCAATTCAGCAAGAGCATCCAGGAAGCATCTGATAAGGCCAAAAGCACACAAAAGTCATACGACCTCACTGAAGAGAATCTCTGCAGAGTCTGTGCCAACTGCTTGCAAACATGTACCGAGATACAAGCTGCCGTTTCGAGCCTGGGCCGAGTCAAATCCCCCAAGTCCGCAGTGCCAAATTCTATTTTCGGAAGACAAATTGACGCTACGCGTGCTTTTCAGAGCATCGAGATTGCACTGAAGAATCTTGCTTCATCGAAACAGATACGCGCTTGGCAGGATCAGCTGCGACAGTCGAGGGAGCAGATTATGAAGGCTTTGTTGAATGTCCTCTGGTAAGACAACACAAACAATGTCTTTAATTTGGGTTTGAATCTATAGAGAACGACTCCTGATATTATCCCTTACAGGAGTCAGTCGAAAACTCAAACTGTTACTTTGGAAAACATTTCCCAGCGGCAGATCAGCGCGGATCGTACATTGGGTCACATTAGGGAGGACACAATGCTTTTGAGACAACAGTTGGGGAAAACATCGAAACTATGGCCTCTGCCACTGCCCCGAGGTTCTGCCACCGTGTCTATGGAACCACAAGAATTTGACGAGAAATCATGTACTGAGGCAATCATCGACAGCCTCAAAGTTCATCACATTGACCAGCGCGAGAGAGCCATTCCCAAGGCCTATGAAAAGACATTCGAATGGATATTCACTGAAACCAAAGCATCCAACGGCAGAGTTCTGCCCTTGCCACAATTTGATTCGTGGCTGGAGGGTCCGTCGTCGGATATATATTGGATCAGTGGCAAAGCAGGCGCAGGCAAATCGACCATGATGGAGTACATCTTGCATCACCCTCTCACTCGGGAAAAGATCACGAAATGGAATGAGGTCACGGCTCGCCAACTACTCTGGGGTTCTTTCTTCTTCTGGAATGCCGGTAACGCCATTCAAAAGTCAAAAGAAGGGTTGCTAAGAGCTCTCCTCTTCCAATTTATCGAGCAGGAACCAGATATTTTGCGGCAGATCTGTCCTCGAAGGTGGGCATTGTGTAAAGCCCTTGGACCAGGATCAATTACCAGCGCTCCAGATTGGCAGTGGGAAGAGCTCTTGGAAGCCTTCTCGCTCTTCAGTCTGCTTCTTGGAGATCGTTTCAACCTATTTCTTCTAATCGATGGACTCGACGAATTTGAGGGAGATCATGAGAAACTGATTGAATTCATCGAAGCTCTGCACTTGAGGAATGGCACCAAGATTTGTGTCAGCAGTCGTCCTTGGAATACGTTCACAGACACTTTCCACAACAACTACACCCTGAAGATGGACCAAGTGACAGCGGGAGATATATACCTTTACGTTCGCGGAGTCCTCGAACAGACACCAGGAAAGCAGAAAAGCTTATGCTTGATATCGTCACCAAGGCACAGGGAGTCTTCTTGTGGGTCTCGGTCGTGGTGGCTCAGATCCGGCTGGGCTTGAGTGAAGGTGACAAGGTATCGGACTTGCAAGCTGTTCTGGAGGACATACCAAAGGATCTATCATCCATCTATGACAGCATATGGAGAAGGATCAAGCCGTCATACGCTCACAACTCCTCTCAAATCTTTCAGATTCACCAATGCGCCATCGACAGCAATGAAAGGATAGAGGCACTCCTATTATATCTTGCGGACGAAGAACTAAGTACCCAGGATGAAGACATATCTGCATTCATGGGAACACGGCGAAAGCATGTGACACAAATTGTCAAGCGCATGCTTGACAGTCGGACGAGAGGCCTCCTAGAGGTAGATAAAGATGGCTACGTCACTTATCTTCACAGGACCGTGAGGGAGTGGATTGAGCCGAAATGGCCTGAGATATGCTCCAGGGCATCGTCCGACTTCGAACCGCATCTCGCACTCTTGAGGGCTTTGGCCACTTATCGCTCTGCCTCTGAGAAATGGACTATTGGCCGCTACGACACCCTCATCGAAACGACATGGCTGATTCTTTCCCGTTGTTTCAATCATTCCATCCGAGTTCGAGACAATCATGCTACCATCGACACCTTGGTACAGCTATTGGACAGTTTGGATCTGTACATGACCAGGATATGGGCCACACACCCAGGGAAGATGACCACCAGTGTCGGAGAAACCGAACTCGATTTCATGCTGCGTCGATACAATGAGTATCACTCCACAGCACTCGAATCTCATGCCATGTTCGGGCAAAGGAAGGAGTCGGTATGGGGGAGGGCGTGGATACCAGACATTCACTATTTACAGACTCCCTTCTTGGACACCCAATTCACCCAAAGCAACGTGAATTTTGTGGGCCTAGCAACTCAGTTCGGCTTGAAGTCTTATGTCAGGTTGAAATACAGAGCTGATGAGGAACTCTTCAGACCATTAGCCCCGGCACTCTTGTCATGCGCAGTGCTTGGATTTCAGTATTTCTGTCGCGAACCTGGGGTGAGACGAAGCTTTGAGAGGCTGATCGGAGACCGGAGCACCTTCCATGGTCGAAAAGAGCTTGTCAAGTTCATATTGGAAGATGTGGATCCGAAAAGTGCTTTTCAGTCGGGGATGTTGGCGGATTCGAAGTTTGATACGATTGGTAGAGTCGTATCCTGGAGGACACATCGATAAGTTTGATGCTGAGGCTTACAAAGATGCAATACTGGCACTTCTGAACGACACTAAACGGAAGATTGAGAGGCGAGAATGGGGAAAAACAGCATTGTTCCGACTTGGCAACGTGTACACTGAGCTGTGTCTCCGCATGCCGACACAATACAAGTCGATACCCCAATAGCAACAAGGCGGTCACTGGTTATCATTCCATCACAAGGGGCATACGGAAAGGTGCGGGACTTTGCTCTCGGCCGCTATATGTGAAGGCCACACTTTCATGTACTTGTTTTCTTCCTAGAGACAGGGGCAGATTTACTGCAAAAGCCGGAACTCCATGCCGGCGAAGGGTGTACAAACGAGAATTCGTCAGGTTTCCTAGCTTGCAAGCAAATCATAAAATCGATCAGTCACCAAAACGTCACATAAGAATCTATCCCCTGGTTCAACCAGACGTTCTCACTAAGATGAGCCCTGCTCCAGCCCCAAATCAAATAGATGTCGTGCCCCAACTCAAGCAAGGAGCTCAAACCGTGTACCTAGCGCCTGCCTATGCATCTCATCCACGAATCTCTCAGCACCAGCGAAGGAAGCCACCTCATCCTTGGTCCCATGCATGATAAAAGCCGGAACGGCGTACTGGCCGGCCCCGGATATCAACGTACCTCGGAGTTTAGTCAATGATGATACCCAGCTCCAGAGTTAGAGTTGCATCGTCTCATTGATATCCGTCTGTCGTCTCACAGAACTTTATTAAACCTCTTGTCTCTTAGCTCCGTGCAAGCCAGTCTCGGAAGAGATGGCAACTTGGAAATGTGTGGCATTTTCGTCCCGTGCTCGAGGAGGATTGCTTGACTGGTCTCGATCGAAATTTATCTAAGTGACAAAGCTTGGTTGTTGCCGGGCTACCTATAATAGGTAAGGACAAGTGCACAAGCTTGCTCAGTGGTTGGTTGGCTGGTTGGTTGGTATGCCGTTACCCACCTAACGTTGGCAGAAAACAACTTCGTAAGTCCGTTAACGCCAGCTGCCTTCTCCTGCTGCGCCGCGCCTCAAATGGCAGCTATATTCCATGTCAAAGGGGTGAAAGCCGTAACGTCTGTACCCAGCTGAGGCAGAATCCTTCTCTTCCTCCTTGCCTCGACTTTCAACTTGCTAACCAAATCCGCCTCTACCTGTCATCATGAAGCTCGTCATCGGAGGGTCCAGTGGCTTTGTTGGCGCGGAGCTCGTCCGCCAAGCTCTGTCAAATCCAGCCATCACCTCCGTCGTTGGTCTCAGTCGCCGCGAGACCCCTGTGCCGTCCTCGGACGCCAACGCCGCCAAGCTCAAATCCATCGTCGTCGACGACTTCGAGAAGTATTCTGACAGCGTCAAAAAGGAGCTCGAAGATGTGGATGCATTCATCTGGTAAGCCATACTGATTTATGCTTTCATGTCACCCGTCGACCACGCGTATGCAGCTGCTAAAACACACCTCAGGACAATTGCTGTGACGCCCACGAAGTTGAAGACCCTGCCCTGGGAGGAGACGGTCAAGATCTCAAAGGACTTCGCCATCACTGCCATCCAGACCGTGGCGAGCCTCCCCCGCAAGCAGGACCAACCTCTTCGCTTCATCTACATGAGCGGCCACTTTGCCCCCCGCGAGCGGACCGAACAGGTCAAGGTTCTAGGCGACCATGGCATGATGGAATACGGCTATGTGCGCGTAAGTTCCCTCCCCTAGCGGGCCCTGGTACACCGCGAGGCGCCAGCTTCCCGCCTAATACAGCACCCCCGATGGCTGACAGCGGCACCCTCCACTCCATCCAGGGCGAGGCCGAATCCCGCATCCTAGCGTTCTCCGATGAGTCCAGGGGTCTGGTCCAGTCGTGCGTCACCAAGTCCGGCTTCATCAACGCCCCGGGAAGGGTGGCGCCCAACGTCCCCGGCCTACCCCTGGTCGAGCTGCGGGACATTGCGGCGGCCATGCTGGACCAGGTCGTCAACGGGTTTGAGAAGGATACCCTCTCCAATGATGATCTGGTTCGGATTGGGAAGAAGGCCCTGGGTGAACAGTAGAGCGTATGAATTCCCGTAATTGTATCGGGAGATCTTGATCCGTCAAGTAGAGGTAAAGTGTCCTCTTCGCTTAGAATTCAAGCAAGACTGGATCCTTTATCTGCCAGTATATAAAAACACGTGCAAGTAGACGTCATCCTCCATCTGTGTTCCTGTATACCGTATTATTTGAGCTACCCACCATCTTGGGGCCTTCCGAGTGAAAGGTGTAATTGGTTACACTGCATGACGGATCGCATGTGCCTGAGTTCTGAGGCGCCACACGTGGAAGGGGAGCGGACCAAGGAGCAAGCTGATGTGTTGGTTGTGTTCCTGCGCGTGGGCCCTCATTGGACAATGCCGTGCTTTTTGGCTATCAAGGTCCGCCAAACCATGTGTCGTTGCTCCGAAAGTCTGCTGCTGCTGAGTCCACCCTCAACCCCCGGGGGCGCCGAGATATGTGACGACTTCGCATTTGACTGCGTGGGGAACGCATATGTCGCCGTGCACTCATCCTCGGTGTTCAAGATCACACCCGACGGCAAGCAGGTCGTCCAGGTGTGGTTGTAGGGGTTTTTCTCAAAGTAGATTGATGTTGACGATAGACCATGCAAGTGGCACGGTAACAAGAATATACCGGAAGCATCGGCCCCTTTCGAAGGATTTATAGGGGTAAATCGAATACGACGCTTCTGCATGGAGCACGATGTCCAATCGGGCTCGCAATGTGTTTTCCCCGCCGGTTTTAAGCTTCTTCCCGACGCAAACGTGCCCCGAAGCTTCACCCCTGGGGTGTGAGCGGGACGGAATTCTAGGCTCTAGACAAGCATTCCGGGCGCTGACATTGCATGCAGTAGTATGGTTGCAATACCGAGAACTTGCATCCTAGCCACTATAGCACATACCCCTCCGAAACTACTGCATTTCCCGACCCTACCTTCCCCGCCAACGCCAAGCCTGGCCTACGACAGTGTTGTGGCCCGCCCCCAAAGCACCACAGAGACAACCACACGAGCCCAGACCACTGGAGCGGTCACGTTGATAACCATACGAGAAGATGAGTGAAGACGAACAAGCACGTTTGCCCGGTGGGCGGCAGTTCTACTCGCCTGCTTCTCAGATTGGCTCCAAGGACAGAAGCGTGGCATGGTACGACAAGACCTTCTCGGGGGTCCCCGCGGATGCCCGTGAGTTGCTTGAGAAATACTCGAAAATACCTCCCGAAGAGGTGGAGCCCCATGTGCTTTCTATGGTAGGTCAAGACAAACTTCATGCCTGCTTGGCCCGTCATTCCTCCAAAAGTTGACCAGCATTATTCTGGATCAGAGGGACAAGGCATGGGACATCTGCCCGTACCCCTGCATCGGACAATTCAAATTCCTCGCCCTCAGGCTCTACGGGCAGCCCTCGTACGCCACCGTGGTCCGCCGCCTCAAGCAGGGCGCAAAGTACCTCGACATCGGCTGCTGCCTGGGCCAGGACATCCGCAAGCTCGTCATGGACGGCGCGACCCCGGAGAACCTCTACGGCGCCGAGCTGCACGCGCCTTTCATCGACCTCAGCTACGAGCTCTTCCGAGACCACGGGCTGGCGTCGACGTTAATGGAGGCAGACGCCTTAGTCCTCTCTGCGGGCAGCCCTCTCTCCAAGCTCAAGGGCGAGGTCGACTTTGTCCACCTGGGCATGGTGCTTCACGTGTTCGGGCCGGAGAAGCAGCGGACTCTGCTTGAGAACTGCATCGCGCTGCTCAGGCCTGAGCGCGGCAGTATGATTCTCGGCACGGCGGTCGGGGACGTCGAGGGCACCCAGGCGCCTGCGGGCTTCTACCTGCACAGTTATGAGACGTTCAAGGCGATGTGGGCGGACATCTCTGAGCGTACGGGTGTCAAGTTTGACTGCAGGGCTTCACTGGACGAGGGACTGGCAATACTTGAGGTCAAGAAGAAATTCGGCTACGATCGGGCTCGACGGCTTATGTTCGAGGTGGAGAGGCTATGATAGCGGTTTGAAGACCGAGCATTCTGAAATACTGCTGCCTCTTTGGCCTTTAATTTACTCCTCGATCATTGCTTCAATGACACCATCTGCCCCTACTTCAGGGGCTGTCCAGACCCTGACGTTCTGGAAACCAGCCTGCCCAAGCAGTTCCCTCCATTGTGTCCCCGTGCGCTCCATGCCAGCATTGAAAGCCATCATGGCCAGGTCGAAGACGGCAGAAGTCTTGTCAGCATTCTGCTCTGGAAGGACCAACTCGTGAATGATGAGCTTTGAGTACCCAAGCGTCATGGACTTTCTGACCTGCTCCAAGATCTTCAAGCAGTACGAGTCGGGCCAGTCGTGGAGTATATGATGATAAAAATACGCTCGTGCACCTATGAAATTTCAATATCCGGGCCATTTGTAAGAGTTGAGGCGTGATAAAGGAGTTGACATTACCTTGCACAGGCTGCTCAGTGAAGAAGTCATAAGTCATGCGTTCAATACCAGGACCAAGATCTGCAAGATCACTGGTAACGGGGGATAAGTCCTGGAGGACAAGACGCCTCCCCTTCTGCGGGTATTTAGCTTGGAATTCGAGAACATCATGGCCTTTACCACCGCCCACGTCCACCAAAAAAGGCGACGTCTCGTTCGACCCATCAAGCAGGCGCTCCTTGACCGGGTACCAGTCAGTCCAGTACTTCCTCGCGCCCATCGTGTTGCCCATGAAGGTGTTGAAATCCTTCAAGACCCGAGGGATCGAGCTCATGTATTCGAAGGTCGTCAATTTCGTCTGGAATGCGTACTGCATGAGGCTGTCACGAGGATCTGTCGGGCAGCGGTACCCGGCCTCGCTAAAGTACTTGGATGCTTTTTGTCCAGCCTCCACGATCGTGTTTCCACTTCTCCGCGTATTGATCAGCACTTTAGAGGAGAAATATGAGCGAGGAGGATGTTGCTTGACATACCAAGTTCGGTGCCCGGCCGCGATCTCCTCCTTCGCCATGGCCCTGGTGATAGCCGTAGGTTGCCATTTCTGAGGGCCAACCTCGTCCACAGAGCCAATGGAAGCCAGAGCCCTCAGGATACGCCCTCACTTTTTGTCAGATTCATACATGTCTTTAGAATTTAATGTGGGTGCAACCCATATTTACCAATCAACAGCTCCTCGCCTTTTGAAATGGATGCCAGCTTCTGAGACGAAATCGGGCTTTCATGGTCCACAATAAGCTTGAAGAGATTGAGGCCGTCTGCGATCCTCGCGGAAAATGAAAGAAATGGCTTTCACTCGTCAATAGGTGCCGTCTTTCTCATTATTCAGGACAGGGCGTAAAGGATGCAAGGGCGTACCGAATACGCGAGATCCATCGCCGCGGTCTCAGGAGGTTCAAGACCAGCAGTAGGTAGTCTAGTCAGTCGCAATGCCTCAGTTCTATCATTCTGCGAAACGACCTCCGAAGACAGCCTGGAACTCAGACTGCTCAGCTGGTGAATCAGATCAGTAGTTTGGTGCGTCATTGTTCAGGCGCTGTTCGTGGGGTGAGGTGGGCGTTGACCAATTTTTGGGTTGAATGAAGCGGACCAGATCAACATTAGTATCAGATGCTGGAAAGGTGCTTCATAAGCAAATTTAAATTTCGGTTTGAAGGCTTATTCGAACCTTGGAACTTTCCGTGCATTGTACCTAGGTATCATACTCCCGAGACAACCGTGCAGCCGACACAGGCACAACTTGAGCGCTATCCTATCAGACTCAAGACTCGGTGTTTCTTCATGATACCAAGGTATCCCATTCCTTCAATCACCTTACATAAGAACAACCTAGAACCAAACCTCGGTGATTACGTACTGGGCTTGAATCAGAAAGCCAAGCAGCTACTTGATAAAAAAGGATTTCCAAGCGGAAACCCACATGCCCCTGTCTTGCAAGGCTGGGGAGCGCCAAGAAGAGGTTACGTGCCGGTGTTCTGCCCATGCCGAAATGTTATTTGCATGATGTACGGGAAACAATTTCCGAAAGCGCTGGAAATACTTTTGGCCAAACTGCTCATTGATCCACTCAAGCGCCTATGACCAGTCATGACTACCATACGGTGCGCATAATCGATTCATCGATGCTAATGAAAATGAGGCAGAATATGATGGTCGTGATTGTGGCTTGATTTCTTCCTATGCGTGATAAATACAGCTCAAAAGAAACTCAGATTGTACAGATCGTAGGATTGGATGCATCCCACCTCGTTGAGTGCGCTGACGGCAACTTCAGCCATGCTCGTCGCAGAGTCCAGGATGCTGCCCGCATTGCAGAGCATAAGACTTCGAGTTGTCCACCCGATGGATGCAGTATCCAATAGCCTTGCCAAGTATTGGGATATATCCTCTGAACTGTCTGCCTTGCCAGCATATTCCAGGAAGAATTAATTGAAGGGTGGCATTTCCAGCTTCCGGGGGTTGACTTCAGTTCGAAAATATGGCCAAATTGGAATTGTTGTTCAGACAGATTGATATCTTTCAACAATCTGTTCTCTTCCAGATTCCACACCCTCAGATTCATAACCAACATCAAAAAGTAAACAAGGCTCTTCCAGGCACGTGTGAGCAAGACGTTGGTTTTTACAGGGTGCAGTTATTTTGCTTATCACAAGGGCGGGACTAATTAAATATCTCCAGGTCTAATAGCTATTTGGGACTTAGTGTTCTGTACAAAATTGTTTAACCTTTCGCTATATAGAGCGCGCACTGCACATCCTGGTTTTTATTACTTTTGATACATAAGCCTAGCCTTCACGCTAGACGGTCGTGTTTGAATTGAACTGTAAAAGTGTTGTGCAAACAAAATTATGCCTCACTTATTGGATCAACCGGCGCCAAACGATTCGCCCCTCGCTAACCTCAGACTACTTGGTAGACCTAGGACTCGCTTTAGATCCATCTCGTGAGGAGCCAGTTTCAGAACATCTCAGCACTAGCAGACGCTACGAATCCCGCTCAAGGTTTATAATCTACTTTGATCAACCACGTTTGCCTTGGCTGGTCTAGCGGTAAGACGCTCAGGTGTTGGTTGTGGGCAGCAGCCTCGAGAGAGGGGGGTTCGACTCCTCCGCCAAGCACATATCTTCACTTTTGCTTGGTCTCATCACTGGTCATACCAGAGGTGTAGATTGCTTATAAGGTAGATTTAGAGGGCAAAAAAGCTTGCAGCGAGAAAATATCCAAAAGGAAAATGGAAGAAAACAACGGTACCATGACCTGAACTAGAGGGGGCCGCAGGCCAGCGAAGACCAGCTATCACAAAGTTGACGGCGTTGTCTTGGATGCCGTTTTGGGTGAGGTTGGTACACTTCATTCACTTGTGGGGCGGGATGATTGTTGGAATTGTCTTCATTATTATGATAATGCATCTCGAAGTTTCTCCCTAATTGTATCATCTATCTCTTCAGCAACATTGCGGAGTTCGTCTCGCACAAATTCCTCAAGCTGCGTCTGCGCGACGCCCATCTCATCCTCTATGCGAATCAAGGTGGTGGTGTCAAAATCATACCTCAGCTCAGTGACCTGGGTGTCGACGTTCTCTGCCAGCTCACTTAAGCCGGACTCTAGCTTTCCCTCGAGACTTGTCACGCGCTCTTCCACGCACCCCACCCTTTGGTCGAGCCCATCTCCACCCTGATCACTGTGCTCACTCGAGCGTTGGTGTGATTGTTGACCCGAGGAGCCCTCTACTGAAGACATGCGCTGCTCAACCCGATCCAGACGAGATCCCAGAGTACCAAGTTGCTTTTCTATATGGTCCAGCCGACGACCGATTTCGCTGAACCCCTGCCTACAAATCTCCTCTATCTTCAGTCCAGACTGACTCGTATCCTCTGGACTATCGAGACGACGGCGCTTGTTGCTAGGAGGCGGATAGACTGGTGGAGAATGGCCGAGGTCATCGTAAGACGGAGGAAATTCAGCCGCCGCAGGCCTACTGGGCGCGGGGTCCTTTTGCCGTGGGAATCCGTGGGGAGGGGCTGATTGGGATGCCCTTTCAGCGCTCCCGGACGGTTCCCCACCAGACCGCACTTCAGTCGTCACAGGCTGCCCGCTTTGGATGACCTGACCTCCCTTTCCGCCATATAGTTTTGCCAGGTTCGCGGCACCAGGCAGTGTTTTGAGAGATTCGCCAGAGGAAGCCTTCTCACAAAGCGCAAGCAAACGCTGCTTGGCCAGGACATTCGACGGCAAATCCAAGCGGAAGCGTGTCACTCGAGACAGGGCCTGTAGAGCCTGAAGTGTATTGCGTGCCGTTTCGCCCTTGGGCACATAGTCATCTTTCGGCACGACGAGCGCCGGAGGCTCGATTAGAACGAAGTGCAGCGAGTAGGTGCTTGTGCCAAGGATCTTGGACGTGGACGCGGATTCATCATCTTGCTCGACAAAATCCAGGGATCGGATGCGTTCGGGGTGAATGAACAGAAAGATGTTGGATCTGCTGCGTTTGCCCTTGAAAGCAAGGTTGGCAGTGATTTTGAAGAAGGCAGTATGGGATTCTGCGTCGAAGTGGACGTCGAACGTGACGTGATCGTGGGTGAGTGACGAATGGCTCAACGATTGCGCTTGGTCATCACCGCCGGTCCAGGACACTACTATCGGTGCCTTTGATATGTCGATATCATCGTCGTGAGCCGATTCGATGGAAGCTGTGGTTGCATCGTCATCGAACGGCGTCGTCATTGAATCTGTGAAGAATCAGTATTGCATGTCCTGAAGACGTACGAAAGAGTAAAAAAGTCGTCGTATCCCCTATCCATGGTAAATGGACAGGATCCCGCCCACCCAGGCTTGGAAAGAGCAGCCTTGACTCTGGATTGTCGCGGCGATACAGTGACGAACTGAAAGTCGACGATTACGAGCTGGAGTCCTCGCCGCCTCAGCGCAACGAGACATGCGAGCACAGGTACTGCCATGAGAAGAGGCATCATCCAGGGCCACAGAGCAGGAATCATGTGGCCGACAGATGATGTCTTCTCCCAAGACCCCGGTTCTTCCACTGGCCGTGGACAGTGGGTAGAAGTCGGCAAGTGTCGGTCTCGGCGGCTCGTAACGCGTGCATCGCTCGTCAGGTTAGGCGGGCGGCGCGGTGATCCTCAAGAAGTGGACACCTTTGAACTGACCGTATGTTGTGTGTTGTGCGTGCGCGCGTGTCTGTGATGATCCTGTCGTGCGCGTTGTGGCTTTGGTGATGACAGCGAAAAGGTGAAGGTTGAAGAACGTCCTTGCTCGCAACACATGAGGTCAAAAAGAGTGGGCGGGCTACCTCTTATTGGCTGCTCTCTAGGAGTGGGGCTGGCAGAGGCAGCAACAAAAGTCAGGAGGCTGGAGATTTGGGGGAGCTTGGTGCCAGTGAACATGGGAACGTGCGCGCTGTACTGCTGCCTGATTGGTTGCCGAAGGTACCTAGGTACTTGGTGCTCCTGTGCAGTACACGCATTCAGCCATGATGGCACGAATTGAAAGCTGACAGACAGCCTTCTTTCTGAATCAATGGCGACGTCAATACGGCTGGGGCGTTTCCACCCCGCTGACCATTGGCGGTCTTCAATGTACTACCTATCCTTGCGATACCGGTAGCTGGCTGCGCTGCCTTCAGAGCCCTCCATGAATATACAAATCGAGACCGTTTGCCGGGAGAGAATGACAGCAGAGAACAGTATTTGATTAATGATGCGAATCAGAGAGAAGAATTCGAGCAAAACATACCGATAGTTCACAACTCAGAAACTATTAACAATGGGACTGAGAATCAAAATGTTGACACGGTGGAGGAATCGAACCACCATCTAGCCCTTGGAAGACGCAGACCGAGGAGACGCTCCGAGTCGTGCCCAAGGTGCTTGCCGCCCTGAATCCCCGGGTGTACTTGTCCATGAACTGGCCAAAGACGCACAGCATCAATCCGGGCGTGCAGTGGCTGGTGAGGGAGCGGGTGGAGAAGTTCCGCAGGATCCTGGCAGGGATGATCTCCGATCGAATGGCCTTGCCCATAGACGCAAAGCACGACCTCTTCTCATTCGTCGCAAGCGATGAGAGGATCGATCAGGCGAAGCAGGAGGGCATCCGGAAGAGCGAGATCTGGGGCGAGGCGGGCGTGTTAGGCAAGTTTCGCCACTGGTCCGTTACTGACTGCCAGTGCTAATTTTACGTCTGCAACGAGGTGGCACAACTACAGCTACAGCTATTTCCACCGTCTTCTACTACCTGTCGCGTAACCCAGCCGCCTATGTCGCACTAAAAAGTCCGCTAAATGTTTACCGATGTTTCAACGTTAGGTGTCATCCGGCATTTCAAACAAGAATAAAGAGACAGGTGCATTCATCCTCCCCATACTTGCAGATTTACTAAATGGCAAGTCCTGTTTAAGAAAGTCCATTTTCAAGCATGCAAACCTAAATTTTTTTTTTTTCATTTAAATTTTTTCCATTTTTTTTTTTTAGAGATGTACGAAATTTTGATTTGAGTTCAGCAAACCCCTCTCCACCTCCTGATCAGGCCTCCGGAGCGTGCCCTCCGTGTTGTCCCGCCCGCGCCGGGACTAGGCCGAGCAACACATCGTCACAACCATGCATAGCTTTAGTGGCCACGCAAAAACTATATTCACCTCAAATATGAAAGGGTCAAATGCCCCCTGATGGATATAAGACTCTGGAGTGGCCCACCCACTTACCTCTCCTTCCATATTTACATGTACACTCGCATCCGGCAGCTAAACTAGCCAGCAGCACGAGGAGGAGAAAGTAGCCAAGATTATACAGACATCCTGTCACAAGATGGTCCGCTTGTCAACTCTGCTCCCGACCCTCTCGGCGCTTGGCTGTGCCAGAGGCGTCCGCTTCCTCGGGCGAGTGAACCCTGCCACCAGGGAGCTCTCATGGTCCGGTACAGGCCTCACCTTCAGCTTCACCGGCTCCTCCGCCAGCGTGGCTGTGGCCTCGTCCTGGGGCACCAACAGCATCGAGATGGCCATCGACGACGGCACGCCTCTTGTCTTGGACAGCGTCAACGGAACCAGCATTGCCACGCCGGCCGCCCTCGCCGACGGGCCCCACACCGTCTCCATCCGCAAGCGCTCCGAGGCCCAGTTCGGCAGCATCTACGTCGGCGACGTGAGCACCTCGGGGACGCTGGGCAACGACACGGCGCCGGCGGGCAGGCGCATCCAGCTCATCGGCGACAGCATCACGGTCGGCTACGGCATGGACGGCACGTACCCGTGCGTCAACTCGGCTGCGCTCGAGGACGCGCCCAACACCTACGGCGCGCTGACGGCCAAGAACCTCTCGGCCGAGTATGATATCATTGCTTCGTCGGGCAAGGGACTGCTGCGCAACACCGTCAACCCGGGCTACGAGGACGACGTAGTAATGCCGCAGATCTGGACGCGCTGGGCCGCCGCCGACGCGGACGGCACCTACGCCTTCCCGGCCGCCGACACGCCCGACGTCGTCGTCGTCAACCTGGGCACCAACGACTTCAGCTACGTCGCGACCAACAGCAGCACGGGCGCCACCTACGACGCGCGGCCGCGCCTCAACGCCACCGCGTACGCCGACGGGCTGGTCGCCTTCGGCAAGACCATCCAGGGCCACTACCCCGACGCCGAGCTCTTCATCACGTCGAGCCCGCTGCTGAGCGACGGCTACCCGACCGCCGAGGACGCCCAGCACACCACGCAGGCCAACGCCATCAAGGACGCCGTCGCCCGGCTCGGCGGCAGCGCGCACTTTGTCGACTTCCCGGCGCAGGACTCGAGCAACAACAACATCGGCTGTGATTACCACCCCTCGTCGGCGACGCACGAGAGCATGGCTGTGATCCTGACGGCGGCTATTGAGGATGTCATTGCTTAGATCTCGTTGGTCTTGCGGGGGAAGCGCGCTTTTTCAATGTACATATTTTTAGGGCGCTCAATTACATAAATATTACAAGTGCTGACAAGACTTGCACCCTACTGGTAATGGGCATTAAAGAGGTATAAGAAACAAATTACGGGGTTGACCACTCGTCAACCAACCAAATAGACCCGGCAGACAACCTTGGGCAGGATGTGGTGAACTTGGACGGCATCGACTGTCGTCTTTTTTCCAACAAATCCCTCGCATTCAGATGCCCAGCGAATTGTAAAGGGCGTGAAAGGGAATCTGGACCGTTTCGGCTCTAGCATGAATAAGCTAAGCTTCAAAAGCTGGCTGATGTCCGTTCGGACCGGAAATCCTGACTTCCTATCCCGTGCAATCAGTCATGTCCGCATGGATACGTCCACGGCGACATATACTAAGGTGCTGGGAGAATCCGGTGCTGTCTTCGGCGCTGACAAATTTATCCAATCTAGCACAGTACCCAGGCAAGGCTCGTGTTGAATACTGGATGTGGTTCTTCGTCAAAATAACTGACGATACTGTTCAGTGACTTGTTGATACGAGTTAGTAAAGAAAGGTTCTTCTGGCGATGGGAATCATATCTCGCAAGATAAGATATGCACAACAAATCCAGACTCCTAAACTTTAGTCCCATCTTGATCTAGTGCCATTTGTAAAACCAGAGACGTATAAAGTGGTGGAGAAAAGCTTGCTAAAGACCCAATTTGCATGCAGAACGATGATGATTTGAATCCCCAGATGAGACTTGACTCAATCTAAACACCTTGCTTCCTCGACGGGCTAGCCTCGCGTGGGACAGGGGAAGAGAACCTCTGCGTGACCTCATCCTCAAACTTCCTCGTGCCATCCTCAACATCTGCCCGCGCCACAGCCGCATTCGTAAAGTCAGACGGGAATGATGAGAAATCTGGCGCGTGGGTCCCGCTCCCGACAACAGGCCCGCTCGACACAGGATACTCATCCTCGTGTTCGGAGGTGTCGTCGCGCCGAAGCGCAAGCTCGTCTTGTGGCAGGGGATAACGCGCAATGTCCTCGAGTGCCAGGCTCCTCCACCGCCTTGGCAGGGTCTTGTCCCACCAATTCTCCGGGGCCGAGTGGTTCGAATCGTCGTCAGCCGCCTCTAGAGATATCCTGGATAACGCAGCTTGGTTGAGTGGCTTCTTGGTATCCCTCTGAACCTCAGGGAGCGCCCCAGGCAGGACAGCAATGACAGCCAGGATCAGCATGATGACGCTGAACACAAACAGGTAGGCAACGAGCTGCTTGTTCCCGTCGCCCGCACCCGCCACAATGGCCCTGATTATTATGGCGCCGAGCTTACCAGCCGCGGCCGAGATGCCGTAGAAGGTGCCCCGGAAGACGGTGGGGAATATCTCGGCCGCCATGATGAAGGTCAGGGTGTTGGGCCCGACGTTGAACATGAACTGGGCGAGTGCGAAGAACACCATGCTGACCTCGTGGTCGGGCGTCGCGTACGTCCTGACGACGCTGGCGCCGGTGGCGATGAAGAGGAGCGTGAGGCTCAGGGAGGTCCCTATGAGCAGCCTCTTGCGGTTTGCATAGTGGACTACTGGGATGGCGACGATGCTTCCGACGAGTGAGGATATAGAAGATAGTATGAGCGTTCGCACAGCGTTATTGTCCAGGGTCCGCTGGATGGTGGCGTTGGGCGAGCCTTGGTCGGCGTTCCAGATGCTCAGCGTTGCGTCGGACGCAGGTTTGTCCAGCCACAGTGTGTTCAGCGTCCTCGGGCTGTCCAGGCTGGTCCCATAAAAACACACATCTAGCAACAGCCATATCGTGGACATTCCCACCAGGGGCTTCCACCCACCTTCCCTCACCAGATACTTGCGCGCGGCCTTGAACCACGGCGTCGGATCCTGGTCTTTGTGGAAACGGTGGCGCACACCCGAAGATACGGATATTTCGGATCGTTGGTCATCTTCCAATTTTCCTCCGACCTGCTGAACCGCAAGAGCAGCCTTTCTTAGATCCTTCTGGATGCCGGAGAAGTATCTAGGAGACTCAGGTATGATAAGTCGAAGGCCGACCGCAATAAGCGCTATAATACCGCCTATACCGATCACGATCCGCCAGACTATGTCGATGACTATTTTGGCCTTGGCTTCAGCCGTCCCTACATTTGGGTCGTCCATGTCGAGGTCGTAGCGGTTCATGAGTCTTAGCAGGGAGCCGAGACCTATGCCGACGGCCATCAAGCGGCCAATACTCTGCATGAGGAATATGGCAGCCATCATGACGGCTCGCGTATCCGTGGACGCGAATTCGGCTGCTATCACAGCCGAAACGGGGTACTGGGAGCTTGTTATCAGCCTGGTCCGGAGAGACGGTGCCAGATCAGCCATATTACCTACCTCTGCTCCGATACCGAATCCCAGCATACAGCGGAAGAAAATGATGGACGCGTAGATGCTCATCGAAGACTTCGGGACGCCTTCCACATCCACACTCGTCTGCATGAACCCCTGGGAGGACAAGACCAAGCCGACCGTGGCCAGGATCAAGATGATCAGCTCCCAGCCGTAGAGCCTCTTGCGCCCGCCCCGGTCGGCGAAGTGGCCGAAGACAACCATGCCGAACAGGGTGGCGCTCAACGTGGTCAGGTCCAGCATCTCGCCGACGTCTACGTGGGTGAAGCCCTCGGGCGGGTAGACGTAGAGCAGGGCCGGCGTGACGAAGTTGGTGGCGAAGAGGCTGTACGAGGACGCCAGGAAGCCGATGGCGACGGCGCAGAAGACGGGCCAGTTGAAGCCGATGGAGTCGAGGATGCGCAGGATGGCGATCTCCCGCTCGTGTCGGTCCTAGAATGAGGTTGTGAGCCAGGGTTTCCGAGGGACTGTGTCCCTTGGGAGGCTACTCACGGTGATGTGCCCGACGTCGGGGTGGACATCGGCCTGCCTCATGGGATCCGGCAGCCTCAGCCGGGATATCCTCGAGCTCTGCTCGGCCTTGATGCCGTCGAGCATCTTGTCAGCAGAAGCAGTGCTGCTTCAGAGCTGAGATGGGAGTGGTCTTCGATATTGACGGTGCATGCACCTGCTCGAGCGCTTCATCTGGGAAAGCCTTCTGTTCCGATCATGAGCTGCCGTCCGGTCGGATCACCGCTATATGACACCTCCCAGGGCCGTCTTAGTCCCGGTTGTGTAACCAATTCATCTGGATCAAGCACCAAGGCAGCCAGTGCCAAATCGTGTCAGCATTTCCCGGTGGGTGGGAAGTACGCCCTGGTGGCGCCACCCAACGCGGGCTAGCCTCCTAAAAGTGCCCTGTCTCATCCCAGCTGCAGCAGCCATTTGCCCGTCGTCTCTGCACGTGCTGGGTGGCGCAGCTGAACCCGTCCCAATATTGCAGCAGGATTCTGCAACTGCAGGGTGGACACGGCCCTCCATGAGACACCGAGGCAGACCTCCAGGCGTTGAGGCTCCCCCCTCAAAATCGGGGTGACCAGCCTCCCCGCGTTGGGGATTGCTCCAGCTACAACATGCGAGCCTCCCGTTCGTCCCATCTACTTGGCTCGGTAAAGGTCACCCGGAACATCCTGGAACCATGAACCCGCAAGCATCGTAAGAGATGCATGCGTTTTTTGACACATCAGATGAAGCTTGGGTAACATCCCAGAGCCCACATCACTTCATACTCCACCGATGGATCCCGTCACGGCTTTCGGGCTCGTGGCGGGGATCGTGCAGCTGGGGTCTTTTGTGGCAGATCTCGCGGGGAACTTGCGTCGTTCGCGACATCAAGGAGGACAACTGATCAGGCTCCGGGATATACTTCAAGAACTCTCCCAGCTGAGGCTCCGAATCGGCGAGGATGATCCAGACGTCGAGAGGGTGGTGCGGCTGGTGGAGAAGTGCAGGAACCTGCTCGAGGAGCACGACCCGAAGCTGAGAACCTCGCGCGGCCTTACCTTCAAGTGGCCGGCGAGTCTCGAGAATGAGATCCGGATCATCAACGAAGACCTCACGCGGATGTACACGAGGCTGCTGCTACACCGCGTCGACTTCCCTCCGACACCAAGTTCATTCGGCAGTCAACAGGATCAAGCAGCGCGGACACCTACCCTTCCGCCCTATGCACTGCTACCAGAGCCTGCACTCACTCCAGCCCTCAGTCGCAGAGGCTCCCTGGAGTTCATCGACCTCCCAGCCACCATCTCCCTTGGGGAAGACGGCCCCAAGCTCACGCTGCAGCACGTAAACATCCTGGAGCGGGACAACGCCTCCCGCATCCTCCAGTACGAGAGCGGCGACAAGCAGGTCATCGTCACCCACCGCATCCCCTTCGGCACCAAGCCCAACGCGGACGGCGACGTGCGCGCGCGGCGGGTCAACTTCCTCGCGCAGCACGAGGTCACGGTCGAGGACCGCGACGGCTTCCGCATCTACTCCGTGGACCCGACCTACGTCTTCGGCAGCTCCGCCAACTGCGCGAGCTTCATCGCCAAGGTGCGCGAGCGAGAGCTCGTCGCGACCTTCCTGCCGCGCGAGATCCGCCGCGGAGGCGAGACGCGCGCCAGGGCAAAGGTTCTTCGCGTGTGGAGGAAGTCGAACGAGAGTGCCAGCAACCCTCGGCCTCTGGTCACGTTGGGCTTCCACGATCGTGTCGAGGGCCGGCAGATCGAGCTGGATGTGAGGCTGTACGACCGCAGCGTGACGTTGACCAAGGACAAGAAGGTGCTTGATATCTGGAGGACGGATGGGTCCAGCAAGTTGTCCTTGTCCTTCGACAATGCGAAGGGTAGGTAGATCCTGCCATGAGTTCTTGTTACCACACGACACGTGTGCTGATTCCATGACGCACAGATGCGAAGAGCTTCCTCGATGTCTACCAGGACGTTCATCCAGGCAAGCCTTCGGCTTCGCCGGCTTATCCGCCATCACTACCGCCTCTCAACTTCTGATTGCTTTGGAGCACGTTCTGAAGCGAAGTGCATGTAAATGGCTTGTTTCTCCCGGAAACTCGGTCTCTCGAAGTATGAAACACTTAGCTGCCAAGGTTCTGCGTAGGGTGTCATTTGCTGGGGTTTCTCAACTTGAGAGGTGCGAGAGCCGACGTCTTCTGACGGAAAGGTGCTGAACGCCTCCCGGCTGGTTCGGTCGTGCGACTCTCGCTTTGACAGACGAGAACAGCATCGGCACACTACAAAGTCGCTATTTGTCAGTAAGGAGCCCAGTAAATGCTTGATTCTAGAACTGAGATTAGTATGTGGTCCCAACGATCTCAAACACCTTTGCTTCTTGCTGACTACGTTACCATACACAGCTCCAGAATCATCTTGTTTGTCGAAATGTGTCGTGTGTGGTTGAAGAAGTCGGAGTGTGTTCGTTCCGGGAGGGTGCAACGATGCCAGCAGCACTGATAGAGTTTGAAGAGGAGCATGGTCCATGTCTGGTCACTACCCGACGGTTGCTCATCTGACTGCAGTAGCCACGACCCTCTTCTGGGATAATCTCCTATGGGATACCCTCCTATGGGATACCCTCTTATGGGATACCTTCCTGTGGGATAGTCTCCTGTGGGATAACTTTTGTTGCTTATGGGATAATTACCTATAGGAAAACCTCTGGAAATCTGTATGATGCATCTTCCAACCCAACGCTAGCTTGAGGCCAGCCACAAACCGAAACTAGAGGAGGTGCTCAGAGTACCTAGGTACCTAGGAACACTGGAAGGCAGGTTGAGCTGAGCCAAGCCACGACGAAGGTGCATGCGGTGCGACGGTGGAACGGCCGAAAGAGCGCCGTCACCATGGCTCGGTGACATATTGTCCGAACGAGGACACAAACAGAAAGAGATACGGCGATGCATGTGGCATCCATAACAGTGCCTGTATCCGGTTTAACTAATCGATGTTAATGAATCAATTACCCAAAGAAGCCAAAATGACTCGGGTGTGTCCTCACGTCTTGACTCACTTGACTACGTTGGATGGAGCCGAGATGACTGTTGATTGTGTTTGTGAAACCTCGGTAGTAAAAGGAGAACGCTTCTGTCAGACGGGTTCGGAGCCTTGTGATACGCCTTGTGATACACGAATCCTGTGCAACGGGCGGCTGGTGACAGGCTGGACCCGTCAGCATCGCACAACACGTACTTCTCGTCCACATTTCTGGGTCCAGATTGCGACTGAGAGGCGTTCGAGACTTGATCGACAGCGACCAGCCTCAAGATCGGATTGCACGGAAGAGTCTGAGGGGCTATATTGAGGATCAAATGACGAATTGGGAGCAGCATGGCCCGGTCTGAGCCCCAGGCGAGCAGAATTGCCACGATTCAGTGATGACCGTCTTGGTTCTCTCGTAATACACCATTGCCGCGCGGGTGGTTGGCAACAGTAATCCGGCTGACGAACTGCACTGCAGGCAGGTGAGACAGGAGCATGAGGTAATCTTGGAATGGCTGCGACGGCGACGCACCAGCGCTGCATCGGGCTTGTGTATCTTGGCCATGGCCGTTGCTTCCGGTGGTGGACTTTTATGCCGTGCGTGGACACCTTTGTGGAACTGCTGCATACATAGCTAAATAATCAAATCATCTTGGGAGGACCGACCACTGGCATCTGGCCCTGTCTGTCCGACCTGTCCACACACGGGCGATGGGATCTGCACCCTTGCTTCCCGTCGTAGGGCTGAGGATCGCCGGCTCAGTCATCACCTCATGCGGGTTCGATCCTTTTTCGCGCCTCGGAACCTGCAGAACGCCCACGCAATCCCACTCCTGCACACCCAAGGGAACTCTTCCGACTCCACGCCCATCCCACTCGTAAAGCGCCAAATGATTTCACCAAAAAAAGGTCGCGCTCGAGTCATTGGATCGACGCAACATCAGTGAGTGTGGTGCAAGCGGCGGTGCGGCTGGGCTTGGGTGGGCGTTGTGTGTCGCGATTCATCCAGTCGGTCTTCAACATGGAAGGTGATCTGTTGCTGACTGTCCTCGGCCGTTGGGGTCGACGCCACAGCATCGCCACACGAACACAGTCAACGTCTGTGAGATGGCAATTGCTAACACTGTCTCCAGCCACACTTGTCCTTGTCCCTTGTCCCCTGTTCCCCCGACTTCACGCGATGGGCAGGGACTTGAGATGACTTCAACCTCGCTTCGGGCTCTCCAGTCGTCCAGAGGTCCTCTTCCAAGGCCCATTGGCCGCTGTACGGCCCCCAAACTTGCTGGAAGCTCTGCATCCTGGCAGATCAGGGTTACATCCTGCCAGCTCTTGGAAAATTAGGGCTGAACCGGTGGTAAGGAAGCCTGGACTGCTGCATGCAGGGCAGCATCCGGCCCCTCCAATGACGCGAGACCAGAGCCTCGTCGGTCGCCGTTGCTCGAAACTTTCGAGGCACAGCAGACAGGCAAGGACCAGCTCTTTCCAGCTCTGCCCCGTCTTGTCTTGCCTGTCTCTCTCTCTTCTGTCTGGTCCCCCAACCGAAACCTTGGAAAGGATAATGCGCTCTGGGATGCTGCCCCGCACACACACACACACACTGAGTCTTTTCATCCGTCACACCCAACGGGGTGACGAGGACCGAACCGGCTCAACGGGGGACCGCCCACGCGATGTGACTCTGCCCTCATTCTAATCGGTCGTTTCCGCATCCTATCGGCTTCCACAATTCTTCCTCCGTCATCCCTCCACGCCGATATTTCGTCATTCAGCACCTGATTTCCCTGCATCTTCGCGGCGCCCAGTCGCAGCCGGACCATCTTGCTCTACCTCTCTCGCATGCACAACCTAGCATATGCATGCGAGAGGAGACAGATAAGAAAAGTACCTGCCAAGCAGCATTCCTCACAGCTCCTCCCTCCCCTGCAACATCGCAATCACATACCACAGTTCTCACTCCCGTTCCCCTGCCTAGTTCCTCTGTTTTTTTCCTTCCCCATGCCCTGCCTGCCTGCCTGCCTGTGTCTCGAGTGACCTAGCTCGAAAAGGGAACCAGCCACCAGCAGAAGCGGCTGACCTTGTCTATCCCTACCCCACGTCTCACTCCGCTCTGCCACCTCGTGCCAGATACCGAGGTGGATAGTGAGGGTGCCCTTGCTTACATTGCTTACTCCCGGGGTCTCCTGCGGCCGAGTGACGCTCGTTGGGAGATAGCCTGGATGGGGGTTTGACCTCTCCGTCAGGCTGCCCCTCTGGTCCTCAGGCCCTCAGGCACCAGGACACAGTCTGAGGGGGCCCGGCACTTCTAAGAATCTCAGCTTGCCCAGCTTGCGTGGGCCGTCTGCGACCAAGGTCCCTGCGGGGGTCTCCGCGATGGGGCCAGGTCCGCACGCAGAGGGCAGAGGGCAGAGGTCAGAAGGCCACTGAAACGTTCGAGTGAGGCCGTATAATGTGGTCGGTTCTTGCAGACTGCCGAGACATGCGGGCGCGATGCGGGAGCATGCAAGCCCGCCTGCTCGGTGGCTACTACTCTCAGCCCTATGGGGCCGGCTGTACGAGTGTCGTCGCGCGCCCCGTCATGCCTCGTGGGCTCTTCCTGTGTGCTTGTCGCGGCCGTGGCTGTAGCCGTAGCTGCAGCCGGTCCAGCTCGTCCTGTGTCCATCCATGTCTTGTCTGCCCCTGGCCCCCTGTCCTGTCCGAGTACGTACCTACATCAAGATCATCAAATGTAGCCAGACAGCCCGGGGTCCTTGCATGAGGGCACATGGAAGTCCCCTTCCCCCCCTAGTGCTGAATACCAAGACAGCAGCCAGGAGCAGCCAGCAGCGGCACCTCTTCCTGTCACCCACTCCCACACCCACCCGCAGTACACGGCTCCCACCACGCCCTGGGAGGGTACCAAATTTCCCCCTACGACCACACCGGCCACCGGCCTCCATCCCTCGGTCCAGCCAGTCACGGCGTGCGCAACCCCTGACTCAGGCAGATCACTTTATTTTGCACATGGGTGGTCTCTCCCGAGCAGGCTCTCCCCGTGGACGCCATTCGCTCGCCCCGTGCCACTGGGTCGACGTCTGCCCCGTTCTTTTTTTTTCTCAAACAAACCCCCTTCCAGGCACACCGCGGGAGGCAAACGCGGGAGGGCGGAGCCTCACCACACCAAGAGGATAGCAGGCGCGCTTCTTATTAACAAGGCTTCTTCTGGATCCCGGGCAAAATGGGGTGAGCCGGTGTTGACATAACACACACATACAAACATGATGAGAATAGCAATCGCCGGCGGAGGCGGTTTTGCCTATGTTCTAGCCGGGGAGATAGCCCAGACCGCCAATGCCGTGCTTGTTCTGTCCACAAGGGTAAGCAGCAAGCAAGCACTATCCCATCTCCTTCCCATTTCAACCTAATACAACCAACCCATCCCAACCCGTCCGAACCTCACGCAGCCTTGCCCGTTAGAAGATAATCTGCTGACAAGGGGACCCAACCAGGAGCATCCGGAGTTCGAGGCTCTGGGGGCACAGGTGGCCGTGGTCAACTTCGCGGACGTCGACGAGCTCCGCTACGCGCTGCGGGGCGTTGACCTTGTCATATCGACAATACCGGGCCCGTCGCAACTTCACCTCATCGACGCCGCCCACCTCGCGCGCGTCCGCACCTTTGTGCCCTCCGAGTTCGAGGGCGCCCTGGCGCGCAGGCCGCCGGCGTCCAACTATCCCCTCGACGACCGCGGCTCTGCGCAGGCGTTGGACCGCCTCAGGCAGCTGTCGCAGCCGCAACCCCAGAACTCGCAGCCGCTCTCCTCTCCCACCTCCCTTCCCCCCATGGGCTTCACTGTCTTCTCGTGCGGCGTGCTGTACGAGAGGCTGGCACCCGGCGGCCTGGCCGCCTTCAACATCGGCGCGGGGCAGACCCTCGCGAACCAGGGAGACTACCTGGCGGACATTGGCAACGCGACGGCTGAGATCGTCGAGACTAACGCCCAGGGGGCCACGGTGTCCGTGTCCATGACCTCAGTCTTCGATGTGGCCCGGTTTGTGGCAGCCGCCATCGAGATCGGGCCGGAGCGCTGGCCGAGGGAACTGCGGATGCGGGGGGACCAGCTGAGCGTCCGGGACATCGTGGCCGCGGCGATGAGCGTCCGAGGAGGTGAGTTGATCTGAGCTGAGTCGAGCTCGGTGGTGGTGCAGGCCCCGCCCCCCACTGGTAGACCAATTATGTATGTTGCAAGCTAACCTCAGGGCCGTCACAGTTCCGTTCAATCTAATCAGCCACGAGTACGGCTACATCCAGGCGCAAATCCACTATCCCACCGACACGAGCAACTGGCGCCGCTGGTTCTACTTCCATCAGCTCCTGGCCACGGCGGACGGGCGGTACGCCGTGGGACGGCCGAACCTCAATGACCTCATCGACGAGTCCCCGGGCGTGAGCGTTGTACCCGAGAGGTTCGCGGACTGGCTGAGGCGGTCGTGGGGCCAGCCTCAGCCTCAGATTCAGCCCCATTTCCAAACCAACGTGATGGAAATAGACTGAAGCGGGTGGTCGGAAGGGCTCAAGTGCTCCCCCCAGCCCACTCTCTCTCCCTATGTGGACAGTGTGTGAATTAATATGGATGGCATTGCATAGCGTTGGAAATCATGGGCACGGGCATGGCCTGGCATGGCATGCAAAAAGTATGTATTATTACTGTTGTTGTCACTACGATATGATTGTAATGGACATTATCTGTTGTTTTTTTTTCTCTATCCCGGGCGATCATGCACGGTATAATTCTAGGTATCCCCAGTCTTTCTTCCGATCACCACCTCATTCTCAAATCGCGTACGGTCCCGCATCGTATTCGAATCTTGGAGACAGGACCACTGCAGCTCAAATCCACAAATCTAGGTCGTATCGCGCACTGGTCAACCCTCGCGGGAATCTCGGCAGGGGCGCATACTTGTCCGCATCGGGCTTGGGAGCCCGGCCTGCCAACCTCGGAACAGCCTTGGCCCCGGGCACGCGCGCACTGGCATGAACCCATCGCCGCCGTCACCTTCCCCTTTCGACTACTACAGAGCTGCTGCAGATCAACGGTTGACCAATACGAGTTGCTTGCTTCTTTAATTAAAAAGACGTTCGCGCCCACGCCAGCCGCCATGCGCGCCTGCGGAGGTGGTGGAAACCACCACCTCAGCTTTACCATGGCGACACCATGAAGTTCGGGACCCTCTTTGTCGCCAACCTCGCTAGCCTGGCGTTCGTGTCGCAGGCGGCCGCGCGCGAGAAGTGCGGCTCGAGCGACCCGGAGCCCGAGGCACTCGAGGCCGCCGCGAGGCTCCGAGACGCCCAGCGGGCCGAGGGCGCGCTGCAGAGGCGCGACGGCGAGGGCCTGCTCATCACGACGTACGTGCACGTCGTCGAGGACACGAAGAACGCCGGGTTTGTCACGGATGGGATGATCACCGATCAGGTACGGCGAGTTTGGCATGTCCACAAACACGGAGAGATCCGGACCACCCGGACGACTGACGCAAGCACACGCACACAGATGAGGGTCCTAAACGAGACATACGCACCCCACGGGGTCCAGTTCACCGTGGCAGAGGTGTCGCACAGCGTCAACGACTCCTGGACGACGCAGGCGCGCATCCGCGACAAGGCCCTGGCGCTGCGGCGGGGCGGTTACGACGACCTCAACCTGTACCTGGACACGGGCCTCATGACCAACGCCGGGTCCGCGACGGGGCTGTGCAGCTTCCCCGTCGAGGACCCGGCGGGGACGGGGGTCAACGGGACCTCGTGGCTCGTGTGGGACGGGTGCTTCGTCAGCCCCGGGGCGATGCCCGGCGGGCCCGGGGTCCCGTGGGACGCGGGCGACAACAAGGGGAAGACGGCGACGCACGAGGTGGGACACTGGCTGGGGCTGTTTCACGTCTTCGATGGGTTTGACTGTGCCGGCGAGGGGGACCTCATCGACGACACGCCCGCCACCAGCGTCGCTACCGTTGGGTGTCCTGTGAGGCAGGACTCGTGCCCTGACCAGCCTGGGCTGGATCCTGTTCATAACTATATGGACTATGCTAGCCGTGATTGGTATGTGATGCGACTGGTCCTCGTACCACTTTTTCTCTTGTGGTCGTATCTGCTTTTCTTGCTCGTTTGAAACGTGCTGACAGTCCTAGTATCACCGAGTTCACGCCTCTGCAGGAGGAGCGCATGTACCGGTCCTTCAACACCCTGAGGCGGGGCAAGTAGGGTGTACATCCGTGAGCAGTATGCTTGGGTGTGGCGAGGCAATAGACCGCTGCAAGATGTCAGCCTCGTGCTGCACCGGTTGTGTTGCAGTTGCTCCTTCATATCTACGGGATATCTCTTTCGCAGCTTGCGCCTGTGGGAGTCCGATGACATACCCAAACGACCTCTTGGATTCGGTAGGCTTATATTGGGCTGATATGTAGGGTCTTGCAATACGTACCGCTGCGTAATTACGAGATATTCGGACATTTTGGAAATACAGACTTCGCGGTGTCCCATCCGTAACTCAGCTCCCCTGGAGAGTGAATTTGAATTGTTCCCAAATTATGCATGATACTTGGTAGCGAATACACCTAGGTAATCATCAAAGCTTTCGACGCATACTATGCCTGGATATCTTGATATTTTCCCTTCAGACCCCAAGCAATAGAGTCACTCGCGCCCCTGAACGATCAGCAATGTTTGAAACAGAGTCCGAAGATGCCGTCATCAAAGACTCCTCCAAGCTCGCGTACATGCAGGGCCATGATTATTTCCGGCCGGCACGCCCCCAAACCCCCCCCCTTCTCCCACTCCCACCCCGAAGCCCATCGGACGGATCCAGCCAGGGGGTGTTCCTCTGACCTCGTGGCAACAGCCTCAGCCCGAGAAACGTGGCCAAGTGCATGCGTTGCGCGCGTGCGTGGGCCCCTCGTACGGCAGGCATTCCTTCCGGGGGGGGGGGGCGGAGGAGTGAGTTTGATTCCAGCGATGGCGATATGCGGCTCGAATGAGGAACGCAACTCAGCCCTTTTGGGGGAGGAGGGGGACAAAAAGGTGCAAGGAATGGTCGAATCAGGATGCCCGCTCGATATATGAAGGTCGGAATACGGGAAGAGGATTCACCGCCCGCGGATCCTATTTGATAATTTGCGAGCCAATCACGCCTTGGTACCACCATCACCAGGGAGACGTCGAGTTCCTGTGCGAGGAGGGGTGGGGGTGTGGTGTAACACACGTAGCTGCAGCATGCCCGACGAGATACATGTACTTGTTACCGTGCATCCATCCCAGAGAGATCCCACCTTCGCAGAAGAGAATAGAGACAAACCTACACATCCCACGCAAGTGGCACAGCTGCCGGGCTGCCGGGCTGCCGAGCTGCCTGCCTGCCTGCCTGCCTGCAGATGACAACGAACTGACAAACCCAGTCCGACCAAGGCCCCGGCGAGCCGGGACACGACGTCGTAACCGTGAGACAAAAAAGGGCATGGCATTTTTGACTTCCGGGGAAACTCTTGACGTCTGCGCCCTTTGCCTGCCCCGCGACGCCTGCTTAGCAAGAGGAATCACAATCCCAGCTCAGCCCGCGGCACGTTCGGCGTGACGTGCTTGCTGGCAGATAACAACTGCTCTGTTCTGCTCAAATTTCTGCTCTGCTCAGCTCAGCTCGGAGCTCTCGATGATACCCTCCTGTCGCTAGACTTACACTGCATGTCTTTCTCGGCTCACGGCTGGCGCTTGAGCAAGCAGTGCCACCCACCAAGCGAGTCGAGGCAGAGGTGACACGAGGGTCCTGGCGACGATCCGCCGGCCGGAGAGGCATACCTTGCGAGGCGACACATCACAATGCTGCCTGAGCACCCACCCTTCCACAAAGCACGTCGTTGTCACGGCTTCTGAGTCAAATGGGTATTTTGTATTAGTGAGTATTGGTGTATCAATGTTTCCTTTCCTTCCTTTCCTTTCCATCCATTCCATCCCGTTCCTTTCCCTTCTTTTCTTGCGCTGCTGGGGTGCCCCTCTCTATGTGTATCTACGTATCTATGTATATCCCACATGTGGTGGGTTGAGCCTGGTCCGTCTAATAAAAAACTCCCTCTCGCCCCCTTGGCCTTTTTTGATATAAGTCATGCCCATGCAGGCAAGCCACCCCACGAGAACCCGAGAGACGCCTGAAAACAGTCCCGGTAATGCTGTAATGCCTCGCTTGCCCTGTCTTTTCCGTCTCCCTGCGTCGCACCGTCGGCAACGTCAGCACCCGGCCTGACAGCTCCCTCCCCAGAGGGTGTTGAATGTAACCCATCCAGCCTCCATACGCACTTGTCATCGTCTGGTGCCACGATGCCCGAGTTGGCGCTGGATCACCCCACCCTCCTTCCACAGACTTCCTCTCCCATTCAGGTCGGGGGCCTGAGCGTGCGGGATGTGCACACTTCCTCTCTGTCCAGTCAATAGGAGCTGAACTGGGGGTTCCGCCGGGGACGCAGTGTCCACTTGTCACTCCCACTCTTGAAGAGTCGAGTCGGTCGTGGGGGTTGTGAGTCGGCGGGCCACACTTGGCGCTGGTGTTGCCGTTGGGAGTCACTTCACTGGCCCCATCTGGCGCACTCAAGCCATCCCCCTGAGTCGAACACTCGGCCTCGACTCGACTCGGTTTCGCGTCTGTCTCCTTGTCTCCCCTGTTCCACCTTGTGTTTTCTTCATCTACTCGTCGCCATACTCCTCCCCGTACTCCTCACATACCCACAGGCAGAACTTCTCCCACATGATCTCCCACTCTTTGAGCCTCCTGGCCTTGATCCCAGAGCCGAGGCTGGCCTCCTTGACGTCGCGGGCCCATTCGTCCTGTGTCTGGTCCTCGAAGCAGCTCCAGCGGATCGAGTTCTCAGCGAGACTGCCCAGTCCTGCCAGGCCGAGGTTCTCCCAGCCCTGCAGGGCCTGCCAGAAGTCATGGGTCATGCCGGCGGTGTCCTGGCCGAGCATGGCCGGGTCGTCGTTGCTGAGGGCGCATGGGACGCCGCGGGCGAGTAGGGCGGGCAGAGGGTGGCTCATGATGCTGCCGCAGAGGCGCAGGACCTCGTTAGAGATAGGGCACGACTCGATCAGGATGCGGCGCTCCTTGACCAGCTCGGTGAGCAGCGGGTGCTTGTACAGGCTGAAGCCGTGGCCGATACGGCGGGTGCCCATCAGCACCGCGTCGAACAGGTTCTGGTCCGTCGCCGTGCCGTCGCCCAGCGTCTCGCCCGCGTGGAAGAAGAAGGGCATCGCCCCGTCCGACAGGCCCTCCTCGGCCAGCTGCTTGCGGAACCAGAACAGCTCCGGCAATACGTCCGTCAGCGGGCGGCCCATGTCCTCCTGGCCCACCAGGTCGAAACCGGACAGCAGGTGCGGGAACTCGAGCTTGGTCGTGATGGCGTGGTCCATGTTCTGCACGATCGACTTCTGGTCCCAGATGCGCAGGGACGTCCAGATCATGCGCAGGCCCCAGAAACCCTTGCCCTCGGGCGACGCCTGGAACGCCTTGATTTCCTCGTCGATGACCGTGAACATGTGGCTGTAGTTGGATTCGGGAACTTCCTGGCCGAGGCGGTAGTAATTAAGCGGCCAGGTGAACCTATCTCATTGTAAGCATGCAATGGATCGAATAGAACGTGACCGTTAGACCGGTCCAGGGGACCACCTACCTTATCTCCCCCCAGTAAACGCCGTCCTCATAGTACTGCTTCATCATCCTCCTGAGGAACTTCCTGAAGATGGGCTCGTAGTGGATGACAGTGCCCATGATGACGAAGCACTTGGAGAACATCCTCCACACGTGGTCGACGCCGTGGTGCTGCTCGACGGCGTCGGTCTCGGAAATGGTGGTCTTGCTTTTCATCCAGCGGATCCAGCCCTCGCGGCCGCCGTCGGGGAAGGTGTCGGCAGCCTTGGCCAGCGGGACGAACTCGCCGGGCTGGTAGCTGGCGTCGTCCCATATTGACATGGACGGGTTCCTGTCGCGGGCGAAGAAGCGGAAGTTGACGACGGCCTCGGCCCTCGCCTCGCTAGTGCCGAGGCGGGCGTCCGGGGCGCAGATGTGCATGCCCGGCTCGGACAGCAGGGTGTCGAAGACGTAGTCCAGCTCGACGATGGCGTCGAGGTGGGCGTGGAGGATGGAGCCCTTGGGCATCCGCCGCACGATGCGCCACAGTTTGGTGCGCTCCATCAGGCCCTTAGCCAGGGTGAACATCATGCCGCTGTGCATGGTGCAGCCCTCGCGCACCGCCAGCCGGTCCTCGTACTCGGGCGTCCAAAGCGTGCGCTGCTCCTCCTCGCGGATCCTTTCCACAATCCGGCATGCCTTTTGCGCGATTGGCGAGAGGTTCTGGCGGAATGAGTGGTCTGGGGGTTGAGGGTATGAATGTTAGATTCACCATGAGGCATGAGCTGGTGGCGGAAAGGGGGGAGGGATGGTGGGAGGAACGAGTTGGGTGGCTCTAGTGGTAGGGAATGAAGGGGTGCTCTCTCTTCTTCTTCGTCTCCTTCACATACCACTTCGTTGCTTCTTCTCCTCTGCTATGAGGGCCTCACGGCCGGTCATGTACTTCTGGATGAAGGCATCGTCTTTGCTGGGAATGGTCTGGGCGATTTCCTCCCATTCCTCTTTGGACATATTGGACAAGGCCATTATGGCAGTGGCGATGGTAATTACAAGTAAATATGGAGAGGAAGACGGTGAGAGTGAAAAAGAGAGTGAGAGGTTGCGAGTGTGAGGATGAATGTGAGAAAAAAAGTTGCAATTAGGCAATCGCTGCCGTTGTTGACGTTGGAAATGCCTTGACTGATGAGTCAGGTGGGTGGAAAATTTAGGCTGCGAAGTATGGAAAGTGCCGAGGTGCCGAGATGATGATGATGTCGTGGTCGTTCGTGGTCCTGGTCGACAGATATAGGCTAGCTGGCAAGCAGAGAGAATGCGGCAGCGAGAGGCAGAGAGACGGAGCAGGAGAAGGTGAGAGAGAGGGAATGGGCGGCGGTGAGCCTCGGTGTTTAAGGGCAGAATGACGGGAGGTCAGTCGGTCGGTTGGTCGGTTGGTCGAACTGCTTTCGTATCTATATCTCAATTAAGACACGTCAAGTCGGGCAGGGGCAGAACGAAAAGGAACTAGAAGGACAGAGACGGCGGGCAAAAAAGACTATATCACAAAAGTCATAATCCCGTGCGTTGGTGCCAAGACAACAAACATATCATCCGTCGGGCAGGGAGTGGGGAGATGGGACAGAGGGGACGGGTGGAAGTTGGTTGACGGGAAGGGCGAGTGTCAAAGAGAGTGAGGTGGTTGAAATGGGAAAACGAGATGAGCGTTGAGATGAGGAATCCCAGACCCGGTCGGGTCGAGTGACGATCCTGAAATGACCTCAGTCCGGATCTGGCCCGGGTGCAGGTTCGGGGTCAGGTTCAGGGTTTGGGGCGTGTTCTGGGCTGGTTCGCCCAGGCCGAGCGAAGGTGGCAGAAGGCGCAGGGAAGCTGCACAAGGTGAGAGAGAGGTAGGGCCCACCAGAGTCTGATGTGCTGTGGGGGCGCCCCTCCCCTCTTTGGCCCTGTGGTCCCTCCCGTCAGGCCCGTCGAGGTTTCACCTCACCTCATACACGTATACTTCTGCACACAACACGGGGACACAGATACGGAACACACCCACAGACATGGGCTTCTGCTGCTGCCGGCTCCACCTCCCGCTCATGCAGGACCATGCAAGCCATGCAGAGCGCACGCCTGTCCCCGGCTCAGGACCAAGCTGCCGGGTTTCGCTTCGCCTGCGCCCAACTACCGATGCAACTGGCTGTGGTACCCGTATAGGTACCCCGTGCAGTACCTAGGTAGACCACCTGGTTGGTGCTGCCCCTGAGAGAGTGCGCTCGATCGGTGTCACCTATGAGATGTCACATTCTGCGATGTCATGGCGTTTCCAGCCACAGTTATCAACATAATTACAGCCATAGTCACAGCCATTGTCACAGCTATAATGTGCAGATAATTGGTAATTAGATACTGATGTACCTAGGTAGTTGTACACACACACACACACACACACACACACACACACACACATGCACATGCACACAATCTCGCCCAGCAGATGCCGCCCTTCCGAGAGCTGTTCCTTGTGCCCAGTGCGAACAGCAGACTAGATAGTCTGCCAAATAGAACCGGCCCATCCGTACCACATAAAGATGTTCTCGGTCATCGCCGCGCCCTTCTATAGGTAGCTCCAGCCACACATAACGCTCTCGCCTCATCACGTCAACCAGCCTATGCTTTCTTCTCCTGAGAATCACGAGACATCAGTCATCAGTCCCCAGCCCAGCCCAGCCCAGCCCAGAGCCTACGCCGGAACCAGGCCCGTCCGCTCGTGGATCCCACTCCCGACCCACTCGCCGTCGCCCTCTCCCTGCCCGGGCAGCACCACCAGCGCCCTCGAGTTGGGCGGAACCTCCACCCTGAGCTGAAACGCCCTCGTCGCGCTCTGACCGCCCGCCCCGTCGTCCTCCCCAGCCCCAGAAGGTTCCTGCGTCTCGTCACCCTCGGCCTCACCCAGCTCCCACCGCACGGCGATCCTCCCGTGCGGGCCGTCGTAGCTGATCTCGGCGTGCCTCAGCTCCCCTCCCGGCCTGGGCCGCACGAGGAAGGTGCCCCACCCGGGCCGCAGCGGGCTGATTCCGCCGACGACGCTGTGCAAAAAGTTGGCGACGCTCCCCAGCGCGTAGTGGTTGAAGCTGGTCATGCTGCCCGGGTTGATGCTCCCGTCGGGCAGCATGCTGTCCCACCGCTCCCAGATGGTCGTCGCGCCCATCGTCACCGGGTACAGGAACGACGGGCACGTCTTCTGCTGCAGCATCCCGTACGCCAGGTCGAGGTTGCCGCTCTCCGCCAGCGCGTGCAGCACCACGGGCGTGCCCGCGAACCCCGTCGCCACCAGCAGCCCGCCCTTGCGCGTCAGCCGCGCGAGGCGCCGGCCCGCCACCGCCTGCTTGGCCTCGTCGCCCGCCTCGAGCAGCCCGAACCGGATCGACAGCGCCAGCGCCGTCTGCGCGTCGCCCACCACCAGCCCGCCGGGCGCGATGTACTTGTCCTGGTACTTGCCCTTGAGCACCTCGTAGTCGCCCTGGTACTTTTGCGCGCTCGCGGCGTCGCCGAGCACCACCGCGATTTGTGCCATGACCTCGGTGATGTGCACCAGGTACGCGTCCGCCACCATGGTGCCGTCCGTCCGCGCGAAGTCGGCCTGCTCCGTCGGCGCGTTGGGGTCCAGCCAGTCGCCGAACTGGAAGTTGTCCTCGTCCCACAGGCCGTCGGGGCCGCGCCTGATGCTCTTGTCCACGTGCGTGCGCATGCTCGCCCACTGGCGGCGCAGCACCTCGGCGTCGCCCGACCAGTTGTACACCGTCCACGGCACCAGCACGGCGGCGTCGTCCCAGACCGCCTCGGGGATCGAGTCCTGCGCCGAGTAGCCCTTGAGCACGTCCGGGACCACGCAAGGGACCACGCCGCCGTTGGTCCCCTGGTCGATGGCCAGGTCGCGCAGCCAGTTGGCCAGGAAGCCGGAGCAGTCGTAGATGAAGGACGCCGTCGGCGAGAACACCTGGATGTCGCCCGTCCAGCCCAGCCGCTCGTCCCGCTGCGGGCAGTCCGTCGGCACCGACAGGAAGTTGCCGCGCATGCCCCACACCACGTTCTCGTGCAGCTTGGTGATGAGCTCGTTCGAGCAGCTGAAGTGCCCCGTGCGCCGCATGTCCGAGTGCAGCACAACCGCCGACAGGCTGTCCTTGCCCAGCTCCTCGGCCGCCACGCCCGTGAGCTCGATGTAGCGGAACCCGTGGAAGGTGAACTCGGGGCTCCACGATGCCTTTGCCTTCTCGTCGCCCGAGAATATGTACTTGTCCGTCGCCTTGGCGTCGCGTAGCGGCCTCGTGCCTAGTTCTCCGTTCTCGAGCACCTCTGCGTGCTTGATCTGGAGTTCATGTCCCCTTGGTTTCTGCAGCCCCTGGATTCTGACCCTGCCCACGAGGTTCTGCCCAAAGTCCACCAGCAGCTTGCCGCTTGGGCTCTTGAAGATGTCAACAACCCCCACGGTCTGCGTGACCCGCACGGGCGGCACGTCAGGTGAGAATAGCTTGACCTTCTCGAGGTCGACGTCCAGGATACGTGTTGCATCCCAGGAACCAGCAGCGTCAAACTCCGGACTGGCCCAGCCCGAAAGCTCCTCCCGGGCGTCATACACCTCCCCGTCGTAGATGGAGGAGCTCAGCCGGGGCGAGGGGTGGCTGACCCACGAGTCGTCCGAGACGACCTGGGCCGAGTAGTCGTAGCTGCCGCCGTCATCCTGGGTCTCGAGCTGGGCGATGAACCCGGGCTTGTCTCCGTACAGGTTCCGCAGCCCGGGGATCCAGATAAGCCGCCCCGCGTACCACCCCTCTGCGACCTCGACGCCGATGACGTTCTTGCCGTCCTTTAGCAGGTCGGTCACGTCGAAGACCTGGTACTGCAGCCGGTGGTGGTAGCTCGTCCACCCGGGGGCCATTTCCAGGTCGCCCACGCGGCGGCCGTTGATGGAGGCGGCGTACAGGCCCAGTGCGCTGATGTAGAGCCTCGCGCGGGTGTGCTTGCCTTTTGGCTCCAGGGTGAACTCCTTGCGGTACAGCGTGGGCCGGTGGGGGACGCCGTTCTTGGGCGGCGGCTCCGTCGAGGTGACGAACCTGGCCTTCCAGTCCGAGACCCGGAGGAGCCCGGCCTCGACGTCCTGCCACTCGCTCCACACGGACAGGTCGGAGTTGGCAACGGGGCCCGGGTCGTCGGGCAGCGAGTGGCCAGAGGCCAGGACGCGGACGGATGCCGTCTCGCGAGATTGCAGGGGCCGGCCGGGCCACTCGTTCAGGATGGAGCTGTCAGAAGGGACGCGCCATGTCTGCACGTCGGGCTTCTGGTCGGACAACGTCTTGCCCGAGTGCCTCCTGATCTGGACCTGGTAGCTCTTCTGCATCCAGTTGTGGGGCACGGTGCTGGCTGACAGCCGCCATGACAGGCGGGGCCTGTCGGTTCCTATGCCGAAGCCATCGGGGTGGTGCTCGAAGCGTATGTCCACGGGCTGGACGGAGTTGCGTGACCTGGGCTTCACGGAGAGGTCGACGAGGGTCATGGTGAGGGGAACAATGCCAGATGCAGATGTCAGATATCTCCTAGACGATCCAATTCATTTACCACATATGAATGGCGGAAACAAAACCAAGCAAAGGGAGGTCGAGATGATGTCCCTGGAGCTTATAACCCCACCTTTTGTTCATGGCGGGCTTGGATGACGCGGGGTCTCGGGACCTTTGAAACAAGCAGCCACAACTCAATTTATTACATGGGCAGAGGAATGATCACGCCGTTCTGTCCTTGTCGGAAACGGCGACGAATCCGCTGCCTGCCTTGCCCTGGTTCTTGAATCGGATCTACGTTGCATATATTCGGCGCCAGCTCATGTCCACGTCTGGTGCCGAGTCCGGCGGATCGTGACGGGGTCTTGGCCATCGGCTGACAGCATCATGATCATGAGCTTGGGCGTGTCTGTTCATCTCCAATCTCAGACATGCAGTTTGCCAATGTCTCGGCGAGGGCTCCGGGTGTGGCAGGCACTTTTCGTCCATGACACCCTCTCCGGCGCAGGCTTCCCCGTTGTGACCTCGAGCAAACTCGGCTTAGACACTTTGCCACGAGTGGAAGGTCAAGGTTCTCTACACAACCTTCAGTTGAGGTCAGTGAGAACCATGCATTTGGCCTTGGGTTCTGTCGGTGCAGACAGCGATGGCCGGCGAACTCAAAATCGGAAGAGCAAGTCTCGTGCACACTGTTGCACAGCAGAAACTAGAAACACTTGTTAGCATGACCTGGTCAAATCCGTAGGGCAACGTGTCGATGTTCATGCAGAGTGAAGGCTTGCGAGGATCAAGTGAGTCCAAGGAATGTCTTGAGGGATGGTGACCGGGCTGTGATCGAGTGTTGGTGAGAGTTGCGTCTCAAACGTACCAGAAGCGGCTTTCCTTCATCTGTAAGTCAGACAAATCAGTCACGAAGTGAGCACTTTCTGAGACGACAGTTGATATTCTTTCCCATCGCCTCTCCATGAACTGCCTCGTTCAACGGCACCAGCACTCCACCGATGCATGAGAGCATCGCGATGTGACGAGCACAGGAGCTGGCCTGGGCCGACGCGACCAGCGTGACGAGCCGGGATGCCATCCCAATAGTAGCATGCCACGAGGACTGCTGACAGCTGGACCTGAAAAGGCCTGAGCAGTGGAGGAGCGAGTCGCGCAGGGAATGTGAAATGAAAATTCATGCACTGATGGGCGAGATACGTGTGTGTTGCCCCGGTAACGGGCCCGCCCCACGCGATTCCAAACAAGGCCGGCCGTCCGTGGCCACGGGCGGGAACAAGGGTGGCCACACACCTCTCACTCACACCTTGCGCGCCTGCCCATTCCTCGTTTCCCTCGTCCCATCGGACTGGATAGACTGTTTCGCACCTCGTAGTAGTCCGGTGCTGCTGACTTCATCCGCCCAGCGACTCTAGTAATTTGTGTGTGACGGCCACAGTCGCCGACCAGCTTCGGTTCGGAGCTCCTGGGATCGCAAAACAACAAAACCACGGCATTGTTCCACCATCTATCTAGCCTCCAAGTTCTTATCACTACTCGCCCACCGCCGCCAGCTTCAACATTGCGCCCTTGTCCCTACCGTGTGCACTCGAACTCCCACACGCTTCCTCCTCGACCTCCTCGAACCGCCCAACAGAGGCCATCGGCTCTGGCGTTATGATCGCCAGACACACAACGACATCATGATAGACTCCGAAAACCTACGGACAGCGTCGCTGTACATAAACAACCAGCTACTCTGTCGGGGCCTGCTGCGCGATGGGCGAACCATCGACTTCGCAGACCCGGGCTACAATGACCATGACCTCGCAGACACCATGGGGCGGATCATGGGCGTGGTCAATGACCTGATCCTGCGCCGCGACGTATGCTACCACCCTGCCCAAAAAAAAATGAAGGCCGACTTCCCACCGCTAACCTGAAATGAAGCGCGACGCCGAGCACCGCGAGGCCCTCTCCACCACCCTGCGCTCCGTCCGCGCCGACTCACTACGCCAGACCGACAACCTCTCGCGGCTGCACGACAGGTACACCGAAGCAGAGCGCAAGGTGGCCCTGCACGAGGCCGAGGAGGCCGCCCTGCGCTCGCAGCTCAAGGCCGCCGAAGCTACTATCCAGAAGCTGAAGGAAGAGGCCGCACGCGCCAAGAAGCTGGTCGCCGAGACGAGGGCCGCCTGCGCCAACGAGGTGCGCAAGCGGGACAGGCAGATCGACGGCCTCAAGAAGGCCGTCACGGACGCGGGCCGCGCCAGGGGCGAGCGGAAGGGCAACACCATCACGACGATACAGGTGGCGGGGGAGATTGGCGCCGAGGACATGAACGCCGGCGCCTCGACGATGGACGAGGGGTACAACCTGCGGCACGAGACGAACGGGTTCCTGGCACAGCTGGCTAAAGGCCTCAGCGAGGAGAACGAGGCCCTGCTCTCACTGATCCACAAGACGGGCAACAGCCTGAAGGATATGAGCGGCTGGGACAAGCAGCAACAGGACTTCGCCGGCAAGAAGGGCGACAGCAACGCCGTTGTGCTGGCCACGAGCCCCGAGGACATGGCGAACGACATGACCAGCGTGCTCGAGCACCTGCGGACCTTGCTCACCAACCCGTCGTTCGTGCCCCTCGAGGAGGTCGTCGTCCGGGAGGAGGAGATCTTCCGCCTGCGTGACGGCTGGGAGAAGATGGAGACCCGGTGGAGGGATGCCGTGCATCTCATCGACGGCTGGCGCCGTAGAATGGCTGCCGGCGGGCACCCGGTCGACATGGAGGACCTGAAGATGGGGTTGCGTCTCAGTCCGGTCAAGATGCAGAACTTGGGGCAAATTGGTGGGAATGATCCGTTCCAACTATCAACGCTTCAAGAAGAGGAGGAAGAGGAGGAGCAAGGACAGGCAGAGGAGGACGACGACGATGATGAGGAGGAGGAGGAAGAGTACGCCCAGGAAGAAGACCAAATGGACTTCAAGCAGGCAGAGCCGCCGAGCCTAGAAGGATCGTTGCATCTTGTTCCTGCCCCTGGCTATGAGGACATGGCGCCCGAGTACGAGGAAGCCCAGGGTGACGACGACAGCGATGCGGCATCTAGTATCTTCCAAGACGACGTTGAAGACATCGATATGGACGAGCTGCAAGCATCGGAGCCAAACATCGAGATCCTGCAGCATTCCACCGGGCTACCAGACGATACCAACTCCATGACACTTCCGCCGCCACCAAAGATCACACCTCTAGAAGAGACAGTCATCGCAGGGAACCGCAAGCCATCGGCAAGATTGACCGAGAAATCGAGGAAACGGTCATCAGAACTCATGCGGGACGCTTCGACTGACACTGCTAAGGCACCTCCGCCACCACCACCTCACCGGGTCAAGGAGGGCGAGTCACCACAAAAGAGGCTGAAGATCTCTGCAGAGGAACAGAATGACAAGCCAAAGTCGCGACCAAACTCTGCCATCTTCACCGATCCCGGGTCCTCACTGGGCAGCGACCTGCAGGCGAAGGCGACCCCAGAGTCCTCAGTTTCCAAGGCCTCGAGCAAGACTACGGTCAAGTCTACACGGTCTGATGTGTCGGCCAAGAAAGACACACCAACACAGAGCAAGCCTTCCACGAGGGCCACCCGGGCGGCCCAGGCCCAGGAGAAGAAGGACACACCGACGAGAGCAATCACCCGGCAAAGATCAACTAGGGCTGTCGCTGCCACGAGTGCTTCGTCTGCGCGGTCCGCCGCCTCAAGACAAGAAACATCAAAGGCACGAGCTGCTACAGCATCAAGCAGCAGCAGAGCTGAGATGCCTCCTCCACCCCGGCCAAGCAAGTCCACCCCGAGCAATGACAAGCCCCTACGCCCTCCACCACCACAGCACGACGAGAAGAAGCCGTCACCAAGAGAGAAGCAGCAGCCCACACCCGTAAACACCTCCGCCCCCACCGAGTCATCGTCCTCCGCCAAACGACCAGCAGCCCCAGAGTCACCGACCCGCTCCCCAGGGAAAGCCGGATCATCCCGACTCCCACTCCCGCGGAACGCGGCCCCGGCGCCGCAGCAGTCGCCCCTGACCATGGCCCGCATAGCCGCCAAGCTCGCGGCCTCGGAGCGCGAGGCCGACGCCGCCCGCGTCAGGGCCAAGCTGAGGGCCGCGCGCCTGAACAAGGGCGGCAGCAGCGCGAACAGCCTCGCGCCGTCGGCGGCGGGAGCCTCGACGTCCACGGTGGCAAGCTCGCGCGTGCCGAGCGGCGGCGACGCAGGTGCAGGGGACCCCATCAAGAAGGACCGCGCCGTGTCCGGGGAGTCGGCCGCGACGGGCATGAGCGGCAGCGGGGCGAGTTTTAGTACCGACGAGAACGGGCTGAGGGGCGGTGTGTCTGTGCTCGGGGGCGCCGGCGACGGCGACGACAATGACGAGTCGGCCTCGTCGTCACTCACCGCTGCTGCTGCTGCTGCTGCTGCTTCTGCTCCTACCGCTAGGGACCGCAGCCCGCGCGCTGGCGCCGCCCCGTCGTCTCCCAGGAAAGCTGCGAGCGCGATGAGCCCGACCAAGGCGTCTGCGGCTGCTGCTGCTGCTGCTACGGCTAGCCCGGCCAAGCCCGCCGCACGGAAGCGCGAGGTGCGCAGCAGGGCGGCCAAGGCGGCCAACAGGCGGCGGAGCACGCTGAGCCCGTGGGAGCTGCAGAGCCTCATCGCGGGCGAGGTCGTGCCGCCGACGCCGGGGGTTCCGGCTGTGGCTTCGCAACAAGGGGAGTAAATACTGGTGAGGAGTGGGAGAGGTCGGTTGTTGTTGTTGGGGATGGTTGTTCGTGGAGGGGAGAGGCGGAGAGGCAGACATCAGGTGATCTCATCCGCTGCTTTGCCTCTGGCGCTCACGAGTTGTCAATACGTCGCTTGAAACCCTTTTGAAAGGGGAGATATCCCCCGCGTTGGCGTGTGTTTTCATGCATACGGCGCAGAGAGACGGTGTGGAGTGTCTGGTGTTTTCCTCCTTTCGGCGAAACAAATCTTGGGTTCTACTACACTTGTTGGAAACAAAAGACCGTTTGGTTTCTTCATTTTCTCCTTCTTTTTTCTTTGGTTTTTCTGGCATTGCGGATGGAAATAATGAGTCACGTTCATGGCCTTGTCCTGTTATGAGTCCTACATGCCCCCCCCCCCCTGACGTCCATCACGACCTGACGACCTCATGAGTACTGAACGGCTGTACGCTCCTGTGATGACTTTATGTGGTTGACGACATTATGATTGCGTGCGTGTACATGTATGCTCGGTGGAATCTTTTTGTTGTGCAACGGTGAGGGCTACCTATACCACCTAGAGGCGAAAAACGAAACCGTTTGTGAATTCAGGGCGTGGGTGTGGGCTCGGTCTAGGGATAGACGGTAATACACAATGGTCACACAACGCAATTTCATCCTTTTTTAAAGTGGTGTCAAGAATGTCTTTATAGTCATGGGTTGTGTATCTATCTGCAGTCGAATCGCGACAGCGTATGCCTCAAATGGCACCGTCTACACGGCCGAGCAATGCTCAAGCCCTCGACGGCACCCATAAAGCCCAGCTATGAAATACTTCCACCAACCGTGGAAAGGCTGCAGTTGTGACTATTCTTCCCCCTCTCAAAACCGTAAAGGAGTGTGCACATTTCCGTATGTCCTGTTGCGGCGGAGAGAAAACTGAAAAAAAAAAGATATTCTGCGACATCACACGCACTGCGACGACCAGGTTACCGTCCTGGCCGATTTCCGAGTAAAACGCCTGGGTATCATTCCGTTTCCGGGGCTATGCAGTTTTTGCAAATCATCAAGTCATGAATCCATCGGGACCGTCCACCCTAGTCATCCTTGCGTTCGACCGCGGCAGGTAACTTTTTGAGATTGACGGAGTCTCTGTGAAGCCTGTTCATCATGCGGACACCGTTGTCGAGTAGCCCCCCTCCCCAAGTCTTTTTTTTTTCTTCCTTTTCTTTTTCCTCTTGGAATTTGTCTTGGTCTTTGCCTCTCTCACATTTCCTAAGGACAGATAAGCCGTGCTCTGCTTTCCCGGTCGGCATCTCTTCCTGGGACGTTCGTGTCCCTAGTCTTCATGTCCTTCAGCTGAATCCGTCTCGGGGCTGGAGGACCGGCTCAGGGATGCGGCTTGCATCGATGATCTTGACACCCTTCTCCTGGGCCTTCGCCAGGACCCAGTCGCGCGCTTGTCCTGTGAGAATATTGGTGTAGATGGTCTCGATCTTGCTCTCCTTCGCTAGCACCTTTGAGACGTGCATCCAGCAGCCCTCGGAAGCCTGCGGGAACACGCCCACCGTGGTGAGGTTGTGGAATCCTTGAACCCAGTTGGCGAAGGAGTCGCCAGCTTGTGAACCAGATTCTTCGTCGACGAAATCAAAGCAACTGAGCGTGCGAATGGCGTCCTTGTTGAGGACCCTGTCAAGTTCAACTCGGAGTTCCGGAAAGAATGTGACGGCAAGCGAGGTGAGTGAGCCGTTGGACATGCTTGGCTTGATGAGGTCCATAAACCAGGTCAGGCTCTCAAGACCGTTAACAGTATGAGCGAATATAATACTGCAATCTCTCATGTACAGATGCTCCAGTCGTTCAAGCACCGCCACAGGTGGAAGAACACGGTTGTTGAGTACGACTTGATTGTTTGGGGGGTTTTGGTTGCTGAGGGCAATGCCTGGGTATTCCTGGGAAATTTTCTGATAGTGACGAAGCGCCATGAGAGCTCTGTCGGGAAATTCCAAGGACCGAATTGTGGGAACCAATCGAGGGAGGGAATGCATGTGATCTATCCTGCCTTGGCTTTGGATCTGAAGTGTGAGTTTCAGTCGCTCTAGAGTCTCCCATGACGGCGTGGACTGCTTCTGGAGTGGTCTGAGTCTGTGAATGTATAGATACTTGAGTGATGGTGTGACTTGGGCGATTCGTTCCTGAAAACCAATCAGAGCTTGCACAACCAAGCTAGGAGTGAAGAGTCTCACCAAGTTAACATCCAAGCCCTGTCTTGGTAAGAATCCCCACATAGTCAGGCTCCTCAGATTTGGCCACGTTGTTGAGGAAAGCAAGGTCAAGCCTATCGAGGCAGTTGTCACGTAGCCGAGACAAAGCTCTTCCAGGGTTTGGGCCATCGGGATCACTGAAGTCGCTGGCGGAAGTCCAGGTACATCGTCAGGGTGAAATCCTGTGATGCGAAGTACCTTGAGGGATGCAGGAGCCTCTTCGAACAAAGTCATGGTCCATGGGTCGCTAGGGGGTGCCTTCTCCAAACTCATGTTCTCTCCCTCACATAGCATGCTGCCGTGCAGGGAGAGAGACTCTAGCTGGTTCAAAACATTGAGCGTGGCCTTGAGGACTGGCAGGTCGATGTTGAGTTTGCTCACGCCCGATAGATCCAGGCTCTTGACTTTACACTGTGCTCGCTTAGAGATGATATTGTTGAAGACACCCTTGCGGAGATTTCGACGAGACGCCCCGACAAACGTCAGATGCCTCCAAAGACTGGGATCCAGACAGGCTTCCTTCCAAGTCTTGGAGACTCTCATGGAACGACACAGATCAGAGTGGCCCAGGATTTCCAGGATCATAGTTCGCAATTCAGCTGGCAGCTTTGTGAGGATATCCATTCGCAAGAGATCTGCCATGATCTGAGATAACCAATCAGCACGGCTTGTTAGGAGTATCAAAGTCATATAGCAGCCATAGGTTCAGGCACAGCTAGTAATTTGCATGAAATGCACATGGATGCACATCATAGGATGGCCAACATACCTTCAACTTGGGTTGGTCCTTATCGCCGTGTGTCTGCACACTCTGAATGGCCTGGCGGTAGATCCACCTGCAGCGCGTGATTGTTTCTGGTGATTGACTGGTGTCACACAGGCGTAGAGCCTTGGCCAATCTCAGATATCCCTCAGGGGCACGTGGGGAAGTAATGATGAGCAGTGTTGCATACTGGCGAGCCTTGACAGGAGCCTCGAGCTTTTCGTACGTTGCAATGATACCATCAAGGGCGTTCAGGTGGCTGGGTACATTGCAATGAAAGACGTCACTTCCACAAGTGCAGGCCCTCTTGGCCAGTGTGTACATGGCGAGTTTGGGGGAATTCAAAGTCGGCAATGACTCGAAGTCCTTGCAGTGGCAGCGAGAGGTTTGAATCTCCTTAAGACTCAATCCCAGCTTCTTTGACCGCACCATGACATCTCTGGTGCAAGGGCATCTCAGCAAGGCCTTGAGGGAGTGGGTCAGCAAGTCGTTTGTCATGGGCTTCAGAGTATGTTTGGAAACCTGCCTCCTTAAAGGCCGCCAGGGCCGCTTTCAATTTGCCGTCACTGTAGAGCTTTCTTGCCTTATCCAGAAAGGCCTTCTGGCGGTCAGCAACCGTTGCCTCAGACATCTTGGTGTGGCGCACTGAGGTATTGGCTGTTGTGGGGTGTGTCACAGCTCAATTCGGCGTTGGCGAAGTGTGGGCAATGTCGACGACGATGTCTGGATTGAGGGAGACGCGCCGGACGCGTCTGGGACTGATGAGCTCCCCTTCATGGTCCGAGCGTCCTCGCCGAGCGTCCTTGCCGTGACACACACGGTGCTCGCGCCGGCCGCCCCTGCCATTACGTGGGGCACCACTTCTACCCCTGCTGCCTTCTCCCCCACAATTCATTCACCTGCACAATTTCAACACACGACCTTATTGTGTCACCAACATCATACTTTTTGATGGCGAAATGAGCAGTGAAGATCCAACGTGTCAAAATCAGTACCTCCTGTCAATCCAAAGAACAATTCGATGCTCATTGGAAGGTCACCAGCGCACTGTCCTCCTCCACAAAGAGAAACAAGCCACGTGCTCAAGCCGTTATTGAACTCTATCACATATGCTTTTCCGTAGCCAGGAACCTCACGGATAGCGTCATCTACAATAATGGATCCACGGCCTCTCCGATATGAATCGGGCACCGTGTTCCGAAACACAGACCCATACGAGAGAGACAGACAGCCGCAATGAGCGTTGCCTTGCAGCCATCGCCGTCCCCGAGCCCCTCCGCCCCGGTTTGGGGGTCCGTAACAGCACAGCACAGCACAGCTGCCAGTGGCCCCGAAGTATCTCTCTCTATCTCAGCCTCTGCAGCCCTCCATGACAACAGCGCCGGCCCCAACCTGAGACAGGGCACCAGAAGCGAAACAGCGCAGATATGAGCCGCCACATGGCAACATGGCGTGAGTGCCTTGCCGCAGTAAGCTCCTGCCTCCCCGGGGCTGTGGCTTCGGTCAATCGAGGTAGCAGTGCCCTGGCCCGGTGCGTAGCTGAGACATGGGACGACATGTCGTCAACATGCCTGAGCAGAAATGACAGCCTTGGCACTAGCGGGTTCCGATTTAGAACTTGGGGGAGAGTGCAAAACGCTGCGGTCCGATAGAGTCGGCGCCAGCCCACGGTACCAGCCTGGACCTGTGCGATACAAAATACAGCACATAGGTAGGCGGGCAGGCCCGTGCATCAGGCACAAAGGCATGTCGGCCACCGTTTCTGGCTCACAGGCGTGACCGTTCCCCAGGAGAGGAAAGAAAAGCCCACAGACCAATGTCTCTCAGGACGCAGCCGGGGCTCAGGTTCCGGACATGTTGTGCAACAACCACGGCAGACGAAAACGTGGTCAAGCGTCTCAGAGATTTAATTTTGGGGGCGGAACATGACCGAAACCAGCAAGGCGCGAGATCTTTCTTGGGATTGTACAGCCGCGCTGCAAGGGGGGGAAAACAGCAGCATCAGCAATCAGCATCAGCATCAGCAAGCAGAGCAGCAATCAGCATCATCACCGCACTCTAGTCGCGGGCCTTGTTTTGATATTTTTAGGCCCCCAACACCAGATCCTACGGCACCGGCACCGTGGCCATGTGGCTGGACCCCTGTCTATATGCCCGGCTTACTGGTCGCGGTGCCGCTGCGGCAAGCACACCCCGTCGCTTGCGCATCACCACCACACGGCACAGAGACCCCGAAGGCTGTCGGCAACGCTGCAAAGGATCGTGACGGTCTCGACGCTTGGGCTCCACTGAGGCTCGAGTGTGACAGTATAACCAACCTACCTGCGTCGTCCCCGTGTGTTTTTGCGAGTCGACTCGGGACGTGATGCACTGCAGTGGGTGGGGGCTATTTTTAGATCTCGGAGCCCCGCTAGCTAATCTGACAGGCACGCTACCGCGACTTGGCAATCTTCGGGCCCCGGACGGCTTGCTGACCTGCCCTGACCTCACCTGCTCCACCCTTCTCCCTCTGCCTTTCGCTGCCGCGACGCTTCCACCTCACCATTTGAGGCCCTATCCTGGTTTTTTCCTCTCCCAACCCCTGAGATTGGGCATGGGGCATGGCCAAACGGTCACGGTGACCCACGGAAGGAAGACCAAAGATCTGACCAGCCTGGCAAAGTCGAGCTCCTTTGGCCGCGCCTCGCACGCCCTGCCGGCCAATCACGCCGCCCAGCGACTATGTCGGCGAGATGACGGCTTCTAAAATCCCTCTGGCGAGCGTGGCTAAACGTGCTGTTTCGCACATGATGACTGTCCGGCTTCTATATCCAGTACACCTCAACAGCGCTGCGGCCACGAGGGAAGACTAAATGGCCCACACACCCACCCATCTTCACACACACTTTTGTCGCACACGCATTCACAAGATCCCCCCACACACACTGGCTTCCACAATTCCCCACGGTAGTTGCGTCGATGTGATGCATCCGCTGCGCAACACCAACAGCGGAGCGTGGCAAAAATAACTGTACTCAGCAGCCGCCCGATTGGCCCATTAGCCGCGGGACGAGCCAGCACACACACAAGCGCACACACACGCACACACAAACGCGGTTCGCGCAGCCATGACAATGAATGTAGGGTGGCGGAGATCTGCCGATGGTAGGGCTAGGGCAAGATCCCCCTCGGTTAGGTGCTGCATCTCTGGTTTGATGCCCTGTCCTCCAGATCTTACGGCACACATGGCACGGCACCACCGTGTCATCTCCATCTACCAAGAAACCACCTCGCTCTCACCCCCCTTCTTTCCCCCCCTTGTCAATACGCCAAAGTATGTCAAATACTGGGTAGGATCGCTCGGAAGAAAATCATGCACGTGTCGCAATGGATGAGGAGGGTGAGATGGAAGGAAGAACAAACTGACGAACGCTCAGGGGTTGGCCTCGCCCGGCTGCAGTGATGGGGTCGCGTGCGTTCATCTCCCGTGCGTCCTTTTCCCCAGCAAGCTGTCAAACGCCATGCAGGCTGGGAAGGGTAACACGGCATGAGGTGTCCCTTTTTTTCTCTCTCTTTGTGCACCTCTCGCTCTTGTCCCCCTCCTTCTCTGGTACTCCTTGCCTTGGCGCGTTGTCGCGCTTATCCCGCAGTCCCCATTCGGCGGTCGGGCAACGGCACGGGTACACCATCCCGACGTCCGCCCAAACCAGGCACTGTCGTGCAAGTAAATTCAGTTTTCATTTTTTTCGCCAATTGGCTCGTCAATTTTTTTTCTTTTTTCCAAATGGGGAATTGTTCCAGAAAAACAACTGAGCCAATTCTTTTCTTTTTGCCCCCCCTCTCCCCTTTCCAAATCTTACCAGGTTCAATCGGCTTCGGGGTGGTTGCACGGCAGTCAGCCCGCAAGCCTCGCTTTTGAACATCCATCCCTTGACCATCCATACCGGATCACAAGGAAAGTGAAAACTGTAGCGCCCATGTCTAAGTAAAGCAGGAGCCTAACTGAACCATCGTGATTGATTTCGACGTACCATCGCCTCTCCACGACCCACAACGGCCCCTCCATCCATCGTCCATCCTCCCGCCCGCGTCTTTTCCCCAAATAAGCCGAAAAGTTCAACGGTTCCCGTTGGTGGTGGTGGTGGTGAAGCCCGGACGGGGATGTTTGGCAACAGCGGCCGGCCGGCCTGTCACTTTTCGCATTTCTTGTATGTTGGGCCAGGTCGGTCGGTCCATCTGTCGGGTCGCACCCCATGGTTTTCTCTCCCTCAGGATCCTACCAGGCGATTTTCTTTTCCTAAAAATGGCCCCCAAATGATACTTTGTTCAGTCCTAAGGATGTACGTACCTTGCTGGGTAGACTTGGCAAGTAAACAACAGACTAGCTAATGCGCCATCCAACCAACGACGCCGCCTGATGAGCCTTGCAACAACAAGAGGCGCACCACCAAGTACCCTGCCTGCCTGCCAGCTTACTTACAATAGACTGCACCATCAGCAGCAGCAGCATTCAAGACAATACCCACCCTGGTATGTAAGGTACACTGCCAGCGGTGTCTTACTCGAGTTTATGTTTCAATCAAAATCAAATACACCCCCCTGCACACATCCACTCACACACACACACACACACAATGCACATCAAAGTGCATCATTCTGCGCTACCCTCCCTTCCACACCCTCCCCCCCCCTTTGCACCCCCTGCACACCCCACGTGGGCTCTGCCTATTTTCGACAAGACCCACATCTGCCGGGGTACCTCAGCGCGCGTGCTCGGCCCACCGCTCCCGGCTTCACATGCGTCACGGACAAACGACTGGTGCATATCAACCAGCAGGATTTTGTAGAATGGGAATTTCATATCTATTTTCTAACTTCTTTGGATTAATCTGGTCTTGTTGGTTGACTGATTGTGAGAGAAGTAGTCAAGATCTCGACTAAACCAGTTAGTCTGCCCCGGTGGCCCAGCCACACTGTTGTGTACATCGTGGCCCTGTAGACGATTCCGTCCCATCCCATCCCACCTAGCCGCGCCGGTGCGCTTGCCCGTCGTGAAATCAAGGTACCGGCCGAGCCAGTCTGCCAGTGTACTTGAATTCTGTATCATTGTGACGACCCACAGCGGCCCGTGCACACCAGAGGAAACGAGCCACATATCTCAGACCCTGCTGTGTGAAGATGGCGCGAACCCAGCTCTAATGCGGCGCGATTGGCGGAGTCGTCACGGATGTGCTGGCGCAAGCATGCTGGGTGTCTTTGGGTGGGAAATGGTTCTTCCCTGAGTTGCTGTGGAAACCATCCGTCCGGAGATTTGTCCTCTCTTCCGTCCAGGAACAGGGAGAATAAGAGGGAGGGGGGGGGGGCTTTCCCGAGAAAGGAGGAACGAGCCGGCAACGACCAAGCCATTCCCGATGGCCTGATCCGGCGCGGGTCCTCCCAGTCGAGGCCCAGGATCCTCCGACGGCGGGGCGTTCGCGGACCAGCTCCCAGAGCCAGTAAGTAGAGGGGAAGAGGGGAAGAAGGAATCGAAAAATGGTGGAATCGGACCCCACGACGTGATAAGCGAATGTCCCCTTGAAGCCGCAATCGAGTTCCCAGCCTCGGCTCCTATTGCTTCCCAAGCCCCAGCAACTGTGCCGCAGTGTGATAGCT